ACTTTGCCTGCTGAATAATGAATGTTCAATATCCAAGTCGGTGGGTTGGTTACCTAACCTTGCTTTATCCAAAGAGGCCTCCAGAATCCAGATTCCATTCCTTGCCTTCCGAAGACCGCCCTCCCCGTTACCCCGGGGGGCACACATCAGGGTATCAAATTACCTCCGAACTTTCACGGCACTAAGACTGCCGCACCTTTGGATGCCAAGCCACAGGCTCTCGCTCTCCAAGGGTCTAGCCTTGGTCTTGATCGAACAGCCTGTTGGTGGCCGTTGGGTTCCGTCCCCGTCTGATCGTTAAGTATCTGATGCTTTCTTGGAGAGGACAAAATGTTTTTCAAGGGAAAAGGTGATGGAAAGCTACCTTCATCCGAAGGATCCATATTTGACTACCTTTGGTAGTGATCGCTGGGAAAGAGATGATAATGGGATGAGAAACTTCCACGGCTAATACCCACTACCCGAGTATATCATTCATCTTGAATAGACCGTGATCGTTGATCATGACAATCGATCGACATACAGATCGTGTAAAGTCTGCAGTCAGCAAGCTGTAAACTCGTGCCGTTCATTCATCACACAACCACTGCTTTACATGGTCGGACGAAAAAGGGGTCCGTCCTACTAGACCTGTCACACATCACAACCTCGCCTAGCTCTTCTCCCTCTTGGCCGCGTCCAACTGTCACTACCAAGATCCCCAGGGATTTCTTTGATGTAAGTGAAACTGAACACCGCCTTTTTCTTACACTAGACCGTCAGCCACGTGCTTTGCTAGTTGTAGAGACACCAATCGAAGAAAAAGTCTTGCGACCATTTTCGCTCCACCTTCGGACTTCAGAGTATGGGTGATGGATCTTGGAAGGGTCTTAATGACTTGCCAAGTCCAACCAACGGGCCTCGGCCAAGAAGCTACGGGTTGGGGGTTGATCCACGGGCAATGTTCGTTCCCTAGGAACGATGATGATGATGATGATGATAATGATGACGACGACATCGGTTTGTCTCCCAATCTCTACCAGCTATCCGGACCTGCCGTCTAGTGTACACCGTGTATACCAACTCGGCAACGAGGAAAAGATGGCCATGCACCGCGATGAGGCTGTGTTTGCTTCCAAGGCAATCGAGACTTCCGGGGAAGTGGCCGGTCTCAACAGTCTCCTACGTTCTGTTCCATGAAGCGCTGCACGTTGATACCTTGATCCGTTGCCGGGCCTCGTTACGGAAACGCTATTCACAGACACACCATTAGAGGCTGAGCGTGCCTCCTCCGCCTCCTTCTCTGCACATGTATCTCGGTCCCGTCTGCGTAGGAACGGCAGACGCAAGAGCACACAAACTTTCCTGGACCGCAGCAGCGCTTAAACCCCCCTCCAACATGCTCATTGCAGAAGAGAAAGCCAAAAGCACAAACGACGTCCTCCGCCGTCCCGCGAGCCTTTCATGGTGCCGGTACTAGCGTGAAGCGTCTCCGGCTGCTGCCCGACGCACCCAAATCACCCCATGGACATACACCCGAAACCACACGACCACTAGCGCGCCTCCCCGGGTCTTGACGCGGAAAGCACACACACGAACAGACCGCAAAAGGCGGGGCAATGTATCCGAAGCACGTCCAACGGGCGAGTGCTTGCGCTAGCGGCGCCGTAGCGCCGGGCCTTTCCTCCGAGGCGGGCGGAGCACCTGAGGGATCCGAGTGTCAGCAAGCTGCAGCGAAGGGGACGGAGGGACCCCCCCGTCCCCGTCACTGCTAACTCCATCGCCGATCGTCACGGTCTTGCTTTACGTTGCGTGTTCGAGACTGCGGTCAAGCCTTGGTGGCAAAGATAGATTGGTAATCTACGAGGACTCATCAGTAGGCGCAGCTTTCCCGAATCTGCCATTCTATTTATCTCCTTTTCCAGACGTCGAGCTCTGCTCGGGTGACCGGTGGAACCATGTCTCAAATTCGTGTATGAGATTACCTACCTGTCCTCAAGATATCGAGTAAGTGCAGAGAGAAAGTCAGATATCACGCCGAGTACGGCAGGCGGTTCGCGAGCTGTGAAAATTTCTGTGTGTTTTTGTTTTGGCATTTGACTCGAAATATTTCAAAAAGCAAAAAACGGTCGCTATTTGGCAAAAGAAGTAATAACCCTAAAATTCTTTCGGGTGTTCCAAACGGTACACCAACCGATCGGTCGTACCTTATATGTCCATCCTCCTCTGTCACTGTGGTATCACTCAAGTCTCTCTGACCTTTCCTTCCCCCCACCCTTCCTACATCAGCATGATGACGCATTTACTTCTTCCTCTTCTCCTCGTGGACGATGTTGATGATCTTGTCGACGATGGAAGGATCCGAAAGCTATCTCTGCGTTAGCAAACAAGTACCTGAGTGGAAGGAGTGTCGACGACTTACAGTTGTCACGTCACCAAGCTGGTCCTCCTCGCCAGCCAAGATCTTGCGAAGAATTCTGCGCATGATCTTGCCGGAGCGGGTCTTGGGGAGATCGGGCACGATGTGGACGGCCTTGGGCGCCGCAAAAGGCCCAATACTCTTGCGCACCTGCATGATGAATTCCTTGCGGAGCGCATCCGAGGCCTCATTGCCGTCCTTGAGGGCTACAAAGGCGTTGACGGCCTGGCCGGTGAGCTCGTCCGCGACACCGACAACAGCCGCCTCGGCGATGGAGTGGTGCTCGATGAGCGCGGCCTCGATCTCGGCGGTCGACAGGCGATGTCCAGAGACGTTGACGACGTCGTCGACGCGGCCGCGGATCCAGTAGAAGCCCTCGTGGTCACGGCCCGCACCGTCACCGGTGAACTGGCGCTCTTGTCAGCTGTTGTACTGCAACATTGCGGAGATGATACTTACGTAGTAGCCCTTGTAGACGTTCAGGTACGTGTCCATGTAGCGCTTGTGGGCGCCCCAGACGGTGCGGGCCATGCTGGGCCAGGCCTGCTTGAAGGCCAGCACACCCTCAACATCGTTGCCGTGAATCTCCTCGCCAGAAACGGGGTCGATGATGGAGGGCTCGATACCGAAAAAGGGCAACGATGCACTACCTGGCTTGGTCGGCGTGACACCGGCCAGGGGAGTGATGACGTTGGAACCAGTCTCTGTTTGCCAGTATGTCTGCAAATCTGTCAGACCGGTTACTTGCTCCATTCATTGGAGCTTCACTTACGTCTACAATGTGGGCCTCCTCCTTGCCGACAACCTCAAAGTACCACTTCCAAACCTCTGCGGCGATGGGCTCACCGACGGAGCCGAGCACTCTGAGGTGCTTCATGTCGCCCTTGACATGCTGGTCACCGGCTCGCTTCAGTAACCGCAAGGCGGTAGGGGCAACGTAGAACTGGGTGACTTGGTGGTTCGCAATGATGTCCCAATACCTCGAGAAGTTGGGGTAGGCGGGGGTGCCCTCGAAGACGACGGTACTCACACCGAGCAGCAGGGGGGCGTAGACGACGTAGGTGTGACCGGTAATCCAGCCGACATCACCACCGCAGAAGTAGCGGTCGCCATCGTGGATGTCGAAGACGTACTTACCAGTGGCGGCGGCACCGACGAGGTAGCCACCGGTGGTGTGCATGACGCCCTTGGGCTTACCGGTAGAACCGGAGGTATAGAGAAGGAAAAGGGGGTCCTCGGAGTTGACCCGTTCGGGAGGGAAGTAGGAAGGCCACTTCTCAACCTCTTCATGCCACCACCAGTCACGGCCCTTGGTCATAGGCACATCGGCACCGGTGCGCTTATAGACCAGCACGTGGGAGACATCGGGGCACTGCTTCAAGGCGTCGTCGACAATCTTCTTGGTGCCGATCAACTTGCCGCCACGCTTGCCCTCGTCAGTGGTGATGACGACCTTGGAGTTGCCGTCAATTACACGGTCACGGAGGGAATCGGCGGAGAAACCGGCAAAGACGACGGAGTGAACGGCGCCGATACGGACGCAAGCAAGGAGGGCAATGATGGCCTCAGGAATCATAGGCAGGTAGATGGCAACGGTGTCGCCCTTGCGCACGCCCATCTGCTTCAAGACCCAAGCAGTGCGCGAAACCTCGCGGAGGAGCTCGCCGTAGGTGACATTCCGGCCTTCGCCAGGCTCGTCAGCCTCGTATATGATGGCAACGCGGTCGGGGTCCTTGAAGGCGTGACGGTCAACGCAGTTGTAGCAGGCGTTGAGCTGGCCCTCTACGAACCAAGCACTGTCGCCGCCGGCCAGGGAGCCGGAGTAGACGGTCTGGAAATCGCTGAACCAAGACAGGAGTTCGCGGGCTTTGGTACCCCAGAAGGCCTTTGGGTCGGTGATGGATTCCTTGTACAGCTTTTGGTAGTCCTCCAGACCTGCAGCAATGGAGGGGAAGGGGGAGCTCCGATCAGCCAATGAAAAGACGTTGAATTGGGGTAAAAGAGGAGAAAGGGCTTACTACTCAAGTGGGGCTTGCTGGGGTGCTCTGCGGGAAGATGACAGAATTGTTAGCCCAATATCCAATCAGACGAGTCCAATAGCTTCGAATTGCGCTGCCCCTCTCTTTGTCGCAACCATCCCTGCAGCAGCCATGGCAATCTCCAATGCCCCTCACGCGACTTTCGGACGGCAACAGGCCATGGAACTGGGTCTGGATTTAGGTTCCGCAACTCGGCGGCGCACTTACTATCAAGCATCTTTTGGGGGGGATCTGTTGGGATTCAAATTAGCCATGATGGGTCCCAACAAGCATGCAAAAACATTTGGTCGAAGCGAGGTCAGATTTGCGTTGCGCCAGAGACGTGCAGCCCTGTTAATCGGTACCGTTGGACGCTCGGTGCTGTTTGGCGCGAGACCAAGGAGACGACATGGAACTGGGAAATTGGGGTTCGTTCGGGCTTACGGAAGGTATCAACGAGGTGGGCCTCGGCGACCACAGGGGCCTTTGGTGGCTCTGCGGCTTCGGTCATTGTGGCGGGGTGGTTGTGTGTCTCTGTGTGGGTGTGTGTGTGCTACGGGTGTATTGTGCGCGTTTATGAAGCGATGCGGGGTACTTTGTGCAAGCTTGTAGAGGTCTGTCGAGGCTCGAGAGACTCGCTGGCGCTGCTAAGACGGGAGAATCGTTCGACAGTGGTCTGTCTCTGCCCTCCTCGTCGTCAGGGAAGCGGTCCTGCTGGTGCAATTATGATGACCAGTCGCGCGCAAGCTGGGATGGTAACTGGCGCAACTCTCCACAAGTCGAGAAGACGAGGGTATCAAGTCGCGTGGTGTCCTTGATAGCGTTGATAGCGTTGCTGCAAAGCGGGTAGCGGCAGCAAAAGAGTCGACTCCCAATGGGGCCCCCTTGAATCCGGATCTCGTCTGTTTGTTTTGTGCGTGTGCAGCTGGGAGAAGAGGAGTCCCGGAAGTGTAGGAGAAATCGGAGTTGGATGTGGAAGAGAGAAGAGGAGGAAGATGCGAAGAATTGGGAAAGATGAGGATGTGAGTCGTAATTAAGAAGACCAGCTTTCCAGGTGGCCGAGCCGCGAGTTGGACGGGGGACGGGATTGCTTTTAATGAGCGAATGGGGACTTGGGACCGGGAACGTCAGGTCAACGTGGACTCGACAGCTTGAGCCGGAGGCGCTGTTCGGGACGGTGCACCGCGTCGAGAGCTAAAAGGAAGCTTCCTTGTAACGACACCAGCCACTGCTCGGTAGGTACAGCTTCAGTCACTGCTTGATTACAGACCTATCTCCGCAAGCCCAGAGTTCCAGTGAATTCAGCCAGGTGTCCATGGACCATGGAGCATGGCAGAGAGCCCCGTCCACGGTACGGATCACGGTACAGCGCAGACCGATGATGTTATGGAGAAAAGGGACAAGCCCATGCGGAAAGGGAGACTCCTTCAGCCCATCCGTCCACGTCCATTGGTCATTGTTTGCCAGAGCTCCGCAATCCCATCCGCTTCCTGCTGGCTGATCCATCTCCGTACCGCTGTACAGTTACCGCTTAGCCGGGGGGTTTTGAGATGCGTCTTTCCTTTGCTCCGAACCAGCTGCGAACCCTCCCCTTCCCTGCAACCCCTCGCATCCAACCCAGTCCAACACCGCGCAGACCTGCATCGTCCAGTCAAACACGAGACGAAGGTACCTTAGCTCGCGGTTCACCCAAGCATGCCTAGTTACCTCTCTCCAACTCGCCCAGCGAGCACGCCTCCCGTCCGCGCCTGGATACTCCTGGGCCCGTCGGTTGGTCTTGGTCTGGGGGAGGGGAAAGGATTCTGCGCTAGGGATAGATGGAAAGAAATAACCGGACCTTGACGAGCCGGGACTGAGCTGCGTCAGGGAACTTGGAGTCCGCCCTGGGCGACTACGGATACACCACCTAGTAGCCTACGGACAAGGCAGCTTGTAGCTCGTCTGAATGCAAAGAAATCTGTCCGCCCACCAACGGTATACTCTCCCGTCGACCGGCCGAGCAATCGGAACCACCAATGACCCATTTCCGTGATGGATCATTGCCTGTTATTGGGATGACGGTGACGACGTCCAAGAGCATTTTCAGAGGCTTTCGTGCATGTGTGCAGGCGATGGTCCATACGCTTTCACACCACCGGTACCGGGGAGCCTGTCTTAAAACGGGGGCATCGCATGTCAATCAGTGTCGAGAATGAGGTTGTCTGGTGCCTATGCACATTAACAGCCGGTACCCTGACCGCCTAAAGTCGGCCCTATGATATATATTTACCTTTGACCATGCCATTTTGCCAAAGTGAAAGAAACCGTGAGCCATTGCCTAGGTGGAACTTTCTTCTTGCGACTCGGATCTATTGCGGCCTTCGACATCTCGCTTGGTCTTCTGTCTCGGGTTGTGGTCCGTCTTTTCGTGTCCTGGCTTGACATCGCCGAGAATACACCAGTCGTACAAGTGGCGCCCATCACCCGACTTGTCCTTCGTCCATAGCTATCTTGGATGGCCGAAACAGACCGAGGACAACCGGAAGGGTGAAGGATTTGTCAATGCCATAGTTTTGTCTGCCGACGCTTTGCTGTCAAATCATTTTGGCGTCGAGCGAGCGGGCAAAGTCACCAAAGCTTGCTCCTCACCTGCCCAGAGTTCCCCGCACTCTTATTCCCCGGCGGCGTCGAGTTTGCGCCTCACAATTCTACTAGGCTGACCGCATTGCGCCGCTATTCAGGAAGCCATGCGGCTGTGGCCCAGTGAAGTGTACCCCAGCCGAGGACGATGGATGCTGATCACGACGCGCTACCCTTGAGTGCCGTGGTGCTCCGGCCTCCGTGATTGGCTGGGACACCAAAAATGACATATTGATGATTGTGAGCTTTGGCTTGGCTTCTGCAAGTTCAGGACGACCACATGTATCACCGGCGGTGCTCTCGTCGGCGATGATGGTGATTCTACTTCAAGGGAGTGCATGTCTGGTCGTATCAGAGCGTCCGACGAGAGGCAAACTTCAAATTGAAGAATACAGAGGTCCCAGGGCTCCGCAGGCCCCGCTGTTTGTCGTGGGCATTTCAGGGTCTGGCATTGGGTCGGGGCTCAACAAAGTCTCGCAGAGTCTGGGGTCGAAATCCACCACACCTGCAGTCGCAATTTGCAACTGCCTACTTTTCTCCTTGCAGATTGTGGATTAACATTCTCGTGTTGCGCACTTGCGTTTACTGGTTGTGCTTCGGAAGAGAAAAGTTGACCCCGAACCCACTGTTATGACCGTCGTTGACTGCAGTCCCACCATGCGACCTCTCCGACGTCGGCTGCGGTCCACAGAATAACCTACGTGGGCTGTTGAAGTACATAGGGAAGGTAGCAGCACCCGCTTGGGTTACCAATCTGTCCTCCATGATACGAGAGTCGTATCGAAGTTTTCAAGGCCGCCGTCCAGGCCGCCGCTCGTTTGGAAACATCCATCTGTAGTCGCAGGAACAATAGGTCGGTCGGCTGTCGTATTGCTGCGGCACGTCGTGGGCCGGTAGACAAGTGGAGGGGTACATGTGTATTAGTGCGTGTGGTTGGAGGGGTCGAACGGAAGTCCCGCTCGTCCTTGCGCAGGTGGCAGAGAGGAACGGAGGAAAACAAGAAGGGAGGGATTGCTTTGCTTGGAAGTGGATTCATCTCCCCTCGGGTATGAGTGATGCAGCCCACAGGCCAGACACAGGCAGGTGCTTTGTTCTATACCTTACCTAAGGTAGGTACCTTGCCTACCTTACCTTGAGGCGTTTGCCTGCCTTGTGTTTGTATAAACTCTGTACCTGGCGTCGCCTTCCCGTCTTCGGTGAAGGTGGCTTCCCTTACATCAAGATGCCTTCCCCCCACCGAGGATGTGAAAACGACATCAACTGCGGATATCTAGTACGTGATTATTGAAAAACTTCATGAGTCGGCATCCATGTGGCTTTACGGCGTCTCGCAACCGATTCGACCGTCTCCCGCTATGAACCACTCGCCTCCGCGTTTTCCCCTCAGACCCCTTTCACCCATCCCTGGACTCGGGAGTCCCCAGACAGAATTCCCACCTTTTACCCCGTGGGCACCCATGCCCACCTGCCCACCTGTGAAAATAAGATAAGGCAAGCGCGCGCCCGTCCTTGTTGTGTGCTGTTTTAGTCGTGCTGCTTGCTGTCATTCCAGAAGGCCGGGTCCCTTGCCCTCCATCTGTCACCACCCCCTTGTCCCTTGTGTGAGACTGTTCCGACCTAACCTTCCCTGCCCATCCGGGTCAGTCCACATGCCGCCGTCTCATAGGATGGACGAATGGAAGTCGTCTTGGCACACCCGACACCCGTGGGGGAGGCTTGGAAAAACGCCATCCCGCCGTCGCCGCCGCCGCATCTGTAATTTGAAGCCGAGGGGGTCCATCCTCCTCTACGGGAAACCCGGGCAAAGGACCCCCCATCGACTTGTGTGGAGAAATGCATACCCACGATGTGATACCCAGCAATGAGCAAGCGTCTTACATACCGCCAGTGCAGTTCTGGAAATCGGAGCCTCTCTCAAACGGGCCATTTGGGATAAATCGCCGTGGTCTCCGAGCCTCGTGCGGCGGATGGATCTCTTGCACCCCATAAGCCTGTGCGAATCGCCTTTCTGTTGGGGCTCCAGATGACAGATTGTTGAGTGTAAAAAAAAAAAAGAAGAGGAGACGTCTTAGCCGCTGCGCGATGACCTATCAGACTTCAGTTGCATCCTGCGTGAGGCAAACATTATCGCCTCGCAGATACGGGTAATCTTAACAACCCTCGACGCCCCGGTCCGATGTCCTGCTTAGGGTATGGGCCTTGCCGCGAAGCTTTGCCTACCGGTCACAAGTCACCCACGTGCGCGCACTCACAAAAGTCTTCGAGCACTTGAGTAACAAAAGTCAACCTCCAATCGGACTGACGGCGAAACGCAAAGAGACCCAGCTGATTGGGAGCCGCTAGGTGGACTTGTTTGCATTTTGGCACTGGCCTGGTACCTTGGTAGAAGAAGTATTGCGCCCGACAATATGCCGCCTGAACCCCTAAACGCCTCCTTTTCATATTATCCATTTATTCACAACTCCATGCTCATCAAGTACATCTCCATGATCCTCATGAACTTGGCCACGAACGCTTCCAGGTGGAAGATGACCTTCGTGCCCATCCTGATCCGGTGCTCGTAAAACGCTGACCACTTGATCACCTCCGCCTTCAGAGCGTCGTCGATCAACGCAATGAGCTTGAACGTGAGCGTCTTGAGAATCGTCGTTGGCGGTATGCAGTGCGTCAAAAGATCGTACAATTTCGCCCGCACCTGGAGAATCCGTGCTGGCGTGTGCTCGTCGACAATCTCTCTCGCTATCTGGCTAATCAGAGCCTCCCAATCTGGCGGCGGAATCGGTGTGCTATCCGTAACTTTCTCGCTGTCGGCTTGTTAGCTCCCAATCTGCAAAGGCCGGGCAAAGCGTCTTACTTTTGCGCGTGGACAGCCTCATACATGAGCAGAGCTCGTCGCAAGTTCCTGCCACTCTCCTGAGCTATTCTCATATGGAGACCCTTCACCATGGGCCAGTTCTCCTTCTTCGCTGACACTGCCAGGACCTCGCAAATCTGCTCGTGGGTCGGTGCAGCCACTCGGACCAGTAGTGTTCTCGATCGGATAGGGGCGATGATGTTTGCCGTCGAATTGGCCAGGAGGATCAACCGTAAGTTTGGGGAGTACTTCTCCATCGTCCGACGCAATGCAGCCTGCGCATCTCTGGTAAGATGGTCTGCCTCATTGATGACTACGACCTTGAACCTCTGCTTTGCCGACTGATCGACCTGTTGTGTCTGTGCCACCTCCTTCAGCAGGTCCTGCACGACAACTCTGTCGTAGTTGCCAACGTCGGATGGCGTGATTTCGAGGTGGTAGTTGGACGCGACAATGTTGAATTCGAGCTTGCGGTTGCTTGATGTCTGGAAGACACGCGCATCGATCTTGATCTTCTCAACACCAGGTCCATACAGCTCCTTGAGTGTGGCGACGATGCGTGTCTTCTTTCCAGCGCCGGACGGCCCATACACCAGCAAATGGGGGAAATCTCCGCTGTGGGCCTGTAAAATGTGAGCAGCTGACTACGAGGGAGCAGGATCTAGCTTCCTACCAGAGAGCCAAGTCGGTCTGAAAGCTCCTGGTGGTATGTCAAAGCATCTAGTGACCTTGGTCTATGTTTGTCGACAATGAGCGCCATTTCGCTTGCTGTGATTTGGAAGACGCTGTGCTGAAGACTTGAAGTCGGCTGGGTGAGTGGGCTGCGGAGCGTAGGACTTTCTGGTGATGCGCTCTCAGAGAAGACGCGTTCGCGTTAAGTGGGAAATCTCTGGGTGTGGCTGGTGGTCATGGTCCGTGCCCTCCAGCCACATCATGGTAGACCCGGATGAGGTACTCACCACCACATTGTATATGGAAACGCCTCTAGCGTTCGCTCGATTCTATGCAGCACTATCCATGCATAAAGCTGTTGGCCATCTTAAATCCACGGCGGACTTTCTAGTACTTCAAAAAGGTGGTTGCTTTTATTTGTACAGCTGCCGTGACACCTCGCCATCTAGTATGGTCATCTATAGTACAGCCACTCAATGAAATCGAGATTGCGCCCAGCCTATCTCGACGTGAAGAGCGGGTAATGTTACAACCAGTCTCTTCCAAAACTCTAGGGCTTTTCAGACGGAGTAGTGTTAGGTGCCGCGCTGGTGGGGGTGCTCGCTGCCTCGGCCAGCAAATCCTTGGACGCGACTGGCTTTCTTGGTCTCTTCAAATCCTCCAACGTAACACCATTTTCAAGCTTGGTAATGCCAACAACAGGAGCCGCTCCCTTGTGAACAAACTCCCATTGGCCTTGCATCGAGTAAGTAATGGTTACGCTCCAAGCATTTGGGGATGTACTCACCGGGCAACTTGTTACCCGCCAGACGGAAGGCATCCTTTGCAACAGCCTCGTGAAGCATTCCTCTGATTTCGAAAACAATTTGGTTGACAGCAACACGCGCCGCCCAATGATCGAAAGAACCCTTTCCTTTACCCATACGCATCTGGTTCGAGAATCAGCACCTCACTGTTGCACGTTCGTTCTCACTATTGGCCTTACCTCGTTACCCGACACATAGACACCGACGTTACAGCATACTCTCTTATACATCCGATACTTCTGCCCACGTAGTCTCATCTTAATCGTGTCTTCGGCGTTCTTGAGCTGCTTCGCGCTAATTCTTCGGTGGTGATCCTTCATTCTGAGGCCGTAGTCGCCCCAGATGACAGTTGTGCCCTTGGTCGAACCTCCTGTAGCCACACGGGGGCGCCCCTTCATCATCTTCTTCGTTCGGTCGATCGAGGGCTCGAGCCATGTGCCCTGCGTTACGGGTGTCGTGGAGAATGGGCGAACATCGCGGAGGATTTGGGATGCGACCAGAGGCTTAGTCAATTGAGGCCTGGTCGCGGCTCCTAGAGGGCTGATTGATGGCGTCGTAGATATTCTGAGGCCTTGAAAGGCGCTGCGCAGCGCCGTGGGAACAGTGGGCCTCATGTTTGCGACTTGCCGATGAACGTCGTTGGTGATGTGATCTCCAAGAAAATGTCCCTAGCTTCACAAGAACCTGGGTGTGGCTGAGACGGCCTGAGATGTTGGGCGCTAATTTTCTTGAGGCTTGCATCCTTGAGCTGTTGCGCCACATGCACTCTAAAGTGAGCTGACCGGGGTCACGGACCTCGCGTCACTTTCGCGTAGCACCTGGAAATCCATTACGTGCACGCTTCTCGACGCCAGGCACGGCAACCTGGATTGGCTTCTTCGTCTGTCAACCTCCCACCTTCTCCAGGCAACAGCGGCCCAACGTTTGATATAAACCTGCTGTCGCTCTCTACAACCGCGCTACGAAAGACTGGCAATTGCACAACACACAATGCCTGATATCAGGTCATTTTTTGGGCCAAAGGGAGGCGGCCCCCCGAAGCCACCGCCAAAGAAGGTCGAGGAGCCTCCGAAGAGCCGAAGGAATAGAAAGGTCATTGAAGACAGCGACGACGAGGTCGATTATACCCCTGAACCGTTAGTCTACTTCAAAGTCTTCAAGTTGGAAACATGACTAATTCCTGTTAGAAAGCCGGTAGCAAAAGCTGCCGCCAAGAAGAAGGCTAAGTATGCCAATCGAAATCCCTACCTTCATCGACCGCTTCTAATTGTATAGCAGAGACGATGCTCCGAAGGGAACTGAGACCACTGCAAGCGATTACTTCGCATCATCCAAATCTGCCAAAGTGGCCAAGCCCAGACCCGCCGCAAAGCCAGATCAAGCAACCAAAGTGAAGACCGAAGTAGAGATCCGGACCAGCCCGCGCAACAAGAAGACTACTGCCAATCCTGTACACGAGTCGCCCAAGAAGCGGAGCACCAGGACGTTCACCAAGATAGAGTCAGACGACGATGCCGATGCATACAAGGATGAAGACGACGAGGATGGTGATGACATCTTCGCCGCTGATGTAAAGGGTCGCAACAAGCGGAAGACGGACGACTATGCGGAAGATGAGAGCGAAGAGGATATCCTACCAAAACCGAAGCGTGTAGCCTCTCGGAGTGCCCCTAATGGCACTCCAACTAAGAGTGCGAGGGCAGCAGCTGGTACAAAGAGGCGCAAGACTCCTGACGATGATGAAGAGGAAGAGGAGGAAGAGCAGCCACCGAAGAAAAAGGCCCCAGCCAAGCCACGTGCGCCAAGGGCCAAGAAGACCGACGAACCCGAAGATTCGGCTTACCAGTCGATCCTCGACAACATCCCCACTGTCCGCCCTCCGACGCCCCCAGCCCAGGATCCAAATGCCCCCAAGTTTGACTGGAGGAAGAATGCTGGTGGTGGCGGGAACAGTGCGGTTGTCCCTCCCAATGCAGGTGCTGCAGAACTGCCCGAGGGTGAGGATGAGTGTCTCTCTGGATTGACATTCGTCTTCACTGGTGTCCTTCAAACGATCGGCCGTGAGGAGGGCCAGGCGTTGGTCAAGAAGTACGGTGGAAAAATCACTGGAGCACCGAGTAGCAAGACGAGTTATGTCGTTCTGGGAGACGACGCGGGACCCAGCAAACTGAAGAAAATCAGGGACATGAACATCAAAACCATCAATGAGGAGGGTCTCTTCGAGCTCATTAGGAAACTACCCGCCTATGGAGGCACCGGCAAGGGTGCGGAGAAGGCGCGCGAGAAGAAAAAGAAAGATGAAGAGGCTATCAAGATACAGGCACTAGAGATGGAGCGGGAGGAGAAGGCCCGGAAGGCCGCAGCAGAGAAGGCTGCTAAGCAAGCAGCCGCTGCTCGGGGGACCACAGCTGCCCTTACCCCGACGGCAGCCCCAGTGCAGCTGTGGACATCAAAGTATGCGCCGACAGCACTCAATCACATTTGCGGCAACAAGGCACAAGTCGAGAAGATCCAGGCCTGGTTGAGGAATTGGCAAAAGGCACGCAAGTACGACTTTCAAAGACGCGGTGCGGACGGTATGGGTGGCACGCGAGCTATCATTATCTCCGGTCCACCGGGTATCGGCAAGACGACTGCGGCGCACTTGGCTGCCAAACTGGAGGGCTTTGATGTCATTGAGAGCAACGCCAGTGACACTCGCAGCAAGAAACTGGTCGAAAACGGTGTCGCTGATGTCATGAACAACACATCGCTCCTCGGCTTCTTTGCTGGAGACGGCAAGAAGGTCGACGGAGAAAAGAAGAACATTGTACTGATTATGGACGAAGTCGACGGAATGTCCGCAGGAGATCGCGGTGGTGTTGGAGCCCTGGCCAAGTTCTGCAAGAAAACTGAGATTCCCCTCATTCTCATTTGCAACGAGCGAAAACTGCAAAAGATGAAGCCGTTCGACTTCGTTGCCATGGATGTTCCCTTCCGGCGCCCGACGGTAGAACAGGTTCGATCCCGTATCATGACAATCTGCCATCGCGAAGGCCTCAAGCTTCCTGTCCCTGTCGTCGATGCCCTCATCGAAGGCAGCAACAAGGATATTCGGCAGATTATAAACATGATATCCACCGCCAAGCTCGATCAAGCATCGATGAGCTTCGACAAGGGCAAGGCCATGACGAAGGCATGGGAGAAGCATGTTGTTCTTAAGCCTTGGGACATTTGTCAGAAGATGCTCGCTGGTGGACTATTTACTCCTGCCAGCAAAACCACTCTGAACGAAAAGATTGAGCTCTACTTCAACGATCACGAGTTCAGCTACCTGATGATCCAGGAGAACTACCTACGGGCAAAACCCATGGCACTAAACAACAGGGGTTACAACAAGAGGGAAGAGAATTTGAAGTATCTCGAATTGGTGGATCAGGCGGCGGAAAGCATCAGCGATGGTGACCTGGTTGATCGAATGATTCACGGGCCTCAACAGCAATGGAGTCTGATGCCTACTCACGCAGTTTTCAGCACAGTTCGACCATCAAGCTTCGTTGCTGGCCAACTCATGGGATCCAACTTCACTTCCTGGCTCGGCAACAACAGCAAGACTGGCAAACTTGGTCGTTTTGTCCGCGAGTTGCACTCGCACATGCGACTTAGGTCATCGGGAGACGCCAATGAGGTTCGCCAGCAATATCTGCCTGTATTGTGGGATCAGATGATCCGCCGGTTGTCTGTTGAAGGCAAGGAATCTGTCGATGAGATTATCGAGTTGATGGACAGCTACTACTTGACACGAGACGACTTCGATGCGATTCAGGAGCTCGGTGTTGGTCCACAAGCTGAAGGCCGGGCAGATATTGAGTCCAAGACGAAGGCAGCATTCACGCGAACGTAAGTACCCACACTTCTTGCTGCCCGAATCGAGTGCTAACAACTTCCCAGTTACAACGCAATGTCTCATCCTATTCCGTTCATGAAGGCCAGCAACATCATGGAGCCGAAGAAGGCTACGAAACAGGCTCCGGATCTTGAGGAAGCTATAGAGGAGGAGGATGATGCCGATGTTGCGGACCCCGCTGAGGCAGGCGAAGAGGATGATGACAAGATCGACCTGAAGAAGGACAAGTATATCAAGGTGCCCAAACCGAAAGCCAAGAGAGCCACCAAGAAGGCTAAAGCAGGCGACGACGACGATGACGAAGAGGCAGATGCCAAGCCAAAGAAGGGTAGGCCCAGTGCCAAGGCTACAGCTACCAAGGCAAAGGGCAAGAAATGATGGTATACTGAAAGACAGAAATCGATGTGGAGGAACATCCTTCTTGGGGCGAACCGGCTGGGATCGACTGAGTTTGATTCAAGCAATGCTTACTATGCGGCATAGTATGGCTAGGATTATGAGTTTTGATACAGGAATCCTTGCTCATCTTTGAGCCCCCTCTTGTCTATGGTTAGATATTGTATGAAGTTGTATAACAATCATAGCATGATTTGAGAGGTGGACATGAACAGTGTAGAATGCTGTGGGCAGCAATGCCGTGAAAATTGATTCGTGCAGAGAGAGGCTTAGGAACAAGATTTAAGGCCAGAGTTCTCTGGATGGGCAACCACCAGTATTTTTCGAGGCAACATTTCTGTGCCTGCCCGTTCATCGCCGCTTCTTCTTGCAAAAGAACTCCCTGCCAAAGTAGAATGCCCTCGGTCTTTTGCCACAAACCCCCAACACATCGCCAGCACAAGGGGTCATATTGACCATGCGCAAGAGTTGGAAAGGTAAAGCACCCAATCAAGCTCTTAACCCCTTCTTCTTTGTGCATCCCAAGATATACGTGAGTTCTTTTTTATGGCCTGAAATTATTACTTTGCCATCCGACAGTAGGAGGCTAATCCAAATTATTGTCGCGCAGTCCACAACATCACCCACCGTCTTCAACAGTCACACCCACCCGACCACCCATGAAGTTGGATATCTGAAATCAACCTGATTAGTCGTCGATGAGACTTTGATCTCCATTATGACGGAAGATAAGGATAAAGGAGAGGGACGCTCAAAATTAAAGCTCCGAACTGCCGCAAAGGCCTGGAAGGGTGACTATTTCCCACACCCCTCGACGCTTTCCTTTCCTTTCCTCACGATCTCACCTCCATCGCCCTCACTTCATCAAATCTTTGATCCTTCCTCTTCATTCTTATCATCCAGTACTTCTGAGTTTCACCCAACTTCCATACTCGAATAGTTGAGAAGTTTGTTCCCCCAGAGATACTCGAAGAGACTTGCTTATCCTCACTTCCCGTCCTCGATACGAATACTCGCCATCGATAATTATCTCGTTCCTTGGCAGTTGCTCACTATTCTCATCACAGGTCTTCTATCTAAGACAGTCTCGTCTCTCAAGGGATTCAAAGGCCTCGCTGCTCTCAAACGTCTGTCGATCATGTCTTCGCGACGTGACCGAACCGCTCAGGGCTCGCGGGCTCAGGCCGGTAAGTCATCTACAACTCATCGATTTCTGGCAGGTTCCATCGCAAATGAGAAATGTGTTTCTGACAAAAAGGAAAGCGAACCTTGATACCGCTGGTGATCTTCAGGACCACAGCCCCCATCGTCTTTCGATCATCGAAGAGGCTTCTCGCCAGTCTTCTCGCGAGTCTTCTCGCGACGCCGACGGTACCAACATGTACGACGAGCAGGGCTTCCTCGAGGAAGATCCTCCAGAGATATACGGTCTCAACGAGTTCGAGCTGATGAATTCTAACGTCGGACCCCACGGACCAGGTTATGGTGCCCTTACCCAGGAGACCGCGGACACGGTTTTGTACGGCAACTGGGAGCAGGACAACAACTTGCGCGATCTCAACCGTTCTTCAAGTAAGTTCAGAAATCGTTGCCTCACACATGCGTTTTTAACAGTCGAAAGGTCCGGATACTGTCGTTCAGTGGGATGAGAACACGATGCAGTATTCTGCCAACGTCTGGGAGCACGGCAATAGCACCGACTCGGAGTCGTACTCGCGTTCCGTTCATGAAGGTATCAAGTGCTCCTCATTGTTCTGTTGCTTCCACTAGGTCTTAGATAGCACATTCTGCTTTCAATGAATACCTCCATGCTTCGCTGACTCCATTTACGCCCTGAGACACCTCTCATCCCTCTACTGGGCTACGTGGATTTTGTCTACTAATTCTCATAATATCGTTGAAGTGACTGACCGACTTATCTCAGGCCCGGAGCTTCAAGATGCCAGCATCAAGATCGAAGGCATCCCCACAACCAAGGACTGGTCTATCTTCAAGAGCAACCTGGTTGACTACGGCCCTGACGAGCCTAGCCCCCGACTTCCTGGCTGCTCGGCTGGTCACCCCTACGCGAAGACGTGGAAGATGTCAGACTCGATGATGATGGCCTACGATGCTTTACGCGGCTCCATGATGCAAGCCAACGATCCGCTGCGATCATGGATGGAGGTGAAAGCGTTTGAGGCTGCTCTTAGAGCCAAGAGAGACGATGCCAAGGTGGCCGGTACGGCTTGCCAGCATGAAGAGGAGTCCAAGGGCAAGGGAAAGTCTGTCGACACCAATAGCTTTTCTCACAGCCAGCCACAGAAGTGAGTCCTTCTCCAAGGAAATTCTCTCTTGACTGCCATTATTCTAATCGCAATCCCTTTAGGACCTCCAAGATGCAATCGTCACCTGTCAAGAGAGCCGCCACTGCAGGTTTAAGTGCTGATCAGAAGCGGGATATGGATGCCTATATTCAGTGAGTTGTGACGGGTTATTCTATACCTGGTTATCACTGACTGTATCTAGGATGCTCAAGGAAGCTAACATGGCCGCTGCCGAGTACCCCCCAGCTGATGTAGAGAGGAAGACAGCCTACGACATCCCTCGCCCTAGATATCTCCATGTCGCGCCCAAGTTTGAGGAGTACAGATTCGAGAACTACCTCCACCCCACTGCCGAGGTCTCTCAGTCCTCCTATAAGCACCCCTACGACCCGGACCGTGACTTCGGTAAGTCTGGTTTCGGGAGCAGTTTGGGCCGATACTGACACATTTCAGCGAAGGAGTATGACATCTCGGACGACGAGGGTGATCCTGCGTCCGGAAGGATCTCTCCCTGTACTTTTCGCCTTCTTGCTGAGGGCTGTGCCGAGCAGAACCCGAGAGCCAACCAAGTTTTCATGGCTGAGGATGTAAGTCTCGCTGGATCACCTTTCTGCAACTCAATGTTGAACATCTCCTAGGCCCAGCGTATGCGTCCCGCGACCCCCTTGGGCGATGGCCCTGAAAAGAATCCCCCCGACCGTCTCACTCTGGCGTTCGAGGTTCAGAGAGACATCAACGACCAAGGATGGATGACGCCCTGCTACTCTGTTGATTCTGAGCCTTCCATCATCTATCTACCCCCTGGTGAGTAGTATCTCAACAATCCTCGATGCCGAACGATATTGACTTTAGCCATAGGCGTGACCTTGAAGCACAAGATGCGCAACTGGTGGTTCGGCCTCTTCGACCGCATGAACCCCATTGTCGCGCGCCGCTTCCACAAGGTCGAGTTCCGCGAAGACGGCGACCCGATTGCGCCCCTCGAGACTATCACCGAGCTTTCCGCCCCTTCTACGGACCCGGCCAAGCTCGGCCGCGCCTATGCCCACCACTACACTGAAGCCGAGATCAGCGAGGTCCTCAACACCCCCGGCGCCCGCCACGTCGCCGGCATCCCTGCCAAGACCGCGGAGGTCATCATCACGCAGCGCTGGCAGACTGTCCTCCGCTGGAGGACCCGTGACGGGAACCTGACCCGCCAGAACGACGTCATGCGCGTCGCCATCGAGCGGGCAAGGATCGAGCTCCGCGAGATGCGCATGACGGTCGACCACCTCTTGGAGAAGAAGGCCGCGGAGGAGCTCGCCCAGCGCCAGAAGCACCACAGACGCGTGCTGCGCCGGGTGTCGGCGCACCTGCACGAGCTGCGGTACGAGGTCCAGAGCAGATTCCAGTCCCTCAAGAACGCGGAGGATCAAAACCAGAACATGAGGGCGGAGCTGGCTGAGATTCAGTACCAGATCAAGGGCGAGTGCTCGAGAGCCAGCATGTCGGGTCCGAACGAGGTCCGACGGGCTGTCTCGCAGAACTTTCGGGACAAGATGGCAGCCTTGGAGCTCTCTGATTGCTTCTAAAGTCATCTCGCAGGTACAACGGGTCTACGACACAGCCATTCGTGCTCTTGGTATTGGAATGGCTTCTTGCAGCTATATTCAGCATGGTTCTTTGGTGACCTGTTGCTGACGGGTAAGCGTCTGCATCTGAACCAGAGTCAGTTCGACTGGCTGACAACACCAGGACAAGGCTATATCATGCCCACTGGGTCATTGCTCTGCTGTTCTCTGGGAGAAGTATGTGGTCGACATAGCAGGCCGTCAAATATCTTGCCCAGTCGCTTCGCATGTTCGCAATGCTACGTTACTGCAACGGACTCTTTCGAAGTCCCGGCCGTGGCCTACTCCTATCCTTATATGACCGTTGCAACCAGCCGTCGTCGATATTAAACTGGTTACATTAGCATCATCCCATTGGAATCGACTTCTCGGCTGTCTGAGTTGTCCGAATAAGCAAACACTTAGGTACTGCCAAGCTAGCATCGTCAATGTTGAGTGGAACCGTTGACTAACACTGCGTCGCAGGTTGGGTGATCCAACAATTCTCGAGCAGTCAATCTTGCATCCCCCACCTTTCGCAGAATGCTTTCCACGACCGATAATTTGGGCCAAGATTGGGCCGATATTTACCCACTGTTTGAGTACGATGCTGTGTTGAGATGGAATTGGAGATGTTGGATCTGCCCCGAAGCCAAGGACGGCGCTGCGGCAATGTCAGTGTAGATAGGAATTGTGTGAAAGTATCATGATCAACCACGAACGAGTGTGAACGCCAAAGACCGGAAAGTGATTGTGTGTGTGATTAAGACACAGGGAGATTGAAATCTCCGACACGGTATGATTAAATTGTACCAGAGCTTTGAGAAGAATCATGAGACCCCGGAACCCCTATTCGGGATCTGTATATACACAAACGTATTGAGATTCTATCCATTTCTTCTTTTCATCCAGCAAAGAGGCCTTCCCATTTGCGGCCCCCTTGCATTTTTTTTCCGCCATGCTATTGTCACATCATGAGAGGAGCATTATACACCGACCGGAACGCCCAATTCGCTGTTCCGGGAATCGAGAGAATATCGTAGAACATAATGGTACAAGCGGGGTTTATAAGGCGCCGACGCCTCCAGCGGCCGGCTGACCAGCCCCATGGTTTTAGAACGAGATCTCGGTAGAAATCGGAAGTGTGGTAAATATGTCGAGACATCTTTTCTTAAGCGTTCTTGACCACGCCGACCTTGGCAGCGCGCATCACCCGGCCATTGAGCTTGAAGCCCTTCTGCTGGACGTGGAAGACGGTGTTATCGTCCTTGTCGGGCTGGGGCGCCATGAAGGTGGCGTCGTGCTCGTTGGGGTTGAACTTCTCGCCCTCGGGGTTGAAGCGCTCGATGCCGTGCTTCTTCAGCGTCGACATGAGGATGTCGTCGGTCATCTTGAGACCCTCGTACAGGTTGGCGAGGTCCTTCAGGTCGTCCGACTTCTCCTCGACCTGGAGCTTCTCCTGGGGCACCATGGAGAGGGCGCGATCGAGGTTGTCGATGCTGTCGATGAGGTCCTTGGAGAACTTCTGCAGGGCGAAGTCGCGCGCCTGCTTGACCTCGCGCTGTGTCCGGTCCTGGAGGTTGCGGAAGTCGGCGATGGTGCGAAGGCACTTGTCCTTGAGGGCGGCATGTTAGAACCGGGTCTTGAAACTCGATGGCCGAGATCGGGGGACGGAATGCGAACGAACCTTCCAGTCGGCAGCCTCCTTCTCCTTAGTCTCCAACTGCTTCTTCAAGGCAGACTCAGCATCATCGGCAGGCTTCTCAGCCTCCTTGACGGGTTCGGTGCTCTCCTTGGCGTCGCTGTACCATCTCGCAACGGCGGGTTGCGCGGCTCGTATCCTGAAGGCAGGGGAGCTCTGGAACTGATTTTGAAAGACAGACTTAGGGGTCTGGGTGCGCATGCCGCTGCGCACTGCGCGAGAAGAGGAGGCAAAGGCTTGTTTGAACATTGTGACGGTTGTTGTGTACGAGTGAGAGGCTCAGGAGGGCGAAAGCGTGGTTGAGATCGAGGAGACGATGTAGGGGTTGGTCGCGTGTACGGAGAAGCTTTTAGAAGAAAATGAAATTTTGTCGGAATGGCCCCAAGTGACGAATTGCCGTCCCTTGGACCCCGGCCTTGCGGGAAAGTTCGCGCCCAATTATAAGATTCCAGAGAGCTCCATCCCGGGGCGGATGAATCAAGGGACCGTTCAGAGCTTTATCGATAACACTAGCGCCAAGACAAGGCCAACGCGCTTCTACCAGGCGCCAGGCACGGTCGCTGCACCTTCCAATTGGTAATTGAATGGCACCTGAGGCGGCGGCCTATGTTCCCTTTGCCTCTGGTCGCAAAAATATCCATTCAGCCTCCCCTCCACCGTGACACGACCGCCACCTTCCATCCACTCAATCCACCCGCGACCCACGATAATTACGATTGTCAAGGCGGTCTTGCTTTGAATTCACACCGAATCGACCCTATTTTCTGCAGAATAATCTGAATTACTCGCGAGAACCTTTGACCGAGCTACGACCAAAAAGGAGAAAGGCGGCGCGATGGATTACGAGCCGATGCTGTTGGACGGCGAGTCGGGAGGACCGTCGATCAAGATCTCAGGGGTACTACTTCCTCAAACCCTCCTAGGCGATGGTTTCGAAACTGACAGTCCGGGACATTTTCAGGCCGACAACATCCACGTCAACTTCGACCTCTCAAACTGCGACCTCTCCTTCGCCAACTCTCTGCGTCGCGTCATCCAGGCCGAAGTCCCAGTGATCGCTATCGACCTAGTTGAAATCGAGGCCAACACATCCGTCCTCGCCGATGAGTTCATCGCCCATCGCCTGGGTTTGATCCCCCTCCAATCCAAGGACGTCAACAGCTTGCTTTACACCCGAGACTGCGACTGCGAGCAGTATTGCGACAACTGCAGCGTAAAGCTCACGTTGCATGCGCGATGCTCGTCAGACGAGACCATGAAGGTCTACGCCAGCGACCTCATCGTCGACAGCTTCAGGCAGAATGGCACCGTGGGGAACCCTGTTATCCTTGATCCCGAAGGACAAGGCTCTTTGATTTGCAAGCTGCGCAAAGGGCAGGAGCTCAAGATATCTTGCATCGCGAAGAAGGGCATCGCAAAGGAGCACGCAAAGTGGATGCCGACGTCTGCCGTCGGGTTTGAATACGATCCCCACAACAAACTGCACCATCTAGATATGTGGTTCGAAGAAGATGCCAAAGCTGAATGGTGGGTAATTCAACTAGTACCTTTAACCACCCTCAGAAAGTGCGAGATGGCTAAATTGTAACCAGGCCCGAGAGCAAGTACGCCAAAATGGAGGACCCCCCGCAAGAAGGTGAAGCATTCGACTACGATGCGTTACCTGGCAAGTTCTATTTCGAGGTCGAAGGTGTAGGCAGTCTGGAGCCGGATCAAATTATCCAAGAAGGAATCAAGATTTTGCAGGAGAAGCTGGCCCTCACGCTTCACATTCTCACAGGCGAAGCGGACGAAGATGGCATGGGCGACTTTGACGGCCCTCGGAGCCCCAACCTGGACATGGACGGCGGCAACCCATGGCAAGACCAAGGCTACACTACTCCTTTCAACGGCGGCAACCAAACCTCGTGGGGAGGCAACGCAACGACACCCTATACCACCACTACTCCTTACGGCGCATCCGGACAGTCTGGGTGGAACTGAGAGAGTACGACAAAAATAAAATCACAAAAAGGCGTTTATGTACGACAACCACCTTGAGATATTGGGGGGTACTGGAGTTTTGCGAGTTTTTGAGACGAAGCCAGCTTGGTCATCAGCTGGTCCAATCGAGCCAGCTCGGAGGAGGTGGGTTTTGCCGGGTTTTGCCTTGCAACACGCGGGATGGACCAACCACGCACGAAGTGATGCATTCTGCGGCGGCAAGAGGGATTACGCTTCCCAGCGTCCCTACCATAGCTTTCTGGAATTAGATCTGGACCTAGACTGGCTTGGCTTGTAGACGTCTGCGACAGGGAATGGCGGCGGCAGAGCCATCGTGAAAAAAATAGAGCCTGCCAAACATCAGGGCGAAGGGAGGTAGGCGGGGTTTGGTGTCGGCCGAGAAGGTGCGTCTTCTCCCGGACATCTCTAATACAACTCACGCACAAACCTCACGTCAAGTTATATTTCACTGCTGCAAAGAAATCCAACCATATCTTTATTTCCTGTGTATCTCCTCCGTAACTCCTGTCAAATGCAGCAGAGTTGCCTCTTTCCAACGCCTCCAATCATGCCAAGATGGTGCTGGTGATGATGATGATGATGCAGCGCCAGTCTATCTTAACGCTCATTCTATAATACAACACAAGCCATTCGTGTGCCTATTACCCCTTAATGGACGCATCCTCACTGTTGCCGATATCGGCAACCTTTCTATAGACCTTGCGATGCATTTCTAGGAAGACAAATGTACAGATGGTTTGTCTGTAGGGGTGTTAGCAAAGCGTACGATGATATTGTTCGTATCAACGAGCAAGCGGGAAGATAACCTACGGTCCGAGGCGGAGGAAACTGGGCACCCAGCCCTTGAACATCCAGCCAAGGCCCTCAGCCTTGTAAATCTTGGCCAGCGTATGCGCCAGCCCCTCCTGCGTGCTCGCCGACATGACGCGCGTTTTGATGACATCAATGGGACTCGTCACCGTGGCCGCCATCACACCGGCGAGGAACGAGGCCGTAAAGTGCGTCGTCAGGTTATCACCCATGGGCGTGTTACGGATCAGCAAGCCTTTGAAGGTATCGTAGGATGCGAGCTGTGAGGCCGTCATGGCCGCGGCGCGCATGCTGTTGGGCAGGACGCCCCTGAACCAGCTCATGATGCCTTCCTCGCGCGCCATGCGCAGCATGCCCTCGAGGGCGTGGCTATAGTTTCTGCGCTCGGCGGCGGGGAGGGCAGCGTCCTGCTGCATACGAACGTTGAGGACGTCGGCGGCGTTTCCCGAGATGCCGCCGACGAAGCCCGCAGCCGAGGCCATTGCGACGAGGACTGGGAAGGCAGGGGTTTTGCCTTCGTTGGCGCGGGTTGCGCGGATCTTCATCTCCTCGTAGGCGCCGAAGCGGACGGTGGAGTAGGTCATTTGGCGGAGGAGGGAGGCCGAGAGGCCGTTGTAGAGGCCTGTTACGCCGTGGTTGCGGATGATGTGGGTGAAGGTGCCGACCATGTTCTTTGGCGCGTCGGGGCGGCGGACCTGGAGGCGGACCTAGAAGGGAGGGAGAGCATCGTGTAAGTAAGTCTTGTTTTTTGGTCTTGCTTTTGGGCTACGCGGTCTCTTGGTTTCAAAGAGTGCCGGGAGAGCTTGAGTTCGCCATCGTGGACCGAATGGTCGGTTTTTTGGTGTTTTCTCTTTGGAGGGGGAGCGCAGTTACCTTTACTGTGAGACATTGTCAGCTCTTGGCCGCTCCGACATCGCGATATCGCAGGCTCTATCGCCTGATCGCAAATCAACAGAACAGGGTGGTGATTGATGGAACTTACCCAAATCCAGGGGATGTGTCACGCAGGCGGCCATACTACTTGCGCTGCCTCCGAACCAAAACGGATACCGCAGGGACGGTTCCGCCGTCTTCTTCTGCTTCTGAGGCGCTGGTGTCGTTGCCGTCGCCGTCTGCTTCGGCTGCGTTTGAATTTGTGACTGCGGCTTCTCCTGAACCCCTTCGAGCTGCCCCATCTTCAACGGCGACGACGGCGACGACCCCGACGATTCGTCGGCCGGTTTGCTGGCGGCCATGTTGGCGGCGGCGGACTGCATCGTTGCAGGTGTTGCACTCTTTCCTACGATAAGCTCATCCCGCTGCGGCGCAACTGAACAATGCGTGGCGAAAAGGGCGGTAGGGAAGGACGGAAGAACGGCCTCTCGGATTTAACAAAAGTTATGTCCAAGATTGCCTATCCCCCTCTCACGTCTGCAACTATAGCTGGGCAGCGTGTGTTACTGGAACGTCAATTTCAGTCGCTGCGGTTGAGTGACGTCTTTGCGGATGAAGCCGACTTCGGGGGAGGGTGGTGCAGGAGGCTTTTTCCGCCAGGATAAGGGTGCAAGTGGTGGGAGAAAGAAGCCGAATGATTGGAGATCGGCTCGGTATATCGCGAACTTTTTTTTGTCGTTATCTTCCCCCCCTGGTTTGATTGACACCGATACGGCTGGATGGGGGGACGCGCTTGTAGTCGGCTCAAGGCGGAAACGAGATTTGCTGATAGAGCCGTCCTGCTTTTGCGACCAACGCAACAATCTGCTGCTTCGATTTCGGTGCGTCATGGGCCTGCAGCGAGCAAGGGTGCCATGCGCTAAGCGTCTCCGGACCCTTGCCCCGGGGGTCGGCAGGGCCTGGCGCCGTGTGCCGCTCCGGTCGCAATCCCAATTGCCTTGGCCCGTGCGCCCGTAGCTTTTGTCAGACTTCTGGTGATCGACACTTTTGACGTGACGACTAACTGCTGAGGTAGCTCCCTTTTTTTTTTTTTTTGGACCCCGTGACGGCAGCTTCAGACATTGTCGCAACAGCACCGAGAAGCTCTACACCTGTGATGAGCACGTAGCCAGAGGGCCTTTGTATCCGGACAAAGGCGTACACGACTTCGAAATGATCGTCCCAAGATTAGCTGGGAGGCAATTGCCAAGTTGCTTTCGTGGCGCCACCTACCCCAGAGCTCCTCGACAATGGCAAGCCCTCGCTTCATTGTCAATGAGTGGTAGCCGGCGCAGCTACTCCTCAGGTAAGATCTAGTCGGATCAATTGAACCGAAATAAGTCTAAGACGGGAAGCCTAGAACCCTCGACGATTTCGAAAACCTTGGACAACAAGAAGACCGTCGAGGTCAACGGCCAAACAATCCCAACCGACACCTGGTTCAACGTCCCGACCAACGTCCTCAACGCGGCATCGCGAAAGCTTCACCTTCAAAAGGACCACCCCGTTTACATAACGCGACAGATAATCGAGTCAAAATTCCCCGCGCCTACGTACAAGTACCACAACACATTTGACCCCGTCGTCTCTACACACCAAAACTTCGACTCGCTCGGCTTCCCCGCAGACCACCCCGGCCGCGCGAAATCGGACACCTACTACTTCAACAAGGACACGCTCCTCAGGACGCACACCAGCGCGCACCAGGCGCAGACCTTTCAAAAGAACCTGAGCGAGGGCTACCTCATCAGCGCCGATGTCTACAGGAGGGACGCCATCGACAGGAGCCACTACCCCGTCTTCCACCAGATGGAGGGCGCCCGCATGTGGGACAGGACAAAGGTGCCCAAAGGCGACATCGCGGCCGCCGTGTGGGAGGACCTCAACAGATTGCCGAAGCACAACGTCAAGGTCGAGGACCCTCACCCAGCCTTTGACGCGGAACGGAACCCCCTGCAGGAAGGCCACCACTCGCCCGCCGAGGCCGAAGCAATTGGTGCCCACCTGAAGCGGTCGCTCGAGAACATGGTGGTCGAAATCTTCACGAGGGCAAAGGCCGCGGCCGCGAAGGCGGATCCGGACTACAAGGACGAACCCCTGCGGGTCCGCTGGGTAGAAGCCTACTTCCCGTTCACAAGCCCCTCCTGGGAGCTCGAGGTGTACTACGCCGGGGACTGGCTCGAGGTACTGGGATGCGGCGTGGTGAAGCAGGACATCTGCATCAACGCGGGCGTGCCGCAGCAGGTGGGTTGGGCCTTTGGCATCGGCCTCGAGCGCATCGCCATGCTCCTCTTCCAGATCCCCGACATCCGCCTCTTCTGGTCCAAGGACGAGCGGTTTCTGAGCCAGTTCAGGGGCATCTCCGACCAGCTCGACTCGATGAAGCGCTTCGTGCCCTTCTCCAAGCACCCGGCCTGTCCCAAGGACGTCTCCTTCTGGCTCCGGAGCACTTCGTCGGCGGGAGGGAACACTAAGGCGAATGCGCAGGACTTCCACGAGAACGACTTTATGGAGCTGGTGCGCGACATCGCCGGCGAGAGGGCCGAGGACGTCCGCCTGGTGGACGAGTTCACGCACCCCAAGACGGGGAGGCGTAGCATGTGCTACCGCATCAACTACCGAAGTCTGGAGCGGACCCTTACCAACGAGGAGACCAATGAGCTACATAGCGAGGTGACCCGGAAATTGGTCGAAAAGCTAGGTGTCGAGATCCGGTAAGAGAAGGTACAGAGGGGAGCGTTGTTTAACGTTGGCAAGCTGAGGGGTAAAGGGGGCTGTGCTGCCAACACTTTGCTTGTCTTGAGATGGGACGGCTCCCGAAGCGGTGACTGAGTCCACTTCGCATAGCATCATTATATAGTGCTAGAACGGCGTAAGTTGTGCGCCTCGCTTGGTGTGTCGCGAGAAGAGTACTGCTTGCCGATGGCATCTGTAGCTTGCGCCCTGTCTGTGTGCCGGTGTAAAGGAGGAGAGAGAAGAGTTTTTGGCGTCGTGATGCCGTCACGCCATGTATCATAACTACGACTTGTACAATTAAGCCACGGAGGTGACCGAGCTCTGGTTGTGAGGCTGAGCTATGAACCAGAGTTCAGGGTAATTACGGGGACTCGGGAGTTCCTTTGATCCCGTCCTCTTGCAGATGTATGCTGAACAGGGCTCTGTTTCTCGGAAGCCATTGTCTGAAGCAACCGTGATGTGCGTTAAAACATTAGCCCAAAAGTAGCGGCAGGCAGAGCCGTTGGAAACATTCCCGACAGCGCGAAAGAGGTTAACTGTCAGCGTCGGAGCATCTCGCAAGGACACGGAAGATCCTGCTGCTTGCATCAAGTTTTTCTTTTCCTTTTCCCTCCCTCCCTCGGCAATACTCAGACGGTGCAATCATGCTCACGGCAGCTCAAACCCGTCGGTTCAAGAAAATTCTGAAGCAGTGACGCCGGGGTTGCAGATCGGTTGTATCATGCGCAAAAACCTAACAATGCCCCTGCCCGCACGCTCGCGGGAACGAGCGCATTAGTCTTCGGGAAGATGGAGCAGAACTTCGACCCGTCGTCCCAACAAACTTGGGACGGTCGTGCAGGTCAATTTCAAAGGCTATTGTTTTCCTTCAGTCAAGTTTCGGCTCATCCTGTTGCTCGTAACGTAGGAAGAAAGATGACACTTGGTCGATGATGGGGGCAGGGGGATGGTGTTAGTTGGGTGGCGATACACAGCCCACGCTCCCTTGTCGAGCTGTCGTCGTTCGTTGCATTAGACCAAGCTGTGATTGTTGCAAAATTTCATGCTGATTTCCCCTCGCAAGCGGGTTCCTTGTAATGTAGTCCAGACGGACTGGATAAGTTTGCCATCGCTTCAGGTCCGACTCAGCAGCAAAGTTAATCAGTCGATTCTAAGGGCAGGCAATGTCTCTCGTTGCAAGGGGGCCCCCGGACTTGCGGGCGATAAGGTGCAAGGTGCATCGAGCTTGATGAGTAGTCACCGTATCTGTATTGCAAACGTCTTGGGACCGCAGAGTCGCAGCAAACGGTAGGATATGGTTAGAGTGCCCAGAACTTGGAATAGTAAAGCCAGAGAACTTCGGAGTTCCAACTCGTACAACAAGATTTATCTGTCGAAGATGAAGGATTATGATCCGTGGGCCGTCGTTGATAGTCGTGGGACGAGACTCTTCGCCGTAGACGTAGCTTGCCTACCGTAATTGGGTAACTGGTAGCCGATATAATCTGGAGTGACGCCAGTGAAAAGAGTGTCAGAGGTGCAGCGAAGCGCAGAAAAAGGCCATGCATGTCTTGGCCTAGAACGGAATCTGGGGAAGCCGATTGCAGCACGAAACATCAATCTGGCAGGTGGAAAGTCTTGGTATCTTGCACAGCCTCGTTTCCAGATGGCCAGAGGGGGGGTATTTGCTGACCGTACAGCGAAACCGTAATCTGCCGTGGCAATCGGAGAGGGGAGCGTTTCTGCGGCTTGTCGGGGCGATCGGGTTGAAACATTGGCGAACGGCGTCACATAATGGCAGCAGCAGCAGCAATCAGCGGGTGGGCCTTGTGGATTGTTGAAGGCAAAATTCGTCTTGTTCGTTTATCCCATTGTGGCTGAATGAACCTCTGTTCGGGATCAGACGAGCGTGTGCGCTGAGAAGTGTCTCTGACTGAGTCACTCTCTATTCGGCGGCGTAGGGGAGGGGGGCTGAGGCTCGGTGCAATTTGGCGCAGAGCCGGCTGAGCGAAGACAAAATTCGTAGGCCGACTCGTGCGCCGGCGCAGGCTGAGCCGGCAGGGAGAGGTTCAAGCTTGAAGAGCGAGCCGCGACTGAGGCTTTTCGGGGCCCCGTCCCGCGATGCATCACGCCGTGGAGCGACGATTCCGAATGCCTTGCCCCTATTCACCCGGCCGGCATTAGGTCATTGCATAATTCAAAGATCGAGGCGGATTTTTGCTGAGCTGGCGCCATCGCTGCAGTTCGTTGAGAGGGGCTCGCACGAATCATGGGTGAGCTACCCTCCCAGACCAAGCCCCAGCTCCAGGTGGTATGATGCCGGGGGTTGGAGGCGTTGCTCAGCCAAGAGGAGGGACACAAGTTTCGGTCATTCATTTTGCACTGCAACCTGCCGACAACATCGTCAGAAGACATTTCGGAGAGAAGAGCGAACCTTGGTCAGGCAGTCTCGCAGGTGGTCCGAGGAGGCGCCGCCCGCCCCTATAGCTAGTAGCGAACCGTAAACTCCAAGTGTTGTAGATACAGTGGTCAAGACCAAACTGTCTCGTGAAAACAACACTTGCTGCACAGCCCCAGTCACTCCATGGACCCTGGGTCACTCAGGGACTTGACGCTGTGGGGGTTTGACTCCGTATCCCTGAAGGCTTTTAGCTTGACCGCGATAGCGCAAGAGCGGGGAGATTTGCTGTCGAGGTGTTGATTGTCAAATGGCAAGTCAACAGTATCTGAAGACTGCATCTGCAGGGTAACGTTGACGTTCGGAGTATGCCCGAGTCCAGACTGAGCATCTCGAGGATCTGAGATGCAGGTGTGTCTCTGAAAACGGGTGGCTGCATACCTAGGTACTCGGAATGAAGGCACCGGAGGCATCCCAGTACGCAAGAACCGAGACCCAAGCCTTCGGTGGCTGTCTGCTGTGCCTATTTCTCACGTGTTCAGAGACGTACTGGAAGGGAAAATAGGAGAAACCCGAGTCTGAGGTCACAAGACAAGATGGACGTACACGGTCGAGAGGGTCGACAGGGTCAAAAGAAGGCGATGCGCCGCTATCGAAGGTAGTGCTGTCGTCGGCTGGCGTAGCTGCGGCCAAGTAGCGGGTCGAGGCGCTGTTTCTCAGCACTTTCAAGACCAGGTGAGCCCCAAAGCGTGCCGTCATTGACCACGTCGGACGGATAGTGCGCTAGCAATGTGGGGGAACAGCGGTGGAAGAGGCTCGTGGATTCGTGCATGGGGCGCCCTCACAGCACACCGTAAAGCCGTCACTGAGGAAATTACCGATTGAGGCGGAGATAACTGGGGCCGCTACCGTAACGATACGTACTCGGGTCTAGCGTGAGATGGGCCATCTTACCTTAACTCATCCGTTAAGGAAGAGGACCAAGAGGACCAAGAGGACCAGAACACGGAAACTGCGCGTAAAGAATGGCTGGGGTGGCGAATGGCATTCTCGACAATTCGATTTCCAGTGGGGCCAGCAAACCAAGTCCAGTTCGATTCGTTGATAGCCTGCCGTGTCAAGCGGCCCATCTCCACGCACACGAGGACGACAGAGGTCCAGTCCCTCGTGGATCATTTTCCCATGAGCCAACAGGCGGTAACCGCAGCACCGGTTATGGCATGGCAGATATTGCAAGTAGTGTTGCGGAAAGCATACCGTGGACATTTCAAGCTTGGGAAATGCCAAGCCTACTGGAGAAAAAACCTTTGCCATAACAATTTTCTCTCTATTGCCTCTTGCTCTTGCACAGCCCCAATTCGGGTCAGCCATGTTAGTCCTGACCCCGGGCTGCTAGAGGCCCAGTGCCATGTCCAAAGCACCTCTTTCTACCTAGGTACCTACAGTAGTTGAAAGTTGGTGAGAGATGAATCGAAAGAGTGACTTACCTCATGGCACCTCATGCTGCGTTCAAGCTGGTGCCTTGCCGCTGTTCTCCATGCGTCGTCCGATCCCAACGGGCCCTCTCTTGCGCCAATGCATCTTGGCAAACCAACGCGGCCTGCCTTGCTGTTGACCTTTCACCATGAGGCCTGGAGTAAGCCTGCCCTGCACTGCAGAGCGACTGGGCTGTAGTTGACTCCGTGACTACGTGACTGTCTGTGGGAACGGATCGTGGTAACGGATAAGGAAGGGGACCACAGGCGCAGGGCGTATCGCAGACGTGGGAGGGTCCCCGTCTCCCGTCTCCACCACTGTGACGGGCTCCAAGGCGGCGAAACTTCAAACGGGCCTGTGAGTCCGTGTGGCCTTCCCGTTTCATCACACAGACACACCCAATGGTCCAGTTTACCCACGCCCTCACCTACCTTACCTAGGCTCCACCCAACGTCCAAAGGCACGGCACCCCTCCTACTCAGCCATGGATCCACTGTCCACCATCCATCCAACCATCCCACACTCCGCCCGACCCTAGTAGTCGTCGCTCAGTAGCGCCAGCCAAGCCACTTTCTCACTGGCACGCCCAAACATATAACCAAGACCGCCTCCCGCCAACCATCTGCATTACTTCTCATTCCAACTCCAGCAACAAACAACACAATATATACACACAACTGCAGTGCAAGTCTCTCTCCTGCAGATGAATAAAAGCACCACACATTCGGCGTAGAAATACAGCAAAGTGCAAGAAACGACTCCTTCGCCATACACCGCATAATCCACCGCTTCCGCTTCCACACACCTCAACAATAATACACAACCACCCAAAATGGAATCGCCTCAGCTGGACACTCGCCCCATCTTCTCGAGGCGTTCGACTGGCTCCTCCAAGTCGCTCTCACTCGACCTCTCCTCCCTGCCGCCTCTGATCCCGCCAACGCCGCCCACAAATACCCTTCTCTTCACAAACCTCAATGATACCTCCATCTTTCGCCCCGACAACCTGCAGACCATTCGCGACCTCGTTCTGAAGACGGCGCCCGTCCACTCATGGGCGCCTCTGAAGTCTTTCCGCCGCATCGTGGTCTCCTTCTTCTCAGAGGACGACGCTATCGCCGTCCGCCGCATCTGGGACGGTGAAGCCGTCATGGGCGAGCGAGTCCGTGTCTACTTCGGCCAGTCCACGCCCGTCGAGGTCACCGACCGCCACCTCGCACTGCCCGACGCTGGAAAGCTCTTCTTTATTTCTCCCCCTCCCTCGCCGCCTCACGGCTGGGAGATGAAGCTGGAAGATGCTCCCAACAAGATGGTCCATGCAGAGGATCTCGCCGACGCGCTGGCCAAGCTCCACCACCGCCCAACGGGCATTGAGACCCCCATCAGCCCCGTCGACGGCTCGAGACAAACACGCAGCAGGAGCTCTACTCTGCTGTACCAACCCGACGTCAACGGGACTAGCCCCGATCTGCCCGCTATCTGCCTAGAGGACATGACCGACGAGCCTATGGAGTTCAGCCCCATCGAGCCGAAGCCCATCATGGCGCATACTTCCCGCCCGCCCGTCGAGCTGATGCACCACGCATAATTTTCTTCAAGTTTTGCAGTTTTTGGAAGAGCGATTTTGGGTCGGCGTTGAGTGATGGTCTGGGACTTAAGCATCACAGGAACTTTTGGCACGCATCTGGCATTTTTGAACGGGCTTGCGACGGCGTTTTATGGAAAGACCACGGCTTGCACATACGGTTCAACATTAGGGAGGAATACTATTCGGATGGGATCGGCACTGTCATACTGTCGTTCCCGATGGCCAATGAGCCAGATTTCAAAAAAGTTTCTACCGTGCTGCAAATTAGCACGGATTTTTTCCTGTACACTAGATTACTCTTTCGCGCTTAGTATTGAAAGGCAGCGAAAGCAACTCGATTATCAACAACAAAGTGGCGTGGACCCCTATGTCTGTCTCATTATCGTACTATGTGGCTCTCCTCTTCTGCAACTCGAAACATGCGGCAGTGATATTCATGCCGTGGAGTAGATCCGTCAACAGGTGTACGCAAACCCACAAAAGGCTTGCTAGACCAAACGGTTTGATCTACAGATACAGTGTGTATTCTACACGAGATCCAAGTGACCCGGCCTCCAGAAGCCGATCAGGATCAGCCCATCGGTGTCGAAGTCTGTATACCAGGTTTCCGATGTGGGCCCTTTGCTCTTGCGGAAAGTACCACCACTACACTACGATACCACAGGCACCATCTCAAAAACCCTCCTACACAGGGCCGATGCCCCGCGGATCCCCAGCCAAGCCAGCAGGCCACCCACGGTGAAGGCTACGGTCAGAGCGATGAGGCTTCGGCGTTCGTTGCTGCGCACGCGGCGAGTACTTATTCCTGCTCGTGCTCCTGCGCCAGCCCCCGCCGCCTCTGTGGGGGCGGGGTCGGGGTCGGGGTCGGGTCCGCGAGCTAATGGGCCCCGGTCTTGGGACCGGGCCGCTGCCTCGGAGGACATGACGTCCAGGGTCGGGATATACTTGAACTCAAAGGTCGTTTCCTTTCCCAGGGCACCGAGCTCGGGTTTGTGGACTGTCAAGTTGAAGAGGGCTTTCTGGAGATTCTGGGAGGGGTTGGGTTAGTGATGATGTTGGTGGTCAAGGGGGCGTGTTTTCTGCTTTCGCCAGCCATCGGCCGAGAACAGACGATAAAAGAGGGGGATCCCCAAGGAGGTGGAATGGAAAGCAGACCTTATTCCTTGACTCGTCCCAGCTGGGGAACAGACGGCGAGAGTAGCACATGAACATGAAGAAGAGGCACTGGCCCAGGATGAGCAGCGAGTAGTGGAGGGGCGGCCTCTCGACGGCGAGGGCGCGCGCGAGCTTGGCACCGTTGAGCCAGTACGTTTCCGCGGCGAGGAACTCACGGGAGACGTGCGAGGGCGGCTGGTTGGCGAGGCCCGAGAGGACGTTGTTGGCGAGCGCGCGCGAGGTGTCGGAGGGTTGGATCTCGGAGGCGAGGAGGGATTCCATCATAGCCCTGGCCTTGGAGACGGAGGCGAAGGCGTCGGTGGGGGTGCCCATGATGTGGGCGACGTAGCGCCAGAGGGCGAGGTAGTCCTCCTTTTCGCGGTCGGTGAGGAATATCCCCTGGCGCGGGAGGCCGATCCAGAGAAGCGTCGAGGAGAAGGTTGATATTGTGCCGATGGAATCGAGGTCGTTTACAGGGACGCCGTAGGCTGCGACGTCGTAGTAGGAGGGCCGTTGGCCGGCAAGGAGGAGGATGCGGCGGCGGACGGCGGCGTGGAGGAGGCGGACTCTTATGCTGGAGGCGAAGCCGTCGCCGCCGGGTTGGATGGAGGGGAGGTCGCCGGTGACTTGGAGAATGTGCTGGAACGTCTCGAGGAGGCGGCGGCGGGTGACTTTGACGCCGAAGCCGCCGGTCCGGGAGAGGGTTTCCACGACGCGGCGGCCGCCCATGCCGCCTACCAGGGATTGGAATGTGAGCTGTGAGTTGTATTAGTGAGGTGTATGCGGTATACCCATCGTGAGACTAGAGGACAGGTTCGGGAGGTGTGGGTGAACTGACGGCGAAAATGGCTGGGCCGGCGTATCGAAGGAAGACTTGTTGCCCACGTTCAATTTGGGCCCAGTCGACCCATGGCGGGATGGTATTGACTTCAGTCCATAGTTTCCCCAGAACCTCATCCGCATCTGCGTTGTCTCTGAGAAGAGCATACAGGTCTCGATGCACCTTCGCGTCCCGAGGAGCGCCTGCCTTCTCGCCAGGAGCCGGGGGTTTCACGGGAGGGGACACCTTATCCAGTCGGTCTAATGCTTCGGCACCCAGCTCATCGTAGGTATATATCATCGGGCGAAGGTCATCGGATGTGAGGTGTTCGTCGGTCCACTTGAACCAGTAGTCCCAGACTTCTCGCCACTCGTCGCCCCGATACCAGAGGAAACCAGCCATTACTATTGCTTGAGGATTTGTGACCGTCTTGACAAAATCAATCTTAGAGAGGATCAAATGAGACAAAATTTTTAGAACCTCAGCTTTTCAGTGAGTATAAATTTGAGGAGACGAAAATCAAAAAGAATCGGGACTCCTAGTGTTAAGGCCGACTCAGCATGACAATGGTAAAGCTCAAGCTAAGGGCGGAAAGGCTTCGTCGAACTTGAAAGACTTGTCTCATCGGATACTAGATGTTTCTGAAGCAACTTGAACGACTCTTTCAAACTGAGGCCCGATAATCATATGAAAACGAATAACTGTAAGAAAATGGAGATACCAGGGCCAGAGAAACAGGAGTCCAGTCTGCAAGTTGGAGACTTTGGTAGAAGACAAACGAGGTAGTGGCCCTTTTCGGACGAGGGGGGTTTGACACCTGACTGGCGTATCACCGGACCATACTGGTTGACCGGAAAGCCCAGCTAGGAAAATGAGGGCCATTAGTAGATTGGACGGAGACGCAGGTAGGTGCACAGGCAAAGTTGGCCCCATGGCTTCGAAGACTGCCGAGAACATGGATGATGCTATGATATTTGCACGTGCTTGGTCTTCTCCCCAGTTGAAAGGGAGGGGCGGAACCTAGTATGGACCATTGGTGGCCGTATCTGAAGACTGGGCTCAATTGGATTGAAGAGACTCGAAATCCCCGAAACGTTCTGAAAGCGATAAGTTGTAGATGCGAATACCACCACTCTAAACCCACGTTGGTGGGGGTTGAATAAGTGGTCTCTGAAGTTGAGGATGAAGTGCATTCTTACCTAGTAAGTTTAAATTTCTATGGCCGCTGCCAGCACTCCTACAGGAGCCCCTGCAGTCCCGTCAGCACCGGTGGCACCCGGCGGAGCGGCACTTTTCCACCGGGTGCCCCTGCGATGGGTTCTCCTGTCTGCGCGTCCCGTCCCGTCCAGTCGCGCGACCGAATTAATTAGACTCGAGCTCGACTTTTTTTTTTTCCACACCCCCGGGCAGCCACCTCTTTGTCTGACCTCAACCCACGATATCATCCCCAGAACTCGAGTACTCCCCCTTCAAGTCCGAGTCAGTAACATTCACGAATACCTACACAATGCTCTGCTCCTGTCGCCTGAGCCCCCTGCGGCTTTTCATACAGGGCATTTCGCAATTGCACATCTCCGAACCTGTCGCCGCAGCGAGACTCCCGCAACACCTCAAGAACTCCCGTATTCTCCAGCTCAGCCAGGCCTCAACATTTGCAACTTCAACCGTCCAGAACCAAAAGCATGACTGGGTGCCCTTCCAAAAAGGAGGAAAGCAGGCTACATCAAGGGGGCTAGTCGACGAACAAGACCCAGACGACGCGAAACCGAAGCGAGAAAACTGGCAGCTCCAAAAAGAAGCCCTCAAAAAGAAGTTCCCCGAGGGTTGGAAGCCGCGCAAGCGCCTGTCCCCGGACGCCATTGCCGGCATCAAGGCGCTGCACGCACAGTTTCCCGAGGAGTACGACCTCAAGACGCTCGCCGACAAGTTCGAGATGTCGCCCGAGGCGATCCGCCGCATCCTGAGGAGCAAGTGGCAGGCGTCGCCCGAGGAAGAGGAGGACAGACAAGAGAGATGGTTCCGGCGCGGTGTCAACGTGTGGTCGCGGTACGCGGAGCTGGGCCTGAAGCCGCCCAGTAAATGGCGCCGCGAGGGCGTCACGCGCGACCCGTCGTATCACGAGAACCGCAAGGCGGCGATACAGAGGAGGAAAGAGGAGGAGGCCACGGAGAATGTCGGGGAGAGGCTGCAGCGGAAGCTGTCTGATACCATTCTGTGAGTGCTGGATATGGCGACTGCGTTTTTCCGACGAGCAGTTCGAATACCATCTCAGCTCCTATATCAAATCGGCCGGAACATGGCCCCAAAATCTAATAATCAACATTACATCAACACACGTTCAAGGCGCAGCGATCATCGGGCGCATTTCGTCGAATATGCAAGTTGTGACACAACCAATCATTCATTCCCTGCGGCTGCATAAACCCCATACTTTTTCATTGGTTGTGCGGTTGGCTGCCTATCAGCCTTCTTTCCAGCTTCAAAGCCTCACTGCATGCGCAAATCGAGGACGTTGTCACCGAGAAGAGTATCGATCAGAATCTGCAGAGTAACACACAGTTCCACGCTACCTAATCATGCGACTTCTATCGACGAAGACGAAAGAACTCGAGTTCTTTGATCTTGAATATGCCCCACCTTACGCCGTGCTATCTCACCTTTGGGAGCATGATGAGGTTCTATTCCAAGATATGAGAGACTTGGCAACGGCGGCTTTGAAAGGCGGCTTTCGAAAAATAAACTCCGCTTGTTCAGTTGCTGAAGGACAAGGACTCGGGTATATTTGGATTGATACTTGTTGCGTAGATAAGGAAAGCGAAGCCGAACGAAGCGAAGCAGTCGAGTCAAGCTTTCGCGTCTTCAAATCAGCGGCAGTATGCATTGCCTACCTGTCTGATGTTGACATGCAATCGGGGACATATGTTGTGTCTGGAGATCCTTCACGTACCAATATTGACTTTACCGATGGAAAAACGCCATTCAGACTACCGGATGTTTTCAAACGCAGCAGATGGTTTTCGCGGTCTTGGACACTACCGGAACTCATTGCCCCACCTCGGCTTGTATTCTATACCCGCGACTGGCAGATTATCGGCTCGCGATTCGACCTCCGAAGGCAGTTGTATGACATTACTAGTATTGACCCTTTCGTTCTCGAGGGAGGTGATCTTGCAGGGGTGTCTGTGGCCCGGAAGATGTTCTGGGCCACCAACCGCAACGCGCGTTGGCTCGAGGATATTGCATATTCCTTGTCAGGACTATTCGGCGTCGATATGATACCGATCTACGGCGAGGGCAATGTAAACGCTTTCTTACGTCTTCAAGAGCACGTTGCAAAGACCGTCAGAGATCCGACCCTTTTCGCCTGGAGAGGAGATTGGGCCCAGAAGTACTCGACTTGGGATGACTGCAAAGACCTTGTCGACTCGGGGCGACTCAGGGACTTCCTGGCAAGCAGTCCGACTGCCTTTAGTCACTGTGGAAGAATGTTCCCCGCTTTAGGAACCGTTGATGACAGTGGGCCAAGTTACAGAGACTTCGATGATGCTGAGGATTCGGCATGGGAGACCAGCTCTGTAGCATCCTTTGAATCGTCGACGACCACTTTGGTTGGAGGATCGACTTCGACACCGGTTAGAGCAGGCTTGGGCAATGCGATATCGTTCTTGTCCGAGAATGGCAAGTTATATCCGCTCTTTGAGTCGGCTATGCGAAAGCCTGGAATTGGATCCGACAGGCTTCGAAGGAACTTGACCCGAATGCTGCGATCATTGGGGCTGGAGTTAGCAATAGAAGCTACATCAAAGGAAGAAGCCCTATCCGCTGTATTCTTCCGTATGTACCGGCTGGCAATTGCATCAGGGGTCACATCGAGAATCGCAGAGAAGTGCCTCAAGCCTATCGCCCTCGACCAGCCGAGGGATAGCACCCCGGAGCTTTTTTCAGGCACTCAGCCTGAGGAATCAAGACCTGATGACGTCGCGCAGCTTGAGCAGGAAGACGACGACTTGGACCATCAAGAGGACGAGGATATCCCCGAGGAGAAGGAGGGGGGAGCAGATGAATTAGACTTTGAGAGTATCCGGGCTTTCGTCCTCTCCAGCGCGGCATTCGATAACATGACGAGGAGACTTTCCGATTTTGTCAACACTAGTTTCCGGACACAGGCTCAGAAGCTCGTCGCGAAGGTCCTCAAGGGCAAAGACATTTTGAATGACCAGTATTGGGTTGACATGAAGTATAAGATGCAAGTCATCCTGACGGAGCTGGAAGAGTCGCGTCCTGAGAATGTTGTGCTCGACATTGAAACCACACCGAAGAGACTGGATACATTCCAAGCTTGGGTGGAAATTTGGACAGAGGAGGATTGGGATTGGTGGCCCCTTTCGCCTCCCAAGCATGCTCTGAGCTCGACCGAGGCGCGAATTGGATGGCGCTGTGTGAGTTACATGTAACAGTCCTTCACGGAGACTCATGTTGCTAACGTCTCATGCTCAGAGGTGTGGTACATCAAGATGGGAAACCGTCCCAGCGTCATTCGCAGGTAACATCGCAATGTTGCTGCAAAAGTATCCTCTCGTAAGCCGAAGCCAAACAGCTTCGGCAAGCAACCCAACAGCAGAGGCTCCGCCGACATCGTCGACGGTAAGTGCGCCATCGTCGTTAGGAACAAGATCCATGAAGACGCCTACCGGCGGCGGTGCATCGGATTTGCCTGACCCAGCGTCATCGCCTCACCAGGGGAACCAAACTGACCAGATGTACAAATACCCCCGACCGAGATACATTTTCTTGCTCGCTACCACGAGCCGGCATCGGCTCAGACAGCTACCCTCGCTTTTTTTAGACACTGCGGAATTTGGCCAAGAGTTGCGAAAGACATACCGCGATCTTAAAGGCTTCTGGCGATGGTGGTTCTCGCCTTACAATTTCTCACACTGTGAGTTTGTCCGTGTAAGTGTCCCCATCCTTCAGTCGGGAATTAAGACCCAAAGGCCAGTTGCACTTTTTCCGTCGCCGCTACGGACAGCATATTGTTAAGCGAGATTGAAGGCTTACACTGGAACCCTGTCAGTTTGAAAAGTTCTGCCGCAACGGTTTCGCCTACCGCGGCCTCGAAGTCCCAAGCACATTACAAAAGGACTACTACTACAACCCCCGACCCGCCCTCCGCGAGCCACCCGTCTCTCCCGAAGAATTCAGCCACGTGTTTCGCTATGCGGCCAAGAACGAAAGTGTTGTCTGGACATCGCTCGGTCTGCCTTTCTATGAGACCGTGGAGGCGCTGAGCGACGACACGGTCGGCTGCATACCCCAGCGGTACCACTACCTCGATGAGAGGAGCAATCGCAAGGAAGACTTTTGGGGCTTGTATATCCGAGAACGTCGGTCCGCGCTGATGACATCGGCATACATATTGCTGTGTCTCTCGCCGTTTTTTGCCTTTTGCTTTTTGTACCTGTTTGGAGTCATTTCTGGGGATATACAGAATGCGACGACGCCTCTGGCGCTAGCTTTGACGGCTCTTGGGCTATTTCTCGGGTCTATGGTCAAGTCTTAGAAGGAAGGAACTTGAACAATGGACCATGTTTGCTGAACTTGGGGTGCTCACGAGCAGAAATCCACTTGGAGAATGGATCGGGGGCTTACACAGGAGTTGAAACAGGAGGAAAGGTCTTTCAGTTATTGCAGTGGTTGGCGAGAGAAAGAGATCAGTGCTTACCTCGCCACCATGTTCATTGTGACAACGTCACTCCAATGTCCAGAAACTGTGAGCTTGCAGTTGGCAAAAGAGGCAGGGAAGCATGAGACGGGTTCATAATTTGCAGCTCCTCAAGTGCTTCATCAAATACAAACCCGCTTGCAGTGGATATAGGATTGAGTAACCGCACAATCGATCTTTCCTGTGCAAACGTACTACTTTTACTACTTCCTGGGTGCAAAAATTGTCAACTTCACTCATTCAGCGCAAGTAACAAAAAAATGACCAAGATGAAAGACCAGCCTCCACGATAACGATTGTTCAAGGACCGACCGCGATTCGAACGCGGGGCCTAGAGATAGGTTGCTGCGGAAGCTGCAATCTCTCGCTCTACCACTGAGCTATCGATCCTTGTAAGCGAATGAAGGCTTAGTCATCTGGTGATGAGATGCGAGCGTCTCCATCGTGTGATTAAGATTACAGATGTAGCAAGGGACACATAAGCGAGGCAGAAGCAAGTGATGTGGTTACCTCTCTGCATGCTTCTTGTGACGTGAAGTGGGGACATTGCTTATCAAATTGTGCATGTGAGCCATAGTCATGCAGGTGAAAAGGATAGACAGGACAGGAAATACAGAAGAAGGTCAGGACATTCACTTTCACAACAAGAAGGGCAACGGGGAAGAGCGCTTGTGGGAAACTTGCAAGTGACATTTGAACACAAGTTTGATATTTCGGCTCCCAGTTCTAGCTCCTTCAACCTAGGGCTATGTTAATTAATGTACAGGGCGAGGCCAGTCTAAAACACAACGCTAGAGCTTTAGATACCCAAGGAGAACTCGACGCCGACATCAATGTCACGGGCTGGAGATTGATAGTTAGTACCAGGTCATTGGGAGAAAGGGGATTAATTTCACGACTTACCCATCTTGACAACCTTGGACAGTTGCACGGCCTTCTCGGCGGCGGTCTGGAGGTCGTCGATGGAGAAGATCTTCATGCCAGAGTTGTTGATGATGTCGTGGGCGGCCTCGACGTTGGTACCCTGGAGACGAGCAATGATGGGGATCTTGAGGTTGAGCTCCTTGGAGGCGTTGATGAGACCCTTGGCGATGAGGTCGCAGCGGACGATGCCACCAAAGATGTTGACAAAGATGGCGGAAACCTTGGGGTCGCTCGTGATGAGCTCAAAGGCCTCCTTGATGGCGGCGGGGGTAGCACCACCACCAACGTCGAGGAAGTTGGCGGGGGTACCCTTGTTCAGTTTGATAATGTCCATGGTGGCCATGGCCAGACCGGCACCGTTGACGAGGCAGCCAATGTCGCCGTCGAGCTTGATGAAGTTGAGGCCGGATTCGGCGGCGCGGACCTCATCGGCGTCCTCCTGGGTGGTGTCGCGCAGGGCGAAAACCTCCTTCTGGCGGTAGTCGGCGTTGTCGTCGAAGCCGAACTTGGCGTCCATGCAGAGGACCTTGTGGTCAGAGGTCTCGGAGAGGGGGTTGATCTCGATCTGGGTGGCGTCCTTCTCGAGGAAGATCTTGTAGAGCTTCTGGATAGTGTCCTTGGCGTCCTCGATGCACTGCTCGCTGAAGCCGAGCTTGACGGCGATGTCGCGAGCGATCTCGTCAGTGACGCCCTTGTTGATGTCGATGTTGGTGGTGATGATGGCGTCGGGGTTCTCCTTGGCGACGGTCTCGATGTCCATGCCGCCCTGGGAGGAGGAGACGATGACGGGGGCCTGGGAGGCGCGGTCCATTAGGATGGCGAGGTAGAACTCGCGGCGGGCGAACTTGCGCTCGCAAATGTAGACGGAGCTGCAGAGCTTGCCGCCAGCGCCGGTCTGCTTCGTGATGAGCTTGTGGCCGATCATCTGCTCGGCGAACATCTCGGCCTCGGTGGGGGAGTAGATGACGCGGACGCCGCCCTTCAGACCGTTGTCAAAAGTGCCCTTTCCACGTCCACCGGCGAGGACCTGAGCCTTGATGACCATGTCCTCACCACCAATCTCCTTTGCGATGGCCTTGGCCTCGGCGGCGGTCTTCGCGTTGGATCCCTTGGGGACACCGACTCCATACTAGACAAGGTGGGAAAAGCGACCCGAACGTTAGCTATTGTCTGGTCTTGTATCGCACTGAGCTGGAGCTCCTGAAAAACTGGCCCCCCCGAAAAGGAGTGGGGCCCTTGTATCGTGGGTTCCTGGTGGGTGTTTACCTGGCGCAGAAGGTCGGCGGAGAGGTACTCGTGAATGCTGAGGTTTCTCCTTTGTTGCTGGGCGAGGCCCGGGTATCTAGGAGCGGCGACCTTGGAGGAAGTTTGGATGGCAGAAGCCAACCGGCTGCGTCCGAGCTTGAACATGATTGTGAAGGGGGTTGATGTGTTCGTGTCGCGAAGACGGGGGGTTTCGAGACCGGAAGAAGTGGGAAAGGTAGGCGCGCCTGTCAATTAAATGACTGACAAGAAGATCCCGACGGGTGGGATAAAGAGGCGCGTGCTCGTAGATGGGGAAAAGGAAAAAGGACCGACGAGAAGTCCTGTAGGTGTGCTGTGATGCAATTGGTTTTGCAAGAAAGCGCTATCTACAAGCAATCTCAAACGGGAAAACCAGAGGTTTCTGGGCCGCGGGAATTCCCGGTCCTCTGGTTGGTTTTCGCTCGGAACAAAGCTTCAGCCGAGCTACAGGGATGTACCGCCGCTTTTACAAGGTCCATGGCACCCAATGGAGCTTGCTCACTCCGCCATACACTTCTCCATATTTCCCGTAGCCAAAAGGGTCTGAGGTCTGTGAAGCTAATAAGGGAAACTCGTCGTATGTGCTCTATCTCAGTTCAATTAGCTCGGTTCATTCAAGGTCTTTAAAAATCACTGAATGCACAGTACCAAGGTCTGTCCCGGACGACTGTTAGCCGAAGTACGGGAAAGCTCCGTCGGAAGATCGGGGGCTACCTGGTAAAGCGGCCGATAGTGGTCCGAGCTCCGAACCCGTGCACCTGTCAAGACATAACGCCAACCACGTGTCTGCAGGAGCTGCATCTGCAGGTTCATCATGTGGCGTCATTTCTTCACCTCGACTTTCAGACATTGCTGGGATCCTGCTTGGCACACGCTGCCATCCGACTCTAGGGACAGCACATCCATTTGTACTACCGGTAATATTGTTGAAAGACTCACAGATACACCTCGAAATATGCTTCCTTCGGCTCAACTCCTTTTCACACTCACTTGAGCTCCAACGCGTACCGTTCATTATACCTTACGGCATAATGACCACTGAGATCAATCCCATCCAATGACAGTGTCTAATTCGGTGACGATGTGTTGTTGGAGGAAATCAGGAATTTCTACAAAGTTGGGAGGTCGATTTGAAGGTGTTAAACATGACCGATTGCAAGACCCTCACCTGCTACTTAGTTAGCGACCTATGATGAGCTCATATTGAAGGATCCAACTTACTGAAGTCATTGACTATGGTCCCTACCCGAGCTTTTCTCAGCCGCATCTCACCAATCTGAATCTTCCAATATGCTCTGTCATTCAAATGGCCGCTACCGGTAGACACATTACTCGAGTCCCAAACTGATGATCAAGCTGAGAGCCTAGGACGCAGCCAACATCGATGCGAGCTACCGGCTCTGATAAACTGACCACGACTGGCATGCGTGGACCAGCACGTAGACGGGAGGGTTTTGCGCCATCACATGGCAAGCCAGAATTGTGCTCATGATGGCAGTGGCCCAGGCTATCAGTAGTCGTCTCAACCACAGTCGAAGCCTCCTGGTAGGCGGCCACCACATGCAGACGTCCTCTCGTACTTGGTCCAGTCTCCTTGTGGCAGTCGATCCCATAGCTCGATAAGTCTCCTTGGCACTCGACAGCAGGCTGGTGGCGCAGAGTCGTGTTCCGCGCCACCAGAGGCCTGATGAGGTCTTTTCTTCGCAAGGTGAAGCGGTAGTTGGCGCACTCTCGTTGTCGATAAGCCTTACAACCGAGGGCTGGACATAGCAAGAGAGCTGATACGAGTGATATTTCTCGACGCACTGTACGTTGGTTGCGTCGTCTTCGGCTTCCGATAGCCGTCTAAAGGGGTTCTTTAGCAGTGTTTTTGAAGAATCATAAGCGGTTCGCGCATCAGCATTGCGCCAAATGGCCGACACCGGCCAATAGGAAGGCTGCTGGTGCACATCCATCAGATCTGGAGCTTCGCCCTTTCCGGCGTAGTTTTTTTGGTTGAATTGAAAATTCGGTGTTCAGGTTGTTGGACCGGCTGATGATGAGCTGTAATGTGGAGGGTTCACCCATCTTAAGGCTGGGATGGCTTGATAGCGCAGGACGGGGCGAGACTTTAGACGACCGATCATGAAAGGCGACAGTCTTGCGGGACAGCTAGGCATAGCAGCAGCTGTATCCGGTAGAAGCTTCCATAAATTCAGGCTTATCTTGATTCAGCAAAGGTCCTCAGGCAGATACTGGTAAAGACTCACTCATCATAGTGCAGTCTTAGTGCTCAGACCAGAAGAGACGAGAATCTCAAGGATTGCTATCAAACTCCAATGACTCTGCTGCATGTTAGATAGATACTGAGATGAAAGAAGTGATGTACGAGCCGTCCAGGGAAGCCAAGTTCCGAATTTCGGAAGACCCCTGTCTTGGGTCTGAAATGGCTGTCATTTTGTCTCAGCAATACTTGCTGCTTTGAACTCGCTCAGCCAATGCTTCAACTCAATCTGGTCAAAGGAAACAAAGCGCAAACAACCAGAAAAGAAGACCAGAAGAAGGAAAAATAGATTCCAGAGCTTGGATTCAGGCCGGCGCAAGAGTGCCTATATCCCCCAAATGGCCCCGATGCGACGCCGGACGTAGTGATCAGGCCATTCCACTCAGCCTCCCAGGACCCATCCCCCGAGATCCCTCCAGCCACAGCATCTGTCGGCCCAAAATGGATCCCCCTTCGGCTATTGCGATTCTCGGATGAATGGCGTCCACAACCGTCAACGGAGGATCCACCTTGAGGCTCAAAGATATGTCGTTTGCCGGGCCGCGGTTAACTCTCTCGAGGTCCCCGTCGCCGTACCATACACACCCTTGCTACGGTAATAGCGTTTCCATGCATCTCTCCCGTTCTTGAACTTTCCAGCTTGCATGCTAGCGAAAAGCCCTCCCGGCGGACACTTCCCGAACCTTGCCCAGATCTATCAGAGTCGATGACGCGAATTTTGCTTTTGCTCGGGATGGTTAGGTCTTCGACGGGGTCTAGACTTTGGTGTTGCGGCTGGGGGAGAAAGTCGTCCTTTTTCCTCGCCACTTATTCCCGGGTTTTCTCCTTCACGAAGAAGACCTTTCAATCCCGTCCCTAGGAGACCGATATTTTCCTTCTATCCTTCATCCATTTTTCTTGAGAGGCAATCAACACGGTGAAAGACTAAAAGTTCTCGCTAGCTCCCTTCGTTGATCGTCTGGATGATCTGCGCCTTACTCAGGTCTCAGTCGCGAAGAGAGCGACCCACATCGTAGTCTTGAGCACGACCTCGCAACGACGAAGCCCGCGAAACAGTTTTAAGCACGACACCGCTCAGGTCTTATCGCATGCCCGGCGATTGAGAAAAAACTGTTGATTCCACGATGGCAGAGGCTCCACATCGTATGTTGGCCGAAGGAACGTCAAGGAAAAGCGGGCTCTGACATTGCGAGACTCTCCGAACCAGTCCCGAGCCAACTTTAGAGGCGATAGGCGAAGGTGACTAACTTGACCAGTGCATACCGGTCTTTGCCGTATTCGGGAGCCCCTTCCAACATTTAATTATTGCGACCATTTTGTACCCAGACTCGTTTCTTTCCTTCTCGAATTTTTCGAGGTTTTCCCACGCCGTTTCTTCGAGTTCTGCTAGTCTCCAGGGGCTTGAGTGAGCCTTCGAGGTTATACCGTGCAGCGACGCAATCTCGAATATGTCATTAGGAGACGCACATGGCAGGGCCTTCGGGTGTGCGCCTGCGGCGGCAGCCAGCCCATGCTAGCTACCATGCTAGCTAGGCAAGCGCCCAGTCAAGTCGGGACTGTCCTTCATAAGGTACGGAGCCCAAAGTATACTCGCTGCCGGGGCGTTGAGCTTTGCAGCTACGCAAGCCGTCCACTCAGCTTCACATGCAGAGCCATGGATATTACACCAGGGGTCGCATAAGACCATCTCCTTTGACCTGGCTCGGCCGGCCGTGGTCTCGGAGGTCACTCATCGTGGGTATATAATCTCGCTGGAGCCCCCCTTCCCGAGAAGTCTCCTGCCCCGTCCCGGTTTTGTTTCCATATCCAGTCTTGTTTCTTGCCTTCTGCTTTGCATTTAAGGGGTCATCGTTTGACCTTTGCCAGTCCAGTCGATCTCTACTTATATCACCATACACACGCACACATAGACCCTGGACTTGGTTCTCTGGTCCCTTGATCCCTTCTCTTTGCTTCTCGTCTCAAGCTCCAACAACAATACTACAATGTCTTCCGAACAAAAGCCTCTCAGCTGGTGGAAGCGCCACTGCACTCCGCCGCCGGCCATCAACCGAACTCCTCAGTGTCCATGCTCCGCCTGCTGGAACGGCAACGGCGAGCACTGGAAGACGACCGCCCCGCAGACCACGGCACCGAGTTACACGTCTACACCGAGTCCGCCAACAAAAGAAACACGAGCACAAACTCTGCGACGAGAAATAGAATCAGACCTGACGCCCCTCCACCGTGAAGAGACTTCTTCAACGACAAATCTCAGCGTCTACTCCCAGGAAAGCAGCACCAGCTCAGACCGTGCCTCTCTCACCAACGTTCACCGCCCAGCCCGAGGAAAGGAAATCTTCTAGGGGAGAGAAGTAGGGGGGAGAGGGGGGAGAACGACAACGACGCCGCAAGCTGACTAGATCTGGGCCACGTTACCCCGGGAAGTGACATCTTGGCATGGGGATCTGGACCATTCTCCTTCCTGCATTCACTTCCTCCTGGAGCTACTCGAGAGAAGCAGGCCTCCTTCTTTTCAGACAGGCTTGGATTCAACCCCTCAATCCTGCCCCGGACGCCAAGAGGCTGACTCTCATCAAGAGCGTTGTCTCTGGGCGCAGCTGCACAAACGCGGTCGATAGCACCAGATTTAGGGTTTGAGATGCAGATAAGGGGTCCTTGGGTCGCAGTCGTTGGACGAACTGGGATACGCCGGCCGGCGCCACCTAGCTGGTTAGCGGGGGTGACTGTCCCGTTGGGCTGATGAGATCTCAATCCTGGGGAAGTAATAGGATGGGGTAAAAAAGAAATGCTCTTGGGTGTGGTGCCGTGCCACTCACTGGTGGTTGGCGTGCTCCCTCGCTTTTAGCTTGCTTGGGCTTGGAAAGTTGGAGGGGGAAAGTTGAAGTTGGGGTAATGAATGGCAGGCCTGGTATGCCGGGGTTTGGTTTCCGCTTGTCAGCCAGCCAGGCGAGATGGGAACTAACCGCGACTTGGATGCTGAGTTTAGAAGATATCACAAGACGAGGAGGGGAGCCTGGCGTTGGTACTTACATCGTAGAGGGTGTTACTTTCCCTACCTACACGAAGGAATGCACTGGAGCCAGACGGAATTTTATTTCATTTGATTATATATTTCAAGAACTAAACCACAAATTCCTACAACAGACAGATATGCAGCATGAGGCATCCATCCCGTTGCAAATCATTTCAAGCAGGTCACGTTATGATCCTATAGAATCATCTTCACAGCTTTGGGCGGAGCATGAACGGCCCCATCAGCGCCCCACCACGGCCCCGTTCTTGTTAATTTGTCGGTCGATCGGGAACATGACCCCACCACCATTGCACCGGGGGCCGAATCAGGCAACTTGGAACAACAAGCTTAAAAAAGCACGCAATAGCTCCAATGGGCGTGACAACAGCACGTAGTCAAAGGGGGCAGGCAGACATCCTTCATAGGCGATATAGCAAAGCAAAAGTGTGGCAGATTTCTTTTTGCCGAGATCAAATTCTCGTTAATGGAGCTACAGAAAACAAAAGACAAGGACCGACCGCGATTCGAACGCGGGGCCTAGAGATAAACTGCGTTTAACTGCAATCTCTCGCTCTACCACTGAGCTATCGATCCAAGTGGTTAATAATTGTTGGTTAGCGGAGCGAAACACAGCCCAAGACGGGCGGAGGGACACGGTGGCTGCAAAAGACAAACAGAATGGGTCTTTGGTGGGGCCGAAATGAATGCTGCATGCTGTGGGATCAGTCGGGTCAGTCATAGTATGTGGAGGCCGTTGCTATTCTACGTCACTCAGAGCTCACCCAACGGTCCAAGCTAGTGGCATGTAACTGAGCTTGAGAGCTCTGCTTTGAAACGAGCAAACCATCATACTATCAAACCAGATTTGAAAAAACCCAGTCTTTTAATACAACATGGCACCAAATGTAGATGCAGCAATTCTCGCAGCGCTCCATCTTGACCCAGAACAGACCAAAATCGCGTCCCATGGCGCCTCTGGCTTTGCGTCATCATTCAAACTCACGTCCGTCATCGATGGCCAGCCCACCAACTTTTTCGTGAAGACGGGCGCCGGAAAAGATGCTGAAGTCATGTTCAGAGGTCAGTGAAGCCCGAAGGACGAGAGCAGTATGGTGGAAAAAAAACCATCCGGACTCGACTTAGCATTCAAGCTTAAGCATTGGGCATTGACAATCCGCAGGCGAACATGAATCGCTAAACGCAATCCACAACGCGGTGCCGAACTTCTGCCCAAAGTCGCACACCCACGGGCGATACCAGTCGTCGCCGGACAAGTACTTTCTAGTCACGGACTTCCTGGAACTGGGATCCTCGACCTCTGGCGGATCCGGCCTGTCACTAGCCGCGAAGCTCGCCAAGATGCACACGACCCCGGCACCTATCCCAGAAGGGTTCGACAAGCCCATGTACGGGTTTCCTGTGAGCACCTGCTGCGGTTCAACGCCGCAGGATAACTCGTGGAAGGAGATGTGGGCGGAGTTTTACGCCGAGAATAGGCTGCGTGGCGTCTTGCGCGCAGGGATCAAGAACAACGGCTCGGATGGAGAGCTGTCCGATGCCGTGGAGACCGTTGCGAGCCGGGTCGTCCCACGGTTGATCGGCGACGACCACGTCAAGGGCATCAAGCCAGTGGTGGTCCACGGAGACCTCTGGAGCGGGAACCACAGCCGGGGCCAGATCGCCGGGAAGGGCGGCGCCGAGGAGGTGGTCTACGACTCGTCGGCCGTGTACGGGCACTCGGAGTACGAGCTGGGCATCATGAAGATGTTTGGCGGCTTCGGGAGCAGCTTCTGGAACGAGTACAACAAGCTCGTGCCAAAGGCGGAACCGGTAGGGGAATGGGATGATCGGGTTGCACTCTACGAGTTGTAAGTCCACTCGCTCGCCTTCTCGCCCACTTACTTGGGGTTGCTATGGTGATTTGCCCCGCTGACAAGGAGGCCGCAGATATCACCACCTCAACCATTATGCGATATTCGGTGGAGGATACCGCGGAGGCGCAATGGGTATCATGAAGAACCTGATTTCAAAGTATGGCTGAATCAATTCACTATTAGCAGTACCATGGCGCCAGGAAGATTCCATGGTTTGAGTTGGAGAAATTCGACATTAAAGCCGGCCCGCGCCGATGGGAGACATGACCTTAGTATTAGCGCCCCCCCGAAATGACTGACAGCTGTTAGTTCCAGGGACGGGAGCACTGCAACGAGTTGGAGAGTGTTGCTTCCATTCTGCTTCCCATGCTGTGTGACTAAGATCCCGATTGGAGATGTCTCATTGCACTATGCATCATGACCACTCACCCGTCGTGGTCACGCCGTCTGATGTTTCCACGGGATATTGCAGAAGTGCCAGGATTCACATGCCAGGGGGTGCCCTGAGGCCGAGCCCGTTCTGGCCATTCGTTGGGGAGGAAGCAGCACGGACCAACCATTCATCCGGCGCAATTGTGCTCTAAAGCCAGGTGGGAAAGCAAGATTAACGGCCCATGACAGGGGAATTTGATCACAAGGGTCGATGTGGTCACTTCCTTTCCAGCTGCCAACTCCCATAGCACTTTCGCCCCTGTTGCTACATTGCACCGAACGACGTTTGGCTTCCCACTCCTTTTCCTTTCCCTCTTCTTTTTTCTGGAAACGACAATGACCAAGTAAAACATACGAGATTTGCCCCTCAACATTATTTGCTTCACCCGTCGCTCCAACCATGAACGGCCACTTTGCTGCTGTCGGCGACGAGCCGGATGCCCAGGACTACGAGCATGGCATCCAGGTCATTGACGATCAGAAAGACTTCAAGTACGACATACCTTCCACCGCATCCACAAAACGACCATGATCAAAAGCTAATCCGTTGTTCTACAGTGCTCATGTCGCAACATATTTGCAAAAAGTGCGCGTCGCCGAGGCGGGGTTCAACTACCACCTCATCTCCGTATTCGGCTCCCAATCCACCGGCAAGTCGACGCTCTTAAACAACCTATTCGGTACCGACTTCTCCGTAATGTCCGAGACGATGCGCCAGCAGACCACCAAGGGAATATGGATGTCCAAGAACAAGAAGGAAGCCGGCATGGCCGAGAACATCATTGTCATGGACGTTGAGGGAACTGACGGTCGTGAGCGTGGCGAGGACCAGGATTTTGAGAGGAAGAGCGCCCTTTTCGCCCTAGCGACCAGCGAGGTTCTGATTGTCAACCTCTGGGAGACACAGGTCGGCCTGTACAACGGTGCCAACATGGGTCTGCTCAAGACCGTCTTCGAGGTCAACCTGCAGCTCTTCCTCAAGGACAAGCAGTAAGTCGCCATCGCGTGGGCTGACCCGCCGCTCGCTAACACGTCACACAGGTTGAGCATGAGATCACTACTCTTCTTCGTCATCCGAGACCACCTTGGCACGACACCCCTTGCAAATCTCCGCAACACCTTGATCCAGGACTTGACCAAGATCTGGTCCTCCATCTCCAAGCCGCAGGGCCTCGAAAACTCGCGCATCGAGGACTACTTCGACTTCGCCTTTGCCGCGCTCCCCCACAAGATCCTGCAGGCCGATAAGTTCACTACCGAGATCCAGAAACTGGGGAGGAGGTTCACTGCGGGGCACCGCACGAGTGGGGCCAGCACTCAGGAGTTCGATGGCGGTGTCTTCCTGCCCGAGTACCACCGACGCATTCCCGCCGACGGCTTTTCGCTCTTTGCCGAGGGTATCTGGGATCAGATCGTCAACAATAAAGATCTGGATCTTCCGACACAGCAAGAGCTGCTGGCGCAATTCCGTTGCGATGAGATCTCGAGGGAGGTTCTGATTGGGTTTGATAGCACCGTCGTACCGCTCGAGGAGAAGCAGTCTGAGTCTGCCAGAGCCGGTAAGCCCGCCGTGTTGGCCGACCTGGGTGTGACGGGACGCGAGTCTCGCGAGAAGTGCCTCAAGGCATTCGAGAATCAAGCTAGCAGATATCACAAGGGTGTCTACGTGCGCAAGCGCCAAGATCTGGAGGCCAAGATTGACGGCCGCCTCAAAACGCTCTACAACGCGCAGTTGTCGGCTGCTCACAAGGCTGCCATTGCTTCTTTCAGTGAGCACGTCTCCGGCGCTGTAAAGGCTGGCCAAAAGTCCGGTGCGGCCTATGAATTCGCTGAGATTGTTACCGCGGAGAAGAAGAAGACGCTCGAGTTTTTCAAAAGCGAGGCTGAGAGCCTTGCCATCCCTGACGTTGCTTGGTCCAACTTCAAGTCACAGTATGTGCTATTTGAGAAAGAATTGGACGATGTAAGCGGTAAGCTGCGCAAGGAAGAGATGCGCCGGTTGGCCACGAGGGTGGAGCGATGGGTCAAGTCTCGCTTGGGCGATGCGATTGGCCTCGAGTTCAACAAGCTTGGCTCCGGTAGAGCTGGGTCCGGCGCCCCCGAAACTGGCGAGAAGCCTGCGGAAAAGGATCTTTGGGATCGCATCTGGACCGTGTTTGTGGATATTGTCAAGGACGCACAGGGCAGGTTCACCGACCGTGCCAAGAGCTTCGAAGCCACTCATGATGAGGTCGAAGTTGGTCTCTGGCGACTCAGGCGCAAGAGTTGGGTCGCTCTGCGCGAGAGGATCGAGGAAGAGGTCATGGAAGGCAACATTTTGTTGAAGCTGAGAGAAAACTTTGAGGACAAGTTCAGATACGACGAGGCCGGCGTGCCGAGAATCTGGAGGCCAACCGACGATATTGAAGGCATTTACACCAAGGCGAGAGAGTCAACGCTGACGCTCATCCCCCTGTTGTCGAAATTCAAGCTTTCAGAGAGCTACGGCCCTCCCGAGTTGCCTGCCTGGATTGGCAACCAACCTAGTGGAGTCGAGCCCAGCGACGAGGAGGACTTGACACCGATTGGCGGTGTCGATGAAGAGGATGGCAAGAGTCTTGAGGAGGAGATGACTGTTCTCAGCGAGAGCAAGCGTCAAGACCTCGTCATCAGGTTCAAGAAGACTGCAGACGGCGTCTACGTCGAGGCCAAGCGCAGCGCCATCGGCGGTGTCGCACAGGTGCCCCTGTACTTCTATGCCCTGCTAGTGGCCCTGGGGTGGAACGAGATTATTGCTGGTGAGTGGCGTCCGTTTTTGAAATTGGTACTTCATGCTAACTTACACAGTCGTGCGCAACCCGTTTCTTTTCGTCTTTCTCATCATGCTCGCCGGAGGAACCTACGTCGCGTACACGCTCAACATGCTCGGCCCCATGTACCAGATGGCCAACGCGGCCGCCAACCAGGGCGTCGAGATTGGCAAGACGAAGTTGCGCGAGTTCATTGAGAACTCGGACACGGCGCGGCAGGCGCTGGCCATGCCCGCCCGCGACAGCGACTCCATCAGTATGGACACGCTGGATAGCCGGGGCAAGAAGAAGAGCGCGGAGGATGATATTGATGACATCTAGACTTTTGTCGTTGTGGTGTGTTCAGGTAAAGGTAGTCATGACAGCTGAATTGATGCTGCGTTCCAGACGCCCAATAGAGCGAAGGGGGTTTTATGAATAGGGAGGCAAAGGATATAATGTCTATAAGATATGGTTCTCACTTATGATGATGGCCTTTGTGACGATGCGTGAGACTATTTGTTTCGCAGTAACCCCCTGAGCCGTTCGTTGGTCCAAGGATTAGGGTCACCCACCCCTACGCAGGATGCGGCAAGCTTAGGTATGCGAAGAGTTGCCATGAGACAGTTTGAGGCGAGGGCTTGAAGTAGGTTGCGCTTTCCACAATTTTTGCTTCTTACGATGCCTGCTCTGTGTCACCAGATAGGTTCATCAAATCTAGTTGCTGCATTGGCTGGGTGTCACAAATATTATGTCCAGTGTCGGGAGACGAGTTTCGATGGATTTTGGTGCAATTATAAAACAACCCCCCAAAAAACAAGCAGCCGCTACTCCTCATGATAGTCCTCAACTCGCTCATCTCACAACACAACACGACACGGAAGAGGAGCCTTGCCCTCACTGGCACTCGCTCCCTCGCTCTCTGGCTCGCATCACCTGCTCCAACCAGACCAAGTCCCGTTCTTGGACCCAAAAAGGAACACCGCTACTGACGGAATCCAAACGAGCTGCTAAAGAGGGGTGCCCAGCTAGTGAGCTGCTTTTCGGAAGGAAAGAGGGCAGGAAATGGGATATCTCGCAGAACACACCGCCGACAACCAACGATCAAAGAGAAAAGCTAACAGATGGGACCGATGGAAACCCACTGTCTACGTCCTAGATAGATCAACACTTCAGCCAATGGTCGTATCTTGAGAGAACCCAGGAGTCCCTCCTATCGCCGCGGCGCTGCTCAACTCGCAACCCTGCGCAAAGAAGATGCGAGCTGGGTTTTCATAGTCATTATGGATGCTGTAGTAGTTGCCTGTGCGATCGTCAGTAAAGGTGTTCAAACTCGAGATATCCCATGTGCGCAGCTTACCTCTCGGCACGAACCACATTCCACCGGCGCTGATCCTAAACTGCGACTCGTGCACCATGACCAGGACCTTGCCCTGGAACACGAAAAAGACCATCTGCATCTTGCGCGAGTTCTTGGGCCGCTTCTCCGCGCCGGGCGGGAGGTCAACGACGCCGGAACCGAAAAAGGGCAGGCTGAGCGTCTTTGCGAAGCGGAACGTCGCATCGCGAATGTCCCTTGTTTGGATGGCGCTCGCGGCAACCGCAATCCGCTCCTCGTCAATCTCGACTTGCTCATTGATGGCGGGGGGGTTGAACTCGTGTTCCGGCTGCCAGACCACGATCTCGCCGTCGACGCTGCCGGGGTCCTGCTCCCACGGTTCCGCCGGCTCCTCGTCTTCGGACTCAACCTGTTGTCGCCGCCTGCCTGCCTTGGCGGTGGGTCTGCGGCCTCTCGACTTGCCCTTGCGCGCCGCCTCCCGTTCCTCTTCCTCGACGCGGACGACTTCCTTGACGCTGGGCAGCAGAAATCTGTTGCCCTTTTTGCCGTCTTCAAAGGCCCCATCTTCGTCGTAGGTGACGTGCTCGTTCTTCCAGAACGCCAACGGCCTGTACGACTGGCGGCCGGATCGCGTGTGGGTGATGGAGTGGGGGTCTTGCTTCTGCTTCTGCGAGACCAGACCGCGCGCCTTGGGCATGGGCGGTCCCTTTTGCACCACGCCCAGGATCGAGTCCTCGCCAGCTGTGGCTTGCGGTTTGCGGCCTGGCTTTCCCTTGGGTCCGGGTTTGGATTTTGAGGCGGCCTTGGCTGTCTGCTTCGGTGACTCGCCCTCTTCCTCCTGGGGAACAGCTTTTGGCCGCCCACGTGCTCCGCCTGTCGCCTTCTTGGGTTCTTTCCGCTGTCGTTTGGATGCGCGGTCGTCTTCCTCCTCTTGCTCCTTGTCTCCGTTTGAGTTGCGCGAACGTCTGCGTTTGGGCGCGCTGACCTCCGGTTCCGGCTCCTTTTCCTGCTCAGGCCCAGGTTCGTCTGCTTGGCTCTTGTCTTTGCCCTTGCCCTTTGCCGGCCTGCCTCTCCTCTTGACTGGTGCTTTCTCTTGTTCGGATTCATTGCTGGACTGTGCCGCTGCTTCTTCTGCCTCTTCCTGAACGACTGGCTTCGCCTTAGCCGGACGGCCTTTACGCTTGACAGGCTGTTTCGGAGCCTCGACTTCTGATATTTCCTCTGGTTCCGGTGCTTCTGGCTCAGACTCAGGCTCTGGCACTTCGCCGTCGTCCATGCTGACCATTTGCATCGACTCTTCGTCCCCATTCTCAACAGGGCCGTTGTGCGCCTGTAAAACGGCCTCCTCGTCTTCCTCATTCTCGGAGGAGACTGCGCGTCCGCTCTTGAACCCATTTGGACGTTTGCCATTGAGGCCGGGTCCGTTCTTTTCCAGGGCACCGTAGTCGAGTTTGCGTGATACCGGACCCCCGCGAGTTGGCTGAGGCTCTGTTGGCGAGGATGACCTCCGCTGAGGCGATAGTCGTGTCGGCGATGAGGAAGGGCCGAAGCTTGGGTGCCGCATCGCAGGCGATCCGAGGTTCGTCTTTCGCGGGGATGTTCCTCGGGGAACAAGCCGAGGGTGGTTCTTCATAATCGTGGAAGGACCGGGACCGGATTCTAACGCGGAAGCTTCGTCAGAAATCCGACGATGCACGACGCCAGTGGCACTCACCCGACTCCAGCTCCATGTCCTCTTCGCCATCGTCGCTGGCGGATCTATTATCCTTCTCTGGCGAGGAGAAGAGGCCGTCGATAGGCTGCATGCCATGTTCGTCGCGTACGCCTGTGTCGGGCAACTCAATGCCAGTCTTTCTGTCGGGATGTCAGCCCAACAAGTCCGCGTGTCAGCTGGGGCTTGCGATTCGCGCCAGCTCGAGAACGGGAGTGCGCGACGCACCGTCCTTTTACGCCAAGCTCATGAAAATCGCCCGTAGACGTCTCGCGACGCCGAACGTTGCTCTGTCGCGGTGGTGCCATTGTGAATGTAGAGTTGTGAAATGATTCAAATCTAGAGAGCAGATCAAAAATCGAGATGAAGCATCCCGATCTGAGTCTTTAGCACGAGTGCCTTTGGTGCAAATGAAACGACGTCGTGGGCCGAATCGTGGCCGTGTTTATCCTGCGGAGGTGGTGTTGAGAGGGTTGAGCGCGCGCGACTTTCTGGATGACACAGAGAGTTGGGGACGCGCGCTGAGCACACCTGTGTCGAAGGACTTTCAGTGGCCGGCACTTGCTGCAAATCGGAGTTGACAGGGGCCGGCACGTGTGGATTTGGCGCCATTGCTGAACGCGTCCCCATTAATATAGACGCGTCGAGGGGCTAGGTAGACCAGCCATCAATGATACCCGGTTTCTCAGTCCAAGTACCTGACTTTATGAACATCTGCCCTAATCTCACAGTCTGAACTGTTTAGGTCTTCAGCTCGGAGTTTGGGGATGACAAAAAGGTGCTCCAATTGGTTCTTCTAAGATACGCATAGGACGACGTAAAGCCCATACGAAGCTACCCTTATACCACAATACTGAGACCCAAAAAGAATCCAGATCTATTTCCACCCAAATTCAGTTCACCAGTCACAATGGAAGATTCTCAAACAGCCGAGAACATTGCCCTTGTGACTCCGGTCCCGGGCGTCTTTGTCCCTCCGTCTATCAACGAACAAGCCATCCTCTCAGGCGACTCGTATACATACTTCTCCCCAGTTCCCTCGACACTTCTTCCACCAACCTCATCAACAAAATTCAGCACATCTGACAACTCAGACTCACCTGCAGCGTCCGGCACTCCGGTCTGCCTAGGTGTCGATGAGGCCGGCCGCGGGCCGGTTCTGGGACCCATGGTGTATGGTGTCTTTTATCTACCCATTCCTCTCTCGGACCCCTTGCTCCGTGAGACCCATCACTTTGACGACTCCAAGGTGCTCACCCCAGCCGTCCGCTCCCAGCTCATGACGGCTCTATGTACGGCAGACTCCGACCTGGCCGAGTCTTGCGGCTTCGCCATCTCAGCACTCAGCGCCCGTGACATATCCTCAGGCATGATGCGCCCGGGGGCCAACTACAACCTCAACGCCCAGGCCATGGACGCCACCGTTGACTTGATCAAGGGTGTTTTTGCTCAGGGCGTCAACATCCAGGAGATCTACGTTGATACGGTCGGTCAGCCCGCCGCCTACCAGGCTAAACTGCAACGCTTCTTCCCCGCCACGAAGATTACAGTCGCGAAGAAGGCAGACAGTCTCTACCCCTGCGTCTCGGCAGCTTCTGTGTGCGCAAAGGTCACTCGTGACGCCGCACTTGAGGTTCTTTACAAGGGGCGAGCCCCCGAGGCCGCGGCAGAGGGAGAAGAGGGCATGGCTTGGGGTTCGGGTTACCCATCAGATGGGCGGTGCGTGTCGTGGATGAGATCTAATATGCACCCGATCTTTGGATGGGGGGCTGAATGCCGATTCAGCTGGGGCACGGCTAAGGACATGCTCGAAGCCAAGGGGAACCCTAAGGTGGACTGGCCGGTCGAAGATGATGATGATACCACGCGAATGACAGACTACTTCGTGTCGGGTAACAGGGAAGAGGACGGCGATGAATTGGGAACTTGGTTTGGGAGGCCGGCTGGCCTGGAGGCGTTTTAGTAAGATAGTTCAGATTGAAATTGTAAAACATAAGGCCTCACCTGGGAGCTTCCTTCACTTGCCACTTCAATAACAGTAGTACAACACCACTTTCTACCGACCGGGAACTCGTATGCCCTTTCACTGAGTGTTGCCCAGAGGTCAGCAGGTCAGAGTCGTCAGTCAGATGTTTCAACAGCCATTTTGCAACTATTCATATTTCCTAGTAGTACCTACGGTGAGCAGCTTGATTATTAACACCATGAGGAGGCATTGCATCCTGCTGGGTCCAGTCCTCAGCAGCTTCAGATGCCGAAGGAGGCGGATGAAATCGATCCCCCTTGCGAACATCATGATTTAAGACGAGTGGGTGAATTCCAATCGTTCGTGTTGAGAAAATTTGAGAAAGAGACTGAATTCAGGTTCTAAGGGCCATGTGAATTCTTGATTTGTTCCTAGGTTGCATGCCCACTCTTAAGGACATCACATCAAACTCACTGAGGCCGGTTAAATACCTGCTGAATGACACACCAACTAAGAACCAAAGTCGTGATCTATATCTTTCACTGCCTACTGCTCCGAAGAAGACTGGGCTTATTGCGTCTGGCAGATGAGCACGAGGGGGGTTGCATACTCTGTCAGTCACCGACAGAGAATCACTTCCACATCGCCATGTGGTAACTCATTTAATCACCAGGAAGCTCTGAAGAATGTCCTTGGGAAACACGATAGAAAGCATGCTCTATTCCCCATGGAAGCTTCAGCTCTTCGGAGACGGCCGATCATGGCAATCTTGGACGGGACATGCGATGATTACCTTCGGACTACAATTCAAGCAAGCTTCGCATGCCTGCAGAAGGCAAATACCACCCAGCCACCTGCTCGCCAGAAAATGCCGCTCGTTTTTCGTCGAATATCGTCAGCTCGATGACGGTATTTAACACGCTACTCTCATTGACGAGATCCAGTCCTCATGCCATTCCTGGTCTGGATAGTGGCCTCAACTGGGAGAGTCTGGTCATGGAGTTATGTCGAAGCGATAACCACATCTGGACCGGGTCTGAGATGCCTTAATTCACGTTGATGTTAGGTCTGGTATTCCGGATCCGGGACCCATTTTTACACGGGCTTCTCAAGCGGCTGAGGCCGGCCGATCAAGGTCGGATATGGGGTCAGTACCGATTGTCACGGTACCTAGATTGGATATAGCCAATACCCTCTTGCGAGTGTCGTATTGGGTGGTGCTCAAGGTAGGTAATTACGTGGTAACTTATCTTAAAGATCTTCAATCCGCAAATTTCTGAGCGCTCGGCGGGGTTTCCTCCTCTGCCTCTATATTGCCTGGTTGTTGTTGGGCGCTATAAAAAGCATCAGGTACGAATGCGCGGGCACCGTCTTCAGAAAGTGCGACGGAGACGAGGGACACTGTGAGCTCTGTGGGAGAAGTAAAAAAACCTGCTATGGTGGGTGTCATTGGGCTGCCATGGCAACAAAGGTTACGCTGCTCTTTGCGCACCTGCATGCAATGATCACTACACACCAAGGCACTAAGAATAGATGCGATAGCAGCCTGATCCCAATAGTTATTCTCTGCCATTAGGTACATTACTTACCACCCGTAGTTTGCCCGCATGTTCCCATTAATGCTATTAAGGTAGTCCTTCGCGTCCCCGTCCTCCTCGATGCCGCTGCCGTCACCGCCGTTCTTGGTGTCCCCGGGCACCCCTGGGGGTATCGTTCGCGCCTTCCGTTGACTTCGAATGTCACCTTCTGTTTGCTCGATGGCAGGGCATCTTACTAAGGCAAAGCAAGTAAGATGGTTCTGGTGGATGATAGATGCTTCACGAAGGGTCGCTGGGTCAATCGCTGGGCCGGCCCAGCTGTGTGGCCCCGCCAGCCTGAATGATATCACCTCACCGGCGAAATTCTCTTTTCTGGAGCGGTGTGGATTCCTGGACAAGAGGGGAAAAGTAAAGGATACCTACACAGACCAATTTTAAGGCGTGCATGGGAGGCAGGCCAGGGTACTGCGACAAGGGGCGCAAACGGGCTGCCCCTCCATAGATTTCGTGGAAGCTTATGATGTCAGCGAATCGTCTTTCGCAGAATCTTTCGAAAGTTGTTGGAAACGCCTTGCGAAGCACCGAGGGATTGCCTCGAATCCTGGGAAATTAGAAACCTTGCCTCCTGAAGAGGCTGAAAACGCCCTAGTCTCGAATTGATCCTTGCATGGGTTGGTAGAAAATTTCGGGCGTGTTCGAGAGGCTCCTGGAAGTGTCCCCAGCTGGGCCGCAGCGATTGTAGTACCCCACCAATGGAGAGCGGGTGGAAGAGGAAAGAACCAATTCGAATTTTTGCGGGGCACTGAGTCGCTCCTGCCTCCCACCTTTTAAGAATCCCAAACACCAGCCTTTCATATCTCTTGCCCTTTCACTCCTCACGAAAACCAATTCTTTCTTCATAATACCCAACAAGAATCAGAAGTGTTCAGCGCATTTCTTTCTCCAACGAAATCTTCATCGTTGATATCAACTCTACCGGAAAACAACTTTCCCCGGTTACGCGCACAACGAAGATACCCCTCCTTCACCTACGCACCCCAAAAACACCACAACTCTTCTTCCACACATCACAACCGTCAAAATGGCTTCCGGAGGCAAGGCTGTCGGTATCGACTTGGGTACCACGTACTCGTAAGTTGTCTTCCCAACTGCTATCCCTTTCCCTCCTTTCCTCTCTTTCCGCGCCCCAATTTCCCACTTCCACCAAACAATTTCAAAACATGGACTAACGACATCTAGTTGCGTCGCATACTACTCCAACGACAAGATCGAGATCATTGCAAACGATCAGGGCAACCGGACTACACCTTCATTTGTCGGGTAAGTTGGAATCCATGCTCGAGATTCTATTCTCGACGTTGCATCATTTAAAAATCGTCGTGCTAACTATGAAATAGCTTCACTGACACCGAGCGTCTGATTGGAGATGCGGCCAAGAACCAGGTCGCCATGAACCCCCACAACACGGTCTTCGATGCCAAGCGTCTCATTGGCCGCAAGTTCCAGGACTCCGAGGTCCAGGCCGATATGAAGCACTTCCCCTTCAAGGTCATCGAGAAGGGTGGCAAGCCCAACATCGAGGTCGAGTTCAAGGGCGAGACCAAGACTTTCACTCCCGAGGAGATTTCTGCCATGGTTCTCACCAAGATGCGCGAGACCGCCGAGTCTTTCCTGGGTGGCCAGGTCAACAACGCAGGTTAGTAATTCTCCGCCCTGAGTGTATAATTTTTACAGGATCTGGTGTCTAACATATCCCAGTTGTTACTGTCCCCGCCTACTTCAACGACTCCCAGCGTCAGGCTACCAAGGACGCCGGTCTCATTGCCGGCCTCAACGTCCTCCGCATCATCAACGAGCCCACCGCTGCCGCCATTGCCTACGGCTTGGACAAGAAGGCTGAGGGCGAGCGCAACGTTCTCATCTTCGATCTCGGTGGCGGTACCTTCGATGTGTCCCTCCTGACCATTGAGGAGGGCATTTTCGAGGTCAAGTCCACCGCCGGTGACACCCACTTGGGTGGTGAGGACTTCGACAACCGTCTCGTCAACCACTTCGTCAACGAGTTCAAGCGCAAGCATAAGAAGGATCTTTCCTCCAACGCCCGCGCCCTGCGCCGTCTTCGCACCGCCTGTGAGCGTGCCAAGCGCACCCTGTCCTCGTCTGCCCAAACCTCCATCGAGATCGACTCTCTCTTCGAGGGTATCGATTTCTACACCTCCATCACCCGTGCTCGCTTCGAGGAGCTCTGCCAGGACCTGTTCCGCTCCACCATCCAGCCCGTCGATCGTGTCCTTACCGACGCCAAGGTCGACAAGTCCCAGGTCCACGAGATCGTCCTGGTCGGAGGTTCCACCCGTATCCCCCGTGTCCAGAAGCTCATCTCCGACTACTTCAACGGAAAGGAGCCCAACAAGTCCATCAACCCCGATGAGGCTGTTGCGTACGGTGCCGCTGTCCAGGCCGCCATTCTGTCTGGTGACACCTCCTCCAAGAGCACCAACGAGATCCTTCTTCTCGATGTTGCCCCTCTGTCCCTCGGTATCGAGACTGCTGGTGGCATGATGACCAAGCTCATTCCCCGCAACACCACTATCCCCACCAAGAAGTCCGAGGTGTTCTCTACCTTCTCCGACAACCAGCCCGGTGTCCTCATCCAGGTCTACGAGGGTGAGCGCCAGCGCACCAAGGACAACAACCTTCTCGGCAAGTTCGAGCTTACCGGCATCCCCCCCGCCCCCCGCGGTGTTCCCCAGATCGAGGTCACCTTCGACCTGGACGCCAACGGTATCATGAACGTCTCCGCCGTTGAGAAGGGTACCGGCAAGTCCAACAAGATTGTCATCACCAACGACAAGGGTCGCCTTTCCAAGGAGGACATCGAGCGCATGCTCGCTGAGGCCGAGAAGTTCAAGGATGAGGATGAGGCCGAGGCCCAGCGTGTCTCTGCCAAGAACGGCCTTGAGTCTTACGCCTACTCTCTCCGCAACACTCTCAGCGACTCCAAGGTTGATGAGAAGCTTGAGGCTGATGACAAGGAGAAGCTCAAGACCGAGATCGACACCATTGTCACCTGGCTCGACGAGAACCAGCAGGCTACTCGCGAGGAATACGAGGAGCGCCAGAAGGAGCTCGAGGGTATTGCCAACCCCATCATGATGAAGTTCTACGGCTCTGCTGGCGGCCCTCCCGGTGCCGGTGGCGCCCCTGGCGGCTTCCCCGGCGCCCCCGGCGGCGCTCCCCCCGGCAACCACGACGACGGTCCTACCGTCGAGGAGGTTGACTAAATTGATACCCTTGATGAATTCTTTCCTTAGAGTCCGAGTCATGGGTGTGACACCGCATCGGCTGTCACGGGGTTTCACGACTAGACTTTTGCTTTCTTTGCATTTATGAAATCACGATGGGAAAAGCACGGTTATGGGTCAGATGTATTCTAGCTAGGCTCCACGGTTTAGGAAGTCTAATACAAAACAGTAAAAATTACTTGTCCTCCGCTATTGATTGTGATGTGCTCCGATTTAAGATGTTGGCATATGAGTTGTTTCCGCTAATCGTTGCGCTTTGCCTAGTACAGCACCTAAAAAAAAATTGCGAGAAGAGTGGTATTTTACTGAATAGTCTGCTACAAAAACATTATGCCGACGCTGCTTCGATGCCTAGCCTTTGCCTAATCTGCTTCCGCCTCTCAATTTCCATCTTCTGCCATTCCTCGTCATCAAGTGTGGAGTCTTCAAATCCCTCCGTAAATGCTGTGCCTGGTGGGACCTTTGTGGTCCTCGCCTGCCAGACGTCCTCACTGCTCGGCTTACCATCTCCATACTTCTCATACTCTTTCTGACGATAGTGGTCTCTGATTACATCCTCCTTCATCTTTCCCGAGTAGCTCTTGATCCTCATGCAGAACCAAAAGTCCTCCCAGTGTTCGCTGCAAGAGCGCATTGTGCCGTATCGGTAGATACTATTCCACTGGCCGCCGACGGACTGGCAGTGGAACGCCATGTCGAAGGCCTGGCGGCAAGACATCTCTGTCGGTAGGGTGGACTCGGCCACGGGGTTGTCGGATGGTGGCGTGATCGCACGGTTGCTCGTTTGAGAGGGGGAGTCGGGTGAGGACTTGAGGGAGAACCATGACGAAGAAGACGATGATGGTTTGGGCTGTGTTGGGGACGTTTGCGCCGGCGCAGGCGTTTTCTCTTCTGGCTGGCTATCGGATTCGTTCTGGAAGAGGGCGATGAACTTTGCAATCTCAGGATCGATCTCGGAATCAGTCGACTTATTCGAGGATGGCGGGGTCGATGTAGGAGCCTGGGAAGCTTGTCCGGGAGTGGCTGTCTTGGGGGGAGATGGCGAAGCCCAGAGCCAACCCATTTTGAAGAGCTTTTGAATTGAAATGAAGAACGGTTCGAAAAAAGTGAACCAAGAGCCAAATTATCTTGGAAGGTCGAAAGCACTCGAAAATGAGGAGAAATCGGCAATCGGTACTATCAATGACCTCCAAGACGCCGCGTCTAGCCAATGAGTGGTTGCATATTTTTTGCCGTAAGGTAGGTAGGTAGCTGCGCATGCTCTGGTCGGGTGGGGCCTTATCGGTTCGGATAAGATTTGGTCCGTTCCAGACTTAAGGTTATGGGGCGCACTGAGCGGGCCTTTTCCAGTGGGGTCACCAGGCGTGACATCATTCCACCCAAACACCGGGGGCTCTCTCGTGCAGGAGCTAAGCAGCTCTGGTAAGGTGAGGCAAGGCAGGCGAGCTAGTCGGTCGCCTTAATTCTCTGCCTTCCAATCTGCTATTCACAACGTCCCTGTTTCAAAACTCAATTCCGCCGTCTCTTGCCAGAGCAATATGTGAGTCTGCAACTACACCCATCCAATGTTACATACCAGAGCGCTGCTTCGCTCCGGCATGAGGCCTGCGCCTCGGCTGCAGATTACATGGGGCCCGCCCCGGCCATTTGCTCGACCCCAGCGACATGGAGATATCGTGCGCGCCACGTCCAAAGTATGGGAGAGCACCGTAACCGGCGACGAGAAGTCTGGTCATATCACGACTTCGGAGAGCGAATCCATTCTCTTCTTTGACAGTAAGATTCTGCTTCCCCTGTATTTGGAACGGAGTTGTTCTGCGCATCTGACCCCGGGCCTCGTGTCCCAGGTTTGATCCTCACCATCTCCAAATTTTCTCCTCTACCATGCACAAAATATCATATCAATGCTCTCCACTGTCTCCAGTTTCCTCGTCGTCCACATCCCCTGTTCTCTTTACACTCACTATTCCTTCTCGTCATCCCCACTGTCCTTGCGCCCTTTGTCCAAAATCACTTTGGCCAGCGCTCTCACAATGGAGTAACACTGACAGTGGCTGGTAGACCTCTTTCCTCTCAAGCTGACCTACCTCCTCCGACGATCATGGCAGTCAGACCGCGACCTGACCGACCTTCTCAAGCGCTTCGACGGTGCTGGTGGAGGCCTTGGCACAGATCCGATCAACTTGGTAAAACGAGCTATTCCGAACGACCTCCCAATCAAAGTTACAGAGATCCTACCACGACTGAAGGACGGGGGAGCTTTTGTCAAATTCAGCCATGGCTCCAACGTAGTACCCAAAGATATTGAGAGTGAGTATAAGTCTCGTTACTGTCCATAACAACTTCTTCATCACTGCCCAAACCGGGTCTTATTCACAGTGTGCACGGCTAAAAAAACCCCAGCATCCCTCGCACGCTCGCTCGAAAAGCACCCCCTCAGACCATGGTTTAACCCCTTCCGCGGGGTTCAAGCAGGACTCGTCAAGGGAGTTCCGTGGCTGGAGGACCTCTACCGATTTCCCAGAAGTCGCGTCAAGGTCGAGTTCACAGGAAAAGACGCTGGTGACGAGGCTGTCGAATTATCTCAGGAGACCCTCTACAGTATGTTCCGCAGGTATGGCAAAATTGCCGAGATTACATCACAGCCCTCCGACTCAAAGATTCTCCCAAAGTACGCTTATATCGACTTTGCGCGCGTTCGCGACGCCATCATGGCAAGGAACTGTCTCCATGGCTTCCTTGTCGACGAGGGTCTGGGTGGCGGAAAGATTGGTACAAGGCTTCGCCTGTCCTACGAGCAAAAGGTCAAACCGCACAATATCTGGAACTGGATTTCCAGCCACCCCAGGGTGGTCATTCCAGTTGTTGCCGCCCTTCTCGCTGCCATCACAGTGGCCATTTTCGACCCCATACGTGAATTCTTCGTCAAGGCCCACATCCAGCATTCTTTCACGTTGACTTACAACAGATTCTATCGATGGATCAAGAACCAAACTTCCGACATTTTCTCCTCGTTTGGACACAAGAAGACTGACAAGGCTGGTTTCAGCGCAGTTTGGCAGCATCGTCGCGACCTCATTGAGCAGATCCAGACCTGGCTGCTCGAGAGCTCTGACACCTTCATCGTTGTTCAAGGCCCTCGGGGCTCCGGTAAAAAGGAACTCGTCTTGGATCAGTCACTCAAGGGCAGGGAAAACGTTCTAGTGATTGATTGCAAGCCGATTATCGAGGCAAGGGGCGAAAGTGGGACTATCAAACACCTGGCTACCGCCGTGGGCTACAAACCGATTTTCGCTTTTTTGAATAGCATGAGCAGCATGATCGATTTGGCAGTTCAGAGCACGACTGGGGTCAAGGCTGGATTTTCCGAGACACTGGAGTCGCAGGTGGTCAAAATCCTTCACACCACCGCCGAGGCCCTGAAGGAAGTATCTCTTGCTGGACGCGACAAGGATGGCAAGGACAGTGACCTGTCAGACGACACCTACTTGGAGGCTCGTCCAGACAAGCGGGCTGTCGTTGTGATTGACAACTTCTTGCACAAAAATGAGGGCTCGAGCCTGGTCTACGATAAGGTTGCGGAATGGGCTGCGGCCATGGTTCAAAACAACGTCGCCCACGTCATCTTCTTGACAGACGACACGTCTTACTCAAAGTCACTCTCAAAGGCGATGCCAGACCGCGTATTCCGTCAAGCTGCTTTGGGAGATCTCTCCCTCGATGTCGCCAAGAAATTCATCATCAGTCGTCTTGAAGAGGACGAGATTGAAAAGGTCCGAGAACAATCTAAAGAGACAGGGGAGACAGAGGATAAAACTGAGCAACAACAAAAACCGGATCTTTCGGAGCTAGACTCGGCAATTGGCATCCTCGGCGGCCGTCTGACAGACCTTGAATACTTTGCCAGACGCTTGAAGGGTGGCCAGAGCCCACAGCGAGCCATCGAGGACATCATCAATCAGAGCGCCACTGAAATTGTCAAGATGTACCTATTAGGCGGCAAGGATACTGTCGAGGGCAGAAAATGGTCCACCGAGCAGGCATGGTATTTGATCAAGGCGCTTGCCTCCCACGACGGTCTCCGATATAACGAGGTTCTTCTGTCTGATACTTTCGCATCTTCCACCACGCCCGGCGCTGCGAATGGCGAGTCGGCTTTGGAAGGGCTCACAAACGCGGAGCTCGTCACTGTCGAGACCTACAACGGCCGGCCGCAAACTATTCGACCCGGAAAGCCGATGTATCAAGCAGCGTTCAGTCTTCTACTCGATGACCGTGTTCTCAGGGCCAAGATGGATCTAGCGCTGTTGAAGGAGCTTACCAAGGTCGAGACCAAGGTAATCGAAAAGGCTGAAGGGGAGCTGGCGCTACTGGGCAGCCTGCCAAAACAGCCTGCTCAGACCGGTTCTCGAGTGTTGTACTTGCTGGTCAAACTCGAGAGCAGCCAAAACAAGATCATTAAGTACGAAAAGGAGATTGCTGCGCTCAAGACGGTTCTCAAGCATAACTACTGAGGCATCGCATCTCTGGAGGCTTTCTGTTCATCGGCAAAAAAAAAAAAAAAGGCCGAGAAAGAAATAACGTTGGTCGATACCCTTCTCAATATTTTAATAGTACCAAATCACTTAGCACAACTCAGTATTGAGTCTGTGAAAAGCTATTCGTCTTTTTTTTGTGCCCGTTCTGCCATCGCCGTCAGTATGCCTGCTGCTCCGCTCGAGTCTAGGCTCAGGTTTGCGGGCTGAGGTGTTGCAAGGAAAAGCAACGAACGTTGAAAGGCGCGAAATACCGTGCACTAAAGTTTCTGTTCGCGCGAAACTCCGACTTCTTGTGGAAAAATCCTGGTTGCTCATGGATACGTTTCTGGGATTGCATCTGTGACATGGATGGGTATTGCATGCATCTTTAAGTTCCGAGTGTCTCCTGCGATTCAAGGTACCTGTCCTGCCATCGTTAGAGGCGGGCAGCGACCGCTGTAGATTTTAGTTGCTCCCGCCGTCGTCTTTTTAGTGGACCTTGGAGTCCTGGAATTTTGCGGCCAATGACTGTGTTACGGGAGACTGGCCATGAGACTCCGCATCGTCTCCGCCCGCCGACAGAACCACCGCCGGAACGGAGGTGGAGGACTGCCTCTACTAGGTATGTGCAGCCTTTGGAGAAGCGCAAAGAATTGCATCTGCCCCGCGGGGTTCGCTGGGGATCCCTTGAATCGAGCATCTTACTGGTTGACGCTACAGTGCTCGAATCATTCTTCACTCACTCTCTACAGGACGACGCGACTCAGGCCTCTCAGCTGACGACCGGGGAGATGGCCGACGGACGTACAGGTGCAAAGTCGTACTTGAAGAACAAAACCTTGTCACAAGGTCATGTGCTTGCAGTGCCATCAGTCAGCCACTAACCTCATCAAAAGTTGCATCCTCCAACCAGAACCAGGGTACAGAGGAAGCGATCATCGGCTCGATAACCCATTTCGACAACCCAAGCTTTGCAGGCAACGATACAAGCCTTTTTAGAGGGCTGGGCGTTTTCTCGGCAATTCTGGGCATTGTACTCCGTAGGCGGCTCTCCCAAATGATTTCTTGGCTACGACTCTGGCCGACGACTCCCGACAATACCCACAATACCCACAATATTTACATGTCCAACTTTCGACGCAAATGCGCTCCAAACCCACCAAGAAACAATGTGGCCGTTTTTCCATCTTGTCGGCAGTATGAAGCTCCGGAGCTCATCCACGCGTCACCCCGGCCACACCATTATACGAGTCGTTGCCGACTTGGCCCAACCATGTCTCTCGCGCTTTCGTGCCATGGCACCATGTCTACTTAAAAGGCCGTTCAGTTGGTTTTCAAGTGGAGATACAGTTGACTGGTCTGCCGTAAAGACCAATGGCAAACATACCGCCTCTGAACAATGACGTCTTCATGCAGGCGTCGAAATGAGGAGTCGGTCAATCCTGGTCCAACGTGCTCTCTTTTTTGCCCTCTTCTTTCAACCCTCTCTGGGTACGGTGAAGCCTTTTTGGTGCATCAAACCCCGCAAACCCGGGGTGAAGGAAACGTGCCCGGTTTATTTTCTGTCATTCATCGGAGCCCAAGCAGAGGAGTGCAATTGCGACTGTGCAGCCAGGTCGCAGAAGTAGTGAACACTTCGATATCAAATGCGACGCCAACACCGCCGTCCTTGGCACGATTGAGGAAATCTCTTGTTCTGCCTTGGCTTTTCCCAATTCCCCGAGATAAGTGGCGGCGTCTCCAAGACTCTAGGGGAAAACTACAAACGATTCCGCCCAGTAGTGCCCCCCGGTCGATAGCCTACCACGGAAACGGAGCTATTCTCCAGACATAGTGCGATCGGCAGCTGGGTGTCATCTCATCTGACGACGCCATTCCCGTCTTGCGCCGCACCGCAGCCCGCCCGTTCGTTTGCCTTGCCTCTATATCCGTACGCCAGGGGCAATGAATACGGTTAAGCATGACGGCTTGGCTTGAGTTTTACAACCAAATGTACTTCCGACGGTATCTGTCTGACGGGGTCCCCCGTTTTGATTACGTCCCGTCTCGAGTAGCCGGGGTTCCTGTCCTTAACTCTTGCAGCGTGAACGGTCCCACTCGACGTGTGTTGCGTGTGCTAGTACAGAAGAGCTGGGACGTGCTATTCCTGGGGGAGAAGATGAGGAGAAGGGCAATTCTGGGGAAATCCAGATGTTTGGACTGAAAGCAAGACTACAGAGCAACCGACCGTCGGAACCATGAATCCCTTCATTCCAAACGGAATCGATGACGCCCAAGGCTAATCCAGCGGAAGTAAACCTTTGGCATTGGAGCTGCTGCCTGCGACGTCCAGCAGCCAGTATCATCTGCGCCGATCTCTGCCCAATTCCTACACGGTAGAGGAGCGCTACCAAGGCGCCGGGCTTTCGTCCGCAGAACCCAACTCCAATGACAGCCACTACCAGTGAAGATCTCAAATGTTGCACAACCTAGATGCGCCCTTGCGGAGCATCGTTGCATCTCTCTTGGTCGCGCAGTCCAATAGGACTCGGGGATATAGATGATGGGCAAGGCCAGGCTCGCGAACCATGTAGTCTGGTCTGCTCTCCGCTGCCTTGGTCAGATAAAGAGAGAGTCGCCACTATGGTGGTAACCCGCCGTGCCATGAGCACTACCTTACACCACGCGTGTGTGAAGGGGAACTTGTCTGCTCCATCTGAACATTGGCGACCGTTCTCCCCCCCTCAAACCCCAGCGAATCCACTTTCAAAGGTTTGGACTTTCCCCATGGGTCGCCCCGTTGTGGATCTCTCTAGACACTCGTGGTCTGTGGTCCAGTCCATTTGCATGAGAGGAGAGGGGAACAAAGATGTCCACCAAGTCATGTTGACAGACGCCTTGGAGCTGCCGTTCTTGCCTGCGGGGAAGGTGGTTGCGCTGGTCTGGTCTCGTTGAACCTTGCGCAAAGGTTGGGATGAGATTGTCTGTGGGCGAGATACAAATACCAGGCAACGCCCATCCCATGCTGCCATGTTCCTTCTCCTCTCGTCCGAGCCCTGTCTTATGTGTTGGACGATCACTCTCGGATCTAAGCCGTATGACTTCGTAGAGCCTTCAATTTCATCCTGCGATAGATCGAAAATCTAGAGCTGGAAGCATCAAATCACTCTCATATCAACCATTCGATATTCGTAAGGCTTTGAGTCGCTGATATCACTCATCGCGCCGCAACAATGGCGGACGACAAACACGTTGACGGAGCCGTGGTGTAAGTATCAACCCTTCGGCGTTAATCGTTCCACTCAGACTAACAATCTCAGTTCGGGTGACTTTTCAAACATGGAAAAAGCCCGCCGCGGATCTCAAGCAACAGTCGATCTAAACGACAACGTCGACGCAAAGTCCGTCCTCTCCTTCTATATCCGATCTCCGCTGGACCCCCAACTAACACGCAAAATGCAGGATCAAGAACCCCCTCCTCGGCATAACCCGCGCCGAGCTCCTCCGCGACGTCGAAGCCTTTGCCCACGACAAGGGCCTCGAGGAGTACATCCCGGTCCTCAAAAAGGGCGCCCTCGTCGCCCAGGACCCGACGGGCTACGAGGAGATTGACGGCGCCGAGGCCCTCGATGCCACCGAGATCCAGGTCCTCCGCGACGAGGTCGAGCACAAGTGGCGCATCCCCAAGATCCTGTACCTCACAATCATTACCTGCTCCATCGGCGCCGCCGTCCAGGGGTGGGATCAGACGGGCAGCAACGGCGCGAACCTGTCGTTCCCCACGGTGTTTGGCATCGGGGGCACCTCGCACCATGATACCCTCCTCGTACGTCTCACTCACTGACCCATACATTACACTCATACAGCTTGACCTACGTTGTTGCTGAAACTCATGCTTCTGCTTCATGTACACTGACACTCAAAAAGGTCGGCCTCGTGAACGCGGCGCCATACATCGGCAGCGCCCTGATCGGATGCTGGCTCTCGGACCCGCTCAACAACTTCTTGGGCCGCCGCGGCGCAATCTTCTTCGCCGCCAACTTTTGCCTCTGGCCCGTCATCGGAAGCGCTTTCGCCCAATCCTGGCCGCAACTGCTCGGCTGCCGTGTCCTACTCGGCATCGGCATGGGAGCCAAGGCCAGCACGGTGCCCATCTTTGCCGCTGAGAACTCGCCCGCGCCGATTCGTGGTGCTCTTGTGATGACATGGCGTGAGTAGATAGACCCCGTTGGCTCTGAAAGTCCATCTTGGGGCGTCGTTGTCTTTGGCTTGCTTGCTCGATTACTGACCGCGACGCCCTCCAGAACTCTGGACAGCCTTCGGAATCGCAGCCGGAACGGCAGCCAACCTGGCCGTCGCCAAGACCGGCGCCATCGCCTGGCGCCTCCAGCTCGGGTCGGCCTTTATCCCGGCTCTGCCCCTCGTTCTGCTCATTTACATCTGCCCAGAGTCCCCGCGCTGGTACATCAAGAAGAACCGATTCCCGGACGCCATGAAGTCGCTGCTGCGGCTGCGAAACCACCCAATCCAGGCCGCGCGCGATATCTACTACATTCATACCCAGCTCCAGGTCGAGGCCGAGATTATTGGGAGGTCCAACTATGCCAAGCGCTTCGTGGAGCTGTTTACTATCCCGCGTATCAGACGGTGAGTATCTCATATGAGACAAGGAGTTTGTGTGATGAAAGTGAGACTGAGTTTCGGGTGATACAGTGCCACGCTGGCTTCCTTCACCGTCATGATTGCCCAGCAAATGTGTGGTAAGTCGAGCCGCCCCACCACTTCTGAGTGTCTCCGGCCTTTGCTAACGAGCAACAAGGAATCAACATCATTGCATTCTACTCGAGCACCATCTTCAAGGAGGCCGGCACGTCGGAGTACAACGCCCTCCTGGCGTCCTTTGGCTTCGGCATGGTCAACTTCATCTTCGCCTGGCCGGCCATCTGGACGATTGACACCTTTGGCCGCCGCTCCCTCCTGCTCTTCACCTTCCCCCAAATGGCGTGGACGTTACTCGCCGCCGGTCTCTGCACGCTCATCCCGGGCACCGGAGGCGCCCACTTGGGACTCGTGGCTTTGTTTGTCTACCTTTTTGCCGGTATGTCCTTCTTCTCAGTTGGTGTGTGCGTGAACTTGATAAAGGCGTAATATTGACGTCTTGCAGCATTCTACTCACCCGGCGAGGGTCCTGTCCCCTTCACCTACTCAGCCGAGGTCTTTCCCCTCTCCCACCGCGAAGTAGGCATGTCCTGGGCCGTGGCGACCTGCCTCTTCTGGGCGGCCGTCCTCTCCATCAGCTTCCCCATCATGCTGGCGGACCTCGGTGTTGTCGGCTCCTTCAGCTTCTACGCGGGCCTCAATGTTGTCGCCCTCGTCATGATCTTCTTTTGGTTGCCCGAGACTAAGCAGCGCACCCTCGAGGAGCTCGACTATGTCTTTGCGGTACCCACGCGCGTTTTCATGCGGTACCAGCTCACGAAAGCGCTGCCGTACTGGTTTAAGCGCTGGGTGCTGTTCCAGCGGGATGCCACGCTAGAGCCGCTTTACAAGTTTGACCTCACGCACGAGGACCACCACGGCAGCGAGACGTACGAGAAGACGCAGGTTGAGCAGCGGGACCAGAAGAGGAGCGGTTCCGCTACCGGCGTAAACGTCACCGCCTCGTAAGGATGGGCAGGTCGACGAGACTAGGGAGGGCACTGACTGGCTGGCCTTGGAGCCGTTGAGATGGGATGGGGCTTTGATACCACTGAGGCTAAGCTAAAGGGGAGTTGCGGCGTGTGTACATACACGCGCGCCTACGTAATCAGCGTCGAGTTTGCTCGTTTAGTCGGAGAATTGTAGACGAGGAAGGGGGGCTGAATGGCAACCCACAACCCGCAATTGAAATACTTTATGAGAGCATCGGAACACATCCCGATGATACCACCCTGTGTACGCCCCCTTCGTACCTTCAAATCAACTGCCAACTCGGTATGTACGCAGTATTAAGGCCCCTTCAATTTTCACGAATCGTGGCAAACAACATTCTTCACGCAAGACTTTTCAACCCACCCCTTCCCGCAACCAGGCCGGCCCGCTTGACGTAGGAGAAAATGTCTCTTGACGAATCTGGCTCAGGGGCGGCAAGGCGGTAATAGCACTTGTAAGTCTCGGTGGTCTTCTCAGTGGTCTTCTCAGACGGCGCGAGAGACGGCGGCTTTTCTGAATGGGTCCTCGGATCCCACCCCCTCGTAGCGGGCGGGGAAAGGCCGCGTTCAATTGACGTATGTACGCCAAGTCCTGCCCCGGTGATGACACCAAGTGCGGAAGAACGCGTGGGAGGGAATATTGGAGCAAGAAGAAGAGAGCGGTCAGCCCTCGGCACGAGAGCAACGGCAGCTAAGGGCTTTTCGTGAAGGCCTTCCCGAGTTCCGCGCAAGCAGTGATCCAAATCGAGATTCCTCTCGCCGCCTCGTGTTGAGTCTAGCGTCAAACCTAACAGTGCCTCTTGAGGGCGATCAATTATGAAAGATTTTCGCAACACTGGCTGCTGATCCGATCCAACCTCTGACACGCAGATTGAAATCGTCGAGAATGTGAGACGTGGCACACTTGTGCTGCAGGAATCCGAGAAGGGGCGCGAGGTGGTAAAGTAACACGTTTCACATGCATGATGGAGCACATGCTTGAAGAGCAAAAAGAAAGAATGCGCAGAGAGTCCATCTCGTAATCTCGTATGGAATAGAGTTCCTCGCTCGGCGGACCGTGCCTGGGGAGACGACCTACTTTCGTACAGACAGATCATGTTGCACCGCCGCAACCTCTAGCGCTTCCTTTTTCCAGGTACCCGCGTTTTTGAGGGTCTGAGGTGTGTCTCTGACGATCACCTCGGGCTGAAAACCGTTCTTGGGATAACAAGAGGAACCGTGAGGAAGTTGTTGTGTCATTGGTCGCCACTGGCGCGAATCGCAATGAGGCCAACGTCGGACTAGGCTGGCGCCGTTGAGGGCGCCGCCAGCTGGGCTGCCGCGAGCCGCGGACGTGGCTGGTTGGTTGGGTTTCGAAAAGGGCTAGTGAAGAAAAGCTGGCGACAGGGAGGGCGAGTGACAGGCCGCCAAGTGGGAACAACCCGTACACCGTAAATGAGTGGCCGACCGTGTGGCCGTTGGTATCGCGAGAAAAACCTTGAAGCTCACCCACTGTGATCACGCCTGTGTCTCACCTACGATGTAAGTGTTAGAAACAGAGCGGAAATTGAATGGATTTCTTGTTCAATGGGTGCAAGATTGAGTGGCCTGTCGGAGCAGGGGCCCATGGGCAGGTCCAGACAGTCCAGACTCGAAGCGACTTGAACGCGCGGTGCAAACCAGCTTCTGTCACATTTTGTCTCTCTCCTGTCCTTGTAGGGCTCCGCTAGGACGCAGGGGCGGGGATGAGGGGAGGAAAGCTGGGATACTACACTAGGACTCGAAAAGAGGAGATCGGAGACAAGATGGGGCGGATGATGAATGGATGGGTGGGCGGGTGGCTTTCGTGCTAGCGACAATTGTTAAGCGGGCGGAAACGAAACAGAGACGACGACGGCTTTTGGGAAGGCTGAGGAGGACAAAGGTGGTTTGGTGTCAGTCTGTAACTATGAGCGGCGTTGATTGCCTCGCGTGACGGGATGGTCCGGCCAATGTTTGGTGTTGTCTTTGGGGGATCTTGGTTCCAGCATGGGAAGGGGTGCCATGCCAAGAGGGGTGAATTTCCAGGGGGGAAGGAGTCGACACCCACAGCCCAGTCCACAGAGAGGAGAATCGGTTCCAAGAGGTTGGCTGATGGGCTGAGAGCTTAAGATGGATCGATCGATAGATGTATGGATTTGCCAATCATCAAGTGGCGGATGGATGATGCTTCCAGCAACTGTCGAACGCAAACGTGTGCTGGGCGGACGGTGCGGGATGGACCGGATGGATGGATGATGGAAGGGTGATGCCTCTGCATTCCGAAAGGAAAAAAAAGACTAAAAAAAAAATCAGAACTACACGAGTCCGACTTCCAACTCAACGCTCGTATTCCGCCAATTGCAAAGACAGTGAGTGGGACTAAGAATTGTGGTGACTTTTGAATGTTATTCCTGGATTCGCCTTACGGCACTGGCGCGAGAGGTCAACAGTGATCCACGCAAGGAGATGTAAAAGGTTAAGCTTCTAACACTCCACCAATGTGGGAACACAATTGAGTGATAGTCGGCCATCTTTCGCAAATCGACCAGCTAACATTAGACGACTCGTCAGCCGTGTGGACCTGGCCCAACCGATCTTGTCATTGGACAGGCGAACCGGGCAGCTACCCTGTGGGCGCAGCTTGCTGGATTGGCCACCCCGTAGATACTGTGACTCCAACCAGGTTCCAGCATATGAGGTGGAAGGCGCAGACCTTCACCCCAGAAGAGCAGCGCTGGGAACTGCTGGGAGGATGGAACCCGAAAACCCCAGAAGGATGGACTGGGACCTCCCAAGGTCGACCCTTCACCACACACATTGGCTCAGCCCACCCCAAGATGACTCCAAAACAGTCACCGGCGCCTTCAGACTGCCGGTACAGATGCTGCCCTTGAAGGATATGTGACGATATTAAGGAACAAGAAACCAAATGAAGGGGTTACAACTTGCACATATTGCAATCTCACCAAATGTGCAACATCAATCTGAGGTGTGCAGCGCACATGCAAATGCACCGATGCAATGGCCAATCGAGTGGCGACGAAGGAGCATCAAGCTTCAGTCACTCGTCAGCGGTTGTGCGACGCGTCTGATGTATGGCACTGGGACTGATTCATCAACTCGAGGAACCTTGCATTGCACTAGGGAAACCTCAGTGCAACCCTTTGATAGCACCTCTCACGTATTCCTACACAGTAGTGTACTATGATAAACACTTCAGTAATAAGCTCTGTGCGAGTGTCAAGACTTCGGATATGACATGATATGCAACTCGAACGGAAGGGAGCGATACCGATGAGTCTCTTGACCTTGCCGGGCAGCTTCTTCCTGCAGGCTGCAAGGCACGGTTGTGACCAACGTCGATAACAACATTGGCACGGATATGTCCCTCCGAGTGCCGCCTCCAGTCGCAGATTCACACGGCAATCCAAAGTGGAAGTAAAATAGATACGCAGAAAAACCTATGGATGGATACCATACAAGTTCCAAGAAGTCCACCGGCGAGCACGGCATCAACAAGGCCCACCTGAGAAGAGGCATATCCACCCAGCTGAGGTACGTACCCAATGGGGACCACAGACCATCCACCAACCAAGAATTGGGAACCGCCTGGCGGTACCGGCCAATCCCAGCAATCGACCCGAGAACTTCTGAAACTCGCCCGTCAGTGGCTTGTCCCCTGCATCAAACCTGCCAGCCCGTCCTGCAGTAGAAAGCCTGCCACTTTCGGATTTCTGGCCCGTTTTCTGCTTGATCTGGCTGTCCATATCTTAGGTAGAAGCCTGCGTGGTACGTACTCTGGCCTGGAAAGCCAGAAAACACATTGACCCAGTGCCAGACCAGATCAGGGAAAAAAAAAAAAAAAAAAAGGGAGAAAAAAATAGATGCACCAGAAGGGGGGCACCCGGCTTAGCACAGAAGGGAGGAAAAAACCGTTCAGGGGTCCCGCCAAGATGCACGCTCCAAGACAGCCGTCCCCCCCCACTAACGCGCCTAGCGGCGGCGGCCCCCTTTCATCCTGTCTTTGCGGCTTGCTTGCCTTGGACTTTGATGATCGTCAACCTGCTAACCGCACCTTACCATCCCACGTCTCCATCCTGTTTCCCTAACAAGAACCTTGCCGTCATTCTCTGCCTTTGGCTCGCCTTCCGCCTAAACCCTGATCTTCTCTCCCTCCGCGCCTTCTTTTTCATCTAGGCTCCCGCTCGTTTCGACCTCTCTTTTCTCTTTCTCTCTGTCCTCCCCGCCCTGGCCCCTACCTGTCCACTGTCTCCTACCCTCCTCCCCTAAGATACCCTTTTCCTTGTAATTACCTTCGCTTTTGGGAATTGGATTGTCGTCACAAGAGGATAGCACAGAACATACACGCGCGCTCACATCCTGTAGAACCAAATCCGGTCGTTACTTTGGTTCTTCTCGACCTTTGTTTCCATTTTCGACTCGAGCACCATACGACACCTCGATTGGGTTTCCTAGCAAGAGCCGGATTCGACATCCGCTCGATCTGCACATTAATAGACTGCAACTATACAGCAAGTGGTCTGTACAACAATCGCCAATTCCCGTTTTACACCAACATTCTTCCCCCTCCTCCCTCAACTAAATACGACATACCCAAGAGCTGCCTCATAACTTCGGCATGCCGGGACCTCTCTCGCCGCGGCACTCGGGATTCCTGCCTATAAACAATACACAGTTCAACGACATGCCCGACGGCGATATTCCATTGACCCAGGTCAGGAGCGCCGCCTCCACTGGCGCAAGGAAGCCCACGATGAATGCTTCCAACGAGGATTCTGGCTCCTCAGGCACAAACGAGAAGCATGGCCTATTCCACCGCCCCAATGACAAGGGAGGACGCCGCAAGAAGAAGGCAGAGCTGGGTCGGCACGGAACTGCTGGGTCCGACGACGTCAAGGTGAACGCCATGGGTCGCTTCTACACCAAGATCACCAGCGCGTCTGTCGTCACCCGCTACTTGGTTTACATCATTCCTATCGGCATTCTTCTCGCGATACCACTCATTGTTCTCCCCATCACCGGCCACCGAACAGATGTCACTATTGGAGACAAGAACGAGAAGTCGCTGTTTGATCTCTTCTTGTGGATCGAGATTGCCTGGCTTACCCTCTGGGCTGGCAAGGTTGTCGCATGGCTCATGCCTCATGCCTTCATGTTCTTCTGTGGAGTCGTCAGTTCCGGTACACGCAAGTACGCAACTGTACTCCAGAATTTGCAGATTGCCCTATCACTCTTTTTCTGGGCTCTTGCGTCATGGCAGTCATTCCAAGCACTCTTCAAATCCAACAACCAATCCTCTTGGGTCACCACCATGATTCGTATTCTCGGTGCCACCTTTGTGTCGTCGGCCGTGTATCTTGGCGAGAAGGGGATTGTTCAGCTCATCGGTATTTCTTATCACCAGCGATCCTTCGCCCTCCGCATCAAAGAGTCCAAGCGCGAGGTTCGCCTGCTCGGTCTCCTTTACGACGCTTCCCGCACCCTTTTCCCCATGTACTGCCCTGAGTTCGAGGACGAGGACTACATCATCAACGATAGTCTCGATTTGATTTTGGCCAAGGCTGCGAAGGGTGGCAAGCCTGGTAATGGTGGCGCTACGCCCCTCCGCCTCGTTGGTGACATTGGTCGTGTAGGCGACAAGATTACCGGTGTTTTCGGTAACATTGCCTCCGAAATCACTGGAAAGCAGGTCTTCAACCCTAACTCGGCTCATTCCATCGTCATTGAGGCCCTGGAGAAGCACAAGCCTTCTGAAGCTCTCGCCCGCCGTATCTGGATGTCTTTCGTGGTCGAAGGAAAGGACTCATTGTATCCCGAAGATTTCCTGGAAGTGCTTGGGCCTGCCTACTCTGACGAGGCCGAGGAGGCTTTCGGCATGATCGACAATGACATGAATGGCGACATCAGCTTGGAAGAGATGACTCGCAAAGTGGTCGAGATTGGCAAGGAACGCAAGGCTATTACCGAGGGAATGAAGGACATTGGTCAGGCACTTCGTGTGTTTGATAAGGTTCTCATGTTCGTTGTCGTCTTGCTTGTCGTCTTCATCTTCCTCGCGTGGTTCCAGTCCAGCTTCTTGACCGTAAGCTACCTCCCTACCTGCTCTGTCGTGAACCCCGCTAACCATTCTAGACTGTCGCTACCGCTGGTACTGCGCTTCTTTCTCTGTCATTCGTCTTCGCCGTTACCACCCAGGAATTCCTCGGTTCCTGCATCTTCCTTTTCGTCAAGCATCCCTATGACGTCGGTGACCGAGTCGACATCGTCGGCTCCGAGAAGCAGCAACTCATAGTGGACAAGATTTCGCTTCTGTACACCGTCTTCACCCGCATCGACAAGATGCAGGTCGTGCAGGTTCCCAATATTGCACTCAACAATCTTTGGATCGAAAACGTCTCCCGTAGCAAGGCCATGAAGGAGGTCATCGACTTGAATGTCTCTTACGACACCAGCTTTGAGGATCTCGAGCTGCTCCGCGTTGAGATGGAGAACTTTGTGCGAAACTCTGACAACTCTCGCGACTTCATGCCCGATATCACCATTGGCGTTGCCGGCGTCGGTGACTTGGACAAGCTTCAGCTTAAGGTCGCGATCAAGCACAAGTCCAACTGGCACAACGATGGCGTTCGCGCCACTCGCCGCTCCAAGTTCATGTGCGCCCTGGCCATGGCTCTGAAGAAGATCCCCATCTATGCCCCCGGTGGTGGCGGCGATGCTCTTGGCGCTCCTAGCAACCCATCCTACTCTGTCGCCGTCACTGACACCTTCGCTGCGTCGGCCCGCGACAAGGCTGCCAAGGACAAGGAGGCCGCGCGTTTAGTGCCCTCGCCCGCCGCTGAGGGTACTGACGGCAACCCTGACTCTAACACCGAGAAGGCTGCCGCGGCAGAACTCAACCTCCGCGACCCATTGGCCGAGGAGGAATGGGGCTACCGGGTAGGCGACGAGGACACCTTGTCCAGCTCTAGGGAGGATCGCCGCCGCTCCAACGATATCGACCGCGTCCGCAGCCAGCTGATGAAGAGAGCCAGCACGAAGGGCGGCGGCGGCCGTCGCAAACCCGGTGAAGGCATCCCCATGTCTCCCGTCGGTGACGGGCCCGGTATCGGTTTGAACCAGACGACATCTCGCAACCGCATTTACGACGAGGAGGCCGAGACGGGCGTCCAGGGATCCTACAACTCTGCCTACTACGGTGCCCCGTCAACGGGCTATACCGGCTATGGACAGTCTCTGTCCCCCGCCGTCTCGCCGCCCTACGCAACAGCCTCAACCAACCTCAACCCCCACCCCCTCCAGAGTGCCCCAGCGGGCCAGCGTCCACGTGGACGCAGTGTATCCAGCACCCAGCAGGAGGCTCAGCAGAGCACCCAGAAGAAGCAATAAAAGGGGAAGTCATGGAACATGAAAATGAACAAATCAAAAGAAAGAAAGAAATTGGAGAAAGTTTCATACCAGCCGGTCAATTGTCTGAACAACCCGGGCGTTTTCTTTTACGTGGGCATTGAGACTGGACTGGCTCCCCATGCCTAATGAATTTCCTTAACAAACTCATATGGGGGGCACAAATAGATTACGAACAGAGTATGATGACATGTAGTCCGCAGATAAATACTATTCCTCTTAACAACATGCTTGGTCCTCTTTTCTATTTGCATGACGTGTTTTTTTTTTCCTTCGTCCCCAACAGGAATGAATGTTCTGGTTCAACACACGTGCTCGACCTCGCCGACGCCCTCCAAGGGACCGAGATCCAACTTGAGTGTGCGCCCGAATAGCTCCAGCAAGATCTCGAAGCACACCTTGGTAATAGCCGGGTCGTACCGGCCTTTGCTGAGCTCGTCACGGATAAAGGCGTGCTGGGCCCAGGCGAACTCGTAGAAGCTCGTCGTGACGCCAGCCTCACGGAGCTTGGCGCGGATGAGGTCGCGACCTTCAGGCGGGACGTGAGTGTCCTTTACGCCAAAGATCATGGCCACCTCGGCGTGGGTGAGGTTGGTGGCGAAGAGGTCTAGGGTGTGGGTGCTGTTCTCGGGGGCCGTCGGGGAGATGTTTTTGGCGGTGTGAGGGCCTAGTGTGCGGCTGTGGATATCTGTTGCAAAGTAGGCTACGCAGGAGGAGATTCGGGGATCGAGCTTGGGGGATGGGTAGTTAGATTTGTGTCGGTTGTTGGAGAGCTGAGGATGGGAAGGAGGTCTCATATTGGGCAGGGGTAGTTGAGAACGTACAGAGGCTCGGACGGCGAGATGCCCGCCTAGACACATTCCCGTGCTTCCAATCTTGCCTGTGCAGGTGGGGAGAGTGAGGAGATAGTCAACGGTGCGGCGAGAGTCTTCGTCGTAGGATTCGAGGGTCTGAATCCAGAGTTCAAGAGTTCCGACGGTCAGCTTTTCTGTTCTTGTTGAGGCGCGGTGATGGAGGGATATAGGAATAGTGAGAATAATATTGTACCTTTTCAACCTTCCAGGCGTTGCCCTTGTCGGTGCCGGGGACATCGTAGGCCAGGGCCTCTGGGCCCGTGAAGTCGTGGTAGGACGACGGTGCGGCGACGATGTAGCCCTGTCCCGCGATCTGACGGGCGAAGCGGGCGACGGGGCCGGTTACTGTTGCGCTTATCAGTGTCCTAGTTGCCAAAAAGAGAATTCGTGTCGGTTTAGGCGGCACGAGTGTGAATGAGCTTCTATAAAATGGCTGGACACGCCGAAAACACGCATGGGCATGACATGAAGTTGAAATCCAGGGTCAATGGCCGGTGAGCTCGGTGTAGTGCCGGTGAGGATGGGGGGTGTGGTTCGGAGGGGTGCGACGGCGCCCCAGTGCGGGGGAAAACCAGCTTTATTGGTGACCCCGCCATGGAGAATGATCTGGCTGACCTTGGTAGATTTCCGAGAAGAGGCAGACACCGGGGAACTTGCTGCAGAGCATGTCAATTGCGGATATTCCATGGAACTGAAAAATAGCAGAAGTGATCTCACGCTTGGGGATAGCCCGGAATCGAAGGGTGGAAGAGGAAGATTCCTGGTTTGCGTTTTTGCTGTTTAGCTGCTGAACGGAATGCGGTACGGGAACCGGGGCAGGAAGGCACGAACTCATGGAACCATCCTTGCCGTCGGCCTTGGTCGGCACATCGACGTGAGACTCCTTAATGAGCATATTGAGAAGAAGCTTTTGTCTGAAATAGATTGATGGAGGAAGAAGGTGACGAGGTAGCACCCGATCTGACACTGAACCGGTGAGGTTTATGGAAGTTGAGTGATTTGCATCCCATTGGTCAATGGATTTGGATCTCTGATCTTGGGGGGGGGACCTTAGTAAGCCCAAACGATTCCTCCTCCTCCTCCTCCTCCTCCTCCTCCTCCTCCACTCTTCCTTCTCGTGATTCAGTCCACCATTGGGTTGAACTTGATTAGCAACTGCTTTCTTTCTTCACCCACTGGATATTGTAACGAATTTGAGTGTGTGGTACATACTTAATGTGTAGTCTTAACGATCGCGAGATCATCGCTTTTCAATTGGTATTTCTGCCCTCCTTCCAAACATCCAATCCAATCCCTGATATACGCTCTCCCATGACCCTGCGCCGGCACTATGCTTTCGATTATTACGCCACCCTCATGTTCTCAAGTACCCTGCCTGTCCTGTACAGTGGGACCCTTAATTCCTGGATATTCTATGCCGCCCTTGTGACGATCTGTGTATGTGCACTGCATGCTTTCCACTCGTAATACTCGTTTCGGACCCGATTTGATTACAAAGGCAATTGCTCCCTCACTTGTTCATGAGATCTTTGGCTTCCAAAAACGTCTCGTTGAGCTTCGCCGTAAGCCCGGCCCGCATGGCCTGAATCTCCTTGTCCCTCTTCTCCGACAGAGCCAGGAGGTCCCTGTACTTCCTCTCCCACTCCGACTCGGCACCGGACGTGCCCTTCATGTTGGGCTTCTCCGGCTTCTCCTCGGGCTTCTGCCACCTGCTGTACATAACCGTCTGTACCATGTTGTAGTTGCCGCGGATCGTGCCCAGTCGAAACTCCCAGCTGCAGTTGTACGTCGCGCGGTCCTCGTACTCCTCCTCCCTCTTGACCCGCAGCTTGCTCGTCGTCATGAGGGCCCTGCCGCCGGCCAACGCGGCAAGGTTGATAAGGAACGTGTCCTGGTTCGGCGCCGTCTGCCACATCCTCTCCACTGTCGTGTGGACGAGCGCGTAGGCTTCCGCGATACTGCAGTTCTCGATCGGGTTGTTGTTCGCGTCGACCCAGTCGCCATTAGCCGTCTCATGGGCAAAGTAGCCGAGGACGGCGTCGACATTGGTCCGGTCCTTCATATTCTCGAACATACCGATAGGGATATCGTTTGGTTGCGATGGTATGCCGCTGCCTCTGGCGTCGGGCGATGGATCTGCCGGCAAGTCCACTGATGGTATAGCACCAGGAACGCTCGCGTGGTGGCCCGGTGGTAGTTCCACTGGTGGTGCTGTGGTTCTCCAGTTTGTTGTGTCGGGTACTTCGCGTGGAGGGCCCCCGTTGACCATCACGATCGGTGGAGGCGGCGTCGCGAGACGAACAGATCCTCCGTGGCGTTCCGGCACTTGTAGTGAAATACTCGGCTTGGCCGGCCGTGGCATGTGCGACGGCTGAGGTAGGTCTGGGACCGCGACTGGCGGTGGTGCGCTCTGAGATATCGGCGCCGGGGGCGTGATCGGGCCTGGCTCGATCTTGCTCTCAGGACTTGGCCGCTTATAAGCCGGCTCTTCGGCAGTAAAAGCCACAAAAGGTCCTTCGACGTTTGCTTTATTCATCGGCGGCCTACCGCGAGTCTTGCCGCTGCCTCCCGGGCCACCGCTCCTCCACGCAGAAGACACGACTTTGGCACCATGCCGACGATGAGATGCTTTGGGTCGTGAGGGAGTGATGGCTGATCTCGGCTCCGAGTCACCCCAAAATCCACCATTGCGCGTTGACGGCGTAAGCGCTGACATGGGCCCCTGAGGATATGCTGTGAGCGGCGTCTGCGCCGTGTCCGCGGCCGTAGGCCATCCCGTCACCGATCCTGTGTTAGCGCTCAACTTCAAAGGATCAGAGCAGCCGAATGTGGCCCGTCCATCGGGATGAGCGGACCACGGACCCAGAGTCTCTGCCCGGGCTGAGGTGTAACCCGTTCCGGCCGGCGGCGAGTTCAACCTCGCTCGTTGTGACGGGGACTTGGCGTAGTCGTCGTCGTCCGGCCTTTTCCTCCCCCGCCTGGGCCGAATCTGCGGTAAGAGAGCTCGAAGAGCCATGTCGTCCTCTGCCAGCACACCATCCCTCCCCGCTTCACATACTGGAGTTGAGCCATTTGGGATCTCTGTCCAGTAAGGATGAGGGTGATCCATCAGGTACTCGAAGAACGCATCCACATGCATAGAGTGCATCCAACGCTGTGAAAGTCAGCCAATTGCGGAATTAAATGAACCGTTCATGGGAGTGTACCTTGAGCCGGACGGCATATTGCTGTATTTTCTGAGAACTCTGGCCCTTTTCCTGATCAGGGGGTTCGACGCCCAACTTGAGAGCCAACTCAGCCCATGTCTTGATCTCCTTCGTCTCCAGCTGCTTGATGAGCGCAAAGAGCGTAAAAGTGCTGAAGCTCTTCCCGCCGCTCTTGGGCGGGACCCGGAACGCTTCCCGCAGCGCCGCCGTGTCGGTGTCGGGCGGGACCGCTGGATTACAGGACATGACGAATTGAGTATAGGCATCTTCGATGGTCTCAGCCGTCACGTTCCTGTCCGGGAGAGTGAAGCTGCTAGAAAGTGAAGATGTTGAAGACCACGGGGCAGCCATGTGCTGCTGTCTTATTGACGGCGACGGGGATTGTTCATGCATGCCGTTGGGCGCCGGCGGCGGGAGTGACTGCTGTTGCTGCTGCATCGTCGGCTGCGGGGATATCATCGCGCATGAGTCGGTGTCGAGTAATCCGGGATATTGGACATCATCACCGTCGAGGTGTGAGTTGGGTTGCACATTGATAGCATGTGCGATACAAGTTGATTGCGTTAAAGCCTAACGACGATGCGACAACGTGTATGAGGATCGTGGAAGTCGTATCACCATCCAGCTAAACACGGCAGTGGTTTCTCGTTCAGGAGCGTCTTGAGACGTCTTGAGACGAGGGCAGTACTAGAGGCTGAGTGCCTGGGAGATGAGGTAAATCGATGCAGTCCGTCTGTCCCGTAGCTCACGGCCTCAACTAGTACGGACAGCAGTTCCAACGGGTCTTTCCGAGACGAGAGGAAAGCTTGGGTTAATCTAAACATCAATCAGATCCGAGCTGATAAAGTCGGGGACGATTTAGGGCCCTAGCGACGGGCGAAGGAGGGACGTGCTAAAATTAGCTTTTGTCACCATTCAGGAGAACCAAAGGGGGGAAAGGTCCAAAGAGTGCTGGCTCATGTCCTGCTGCAGCCGGGTGTCGCTGCAAGCAGGTGCGCCATTGCGCTTAGGCCTTAATTACTATGGCAGGAATTCCCCGAGCGGGATCGAGCTGAAGATGGAGCTGCTAGGGGGACACGGGGATTGGCAATTGCGGCAGTGTCGAACTCGCCTTAGGCACGGCTTTTCGGGCACTGTGCGATGTCATCATCGACCGGCTTCCCCAGATCGCTTCCTGCTTAGTCACTAGGTTCTGTTTTGCCCCTGCCATGATGATTGGCCCCAGCTGCGGGAAATGCTTTGCCTGGCTCGGCACTCCGATCTGATCATACCATTTGAAAAGCCAAGGCTGTCAAAGACCAAACTCTAACGGAGCTCTTATGAACCACTCATCAGGGGGGAAATAGAAAGACCAGGAGTGTATACCATTACTCCCGCCTTGACTTCGTCTCCGATATGCTGATGCCCTTTCGCTCTTTGGAATGGCTGAAGACCGAGGGTGAGATACTGCTCGGGCAGATGATTGCATCGCAAAAGGAATATGTCCTTCACCCTCAATGCCTTAATCCTTCTAAGGAAAACCCGTCGTCCGTCATGTGCAATCGGTTGCGGTGTGATTCCAAGCCCTTGTGCCCCACGCCCTTGTACCTTACGCCTTTGTGTACGCCCTTGACTAATGCTCATGCTCCTTGTCCTCCCCTCTGCCAAACCCCTGGAGTTACAACACCCAAGACCCCAAGACCTCCAAATGCTGCAGATGGCTCCGACTTGACTAATCCCACAGACCAACACCTCCGCACCGAGGCTTTCCAGACCAATCGTCTCCGAATGACGTGATTGCTCTTTCATAAGCATAGGCTATTTTGGCAGCTCGAATGGCTTCATTTATCATCTTGCTTTGAAATGCAGGATGTAGACGTTAAAAGTATTTAACAAGAAAGAAACCAAACCGAAAAGAAATGTATCTGGAGCCACCACTGCTGTCATTAACACCATCTCGATACCAGTCTCATTGATAGTCTCCAAGCAAATTGCAAAAGCGACCAAGCTGATTCATACACCCAGTGTAAACATTCAGATACAACATATCATATTACAACTACAACCAAACCCAAGATCCCGCATGGCCATCGACAGAGTCCCCCGCGGCGAGGTCCGCGCCATCCTAAATTTCTTCGCCGCGCCCGCCGATAACTCGGCCCCCTACAATATCATCAATCCGGAAGGGGCCCCGGACAGAAACTACGGCGATGCGCCAACAGAGACCCTCCTCCACGACATCCGCGGCCGTGAGTCCGACTTTAACCTCGACCGCGACGCCTTCGCCGTGATCCGCAACCTGCCCCCCTCCGCCGAAAAGGACTTTTCCGATGATGAATCCGTCAAGAAAAATTATTATCCGGAAGTCGAGAAGCTGCTCCTAGACCACGTCCCCGGAAGCAATAGGGTTCTCTTCTTCGACCACACCATCCGGCGCACCGACTCGAAAGCGCTCCGGAACCCCGTTACCCGCGTGCACATTGACCAGACGCCCGTCTCCGTCATCCAGCGGGTCAAGAAACACCTACCCGACGAGGCGGACAAGCTCCTTGCGGGCCGGTACCGCATCATCAACGTCTGGAAGCCGCTCAACGAGACGCCCGTCGAGTCGTTCCCCCTGGGCTTCGCTTCGTCGTCGACGCTGGCCGATGAGGATATCGTCCCCATCGAGCACCGGTATACCACAGGGTACACCGGCCAGACGGCGGGGATCAAGTTCAATCCCGAGCAGAAGTGGTACTTCTTGAGCGGCATGACTGGAGACGAGCGATTACTGCTCGAGTGCTTCGACAGCGAGGGACTCCGGGACGGCACCGGTGTTGCAGGAGGTCGCCTGGCTCACACTGCTTTTGAAGACCCGAGGACGAGAGCTGATGCTGTGGGCCGCGAGAGCATCGAAGTGCGGGCGCTGGTATTCGGTCCTTAGATACACCCATCTGGAGTTATATTTATGAGTCAATGATGATGAGAATGTTTTTTTACTATGAGCATTGGGGTATCAATGCATGCCACCCCTCGGAAACCGGCCGAGACCGTTGCCTCTGCGTCGTATCACCACCCCTCTGTCATATACCAACCTCTGCTGTGAATTCGGTGTTTTGCCCACTAGATGCACCTATCAATCGTGAAAGAGAAAAAGAAAAGAGATATAAGCTTGCTCGATGCTGTGCGGTTTGACCGCAGTCAACGGGATTGATTAGTGGCCCCAAAAGTCGTTCGAATACACACTCCCGCCAAAAATCCATGCCCGAATCACAACCATTTTTTCCCAAACACCGAAACACCGTTCAACAGCTTGTACGTCATGACTGGTTCTGATTCTTGCGACCCTTGCCGCGGGCACTCCCCTGTCGGCTCATCGCTGCGCCGCCCGTTGCGCTGCTGGTGCGGCTCATAGGTACGGCAGCGATGGCTGCGAGGGAAGATGGAGGAGCCTCATCTCTAATGCTGCTCTCGATCAGCATCAGATCCTCTCTGAGTTTCGTCGGATCAGGTCGGGGGCCTGGCTTGAATCCCGTGTATGGAGTCATGGTGTAAGGTGTAATAGAGGCTTCCAAGATCCTCCTGCTGCCGTTTGGATGGTCGATTGAGTCGCCGGGCTTGTGATTAGTGTCGTACTTCTTGAACATATCCATGACCATGATGTCGGAGTTGATCTCCTCGGGTGACAGCGGTTGCGGCAGGTTGCCGTCAGTATTACCTCTGACCGGTTTGAAGTAGTTGGTCACAGAGACTGAGGGCAATTTGGCGGGCTCGTGCGGCTGCATGATCTCAAGGTACTTGGGCAATTCCAAGCCATTGGCTCCCTCGACGGCGTCAATCAGGTTCTGATTGATGCCGGCCCTCGTGCTTCTGGTGGCGTGGGAGCTGGTGCGCTCCATAGCCGGGGCAGACAAGGCCTCACTGTCATGTTCACCGTTTTCGTCGCCGTTGCCGGAGTCGCTGCCCGGAGATGAGCCCCCATTCGCATAAGGCTTGTGTCTGAGGATGTGCTTGTGGGAAGCGACGGCTGCGGCATTGTATGCCATACTGAGCTCTTTCTCGGTAAAGAGTTTATCAATGCTGTAAGCCGGACCATTTTGTTTCGCGGCGACCCGAAGCTTCTCGTTCTGCCAAAGAGGCGTTGTGTTGTTCGGATCGAGCGCTCGTCGGGACGGAACAGGTGAGCCGTCGTCTTCGCCGGGGTTCCTCTTGCGCTTCTTGCTGTCCGCATAGCTGGCAAGCTCTTCGGCATCCTTGCGTAGCCTTGTCGCGCGTTTCCCATGAGTGCCACCCGGGCTTGATGGGTTGGTGATGCTGAACTGGTTGGGGTGGAGCAGCAGCGCCGAAGAATCTGAAATCTCCAAGGCCTCCTTCTCCTTGTTCAAGCGATACTTTCTCGATAGCAGGGTATTAACGAGCCGATCGCGAAGTGTTGAAGAAAGGGCCTGATGCTCGCGCTTGGCAGTCTCGACCTTGTAAAGATATTCGTTCTTGTACTGGTGGAGTCGACGCTCATGTTCGTGCTGTTGTTGCGTTTGTTAGCTCGGCCGACGAAAGGAAAGGGGAAAATCGGCCACACTCACCATGTGCTGAAGCAAATGAAAATCTCTGTACTCGACGAGATCTTCAATTCCCTGAACAAAGTCCTCAAAATTGGGACCGGCCATCTGCAGCAGGGTGCGATTGCTGTCGGACAGCGCCTCTTGTCCATGCGTCTCCTCGTGCTGTTGTCGCAGACTGGCGATGACATTCAGAACATCATCAGCGTATGGATCGATGCGCTGGACGAGGTTGGTGTCGACCTGAACCTTCTGGAGCTGATCACGGTATCCAAGGTCACGATCCCGGCTAAACTTCTCTTGCAAGTTGGCGATCTTGTCGACAAGTGCCTGGCGCTTGCGGTCGCGCTTCGACTGGGGCGCCGGAGATGCTCGTCCGACTTTTGGCTGGGCAGAAGCGCCCCCCAAGTTGGGAATAGCTGCTTCGTTGGCTGCCATTGTAAAAATGACGAATAGCTTCGTGTATTGGTAGTTTGGGGGCGCAATGAATTCGTTTGATCAAAGAGGAGAGCGGTGTTGTACTTGGAGGCAATGATCCGGTCTAGTGCGGGAAGGGCGACCGTCGCAAGCCGGAGCTCAAGCAAACCGAAGTTCGCTAGAACAGGAGTCTAAAGAGACAGGTTCCGGGACGTGGTTGGAGAGAGGAGGTACCTCTCATTCACTACTCTCGAATATGGAGGGTTTCGTTCAGGCGCCCATTCGTAGCGGTACCTCTCGCTTCGGTGTTTGTGTGGGAGATCGTAGAATCGGAGAAAGGTGAGAGCGCTGCGGCACGAGATGGTCCTGCGCAGTGTGCTTGCCTTGTCAGCCTTTCCGCTAAGTGACCGCATGCACTTTCAGGTTCTGTACCTGACCGCTGGAGGGGTGAATTTTTCTTATTGGACGGGGGTCACCCGATGACTTCCGCAGGGGCCAGGGGAGTTAGTGGGCGGAAGGGATGAAAAAATAGCTGAAGTGGCCTACAACTCAGCGCTTGCCGATTTTAGGCCGAACCCCCCTAGACTTCCAGGATGCGGTTTCCCGCAAGGTTAGTACATGCTCACTCCGGGTCGAAGGCTTATGAGACGAACACTCTCAGGCATAGCCACGGAAGGAAGCCACGTACAGAAACAGGCCGCAGATATGACATAACATGAGATAGGATACAACAATATGTCACATTTTCATATTTCATTCATCGTTTTATCTTCGTCTGTCTTCATGTCAACAGGGCAGTGTATACGTACCTATCTAACTTTGCGCTCTATCTTCCAGAGTGTCAGCATGCGCTTCTTTGCGAGGTGTCCCTCACTGCCACCCAGAATCTCAGGCTCTGGTGCCTCACAGCTTGCATGCAAAGCTCCTTGATATGCCCATCTGATCGATCATATTGTTATAAGCCGTTTCTAAGCTTCTGTAGCTGGCTCATCAAGCCGTACCCTCCAAGATATGTCTTGTTCTCCGCCGCATCGGCATGCACACTCCCTTTTCTCGCTCGCCCGTCATTCAAATCTCTCCTGCTCGCCTGGTCAACCTCCCTCATGAGGTCCCTATGCCGGTCCTCGACCATCTTGGCCAAGCTCTCGATGAACTTGGTCCTGCCCTTCTCCTCCGCCGTGCCTTTCCAGACCTTGTTGAGCTCTTTAAGCTCCTCGATGCGCTGCGCCGCCTTCTCGATGCCCTTGACCGGGTCCTCCAACTTGGTCAGGAGCTGCGATATCTCGTCTCGTAGACCCTGAAGGACCTGCTGTCCCTTCTCCTCCGTGCTGTGCTGCTCCGCGCCGGGATCGGGCGCTGAAACGGAGAGGAAGGACGAGCTGACGGAGAGCTCCGACGGCGGAAAGACGAACTCCATGGCGTCTCCAAAGGTCTTAATGACGGTGTCGAGGCGGGATCGGACCACCGTCAGCGTCCGCAGTTGATTGATGTACGGCGGTTCTGACATTGCCGCTTGCCCCTCCGTGACCGTACCCTCATCGGTCTTATTGGCGCCCACAGATTCTCTCCTTCCTTGCCCATCCGTGGCTTTGGGCGCTGGTTCCTTCACCACCTGATTGACATCACTTGGCGCGAACTTCTTGATGTCCTCCTGCAGCGTCTCATTCATCGTCTCAGCAAGACTCAGAGTCTCACCTCGGAGAAGCTCGACTTCGTAGGCGAGTCGGCTGCCGCTCCGGAGGATGTCATCTGTCAACTGGGTCAACGTTCCGGAAAGCCTCGTCGTGTGTATGTTGAGTTGGGACAGCAGCGTTTGCGCCTCATTGGACAAATCGGCAAGCGGGACGGCCTGGCCGTTGCTTCTTGATAAGTGGTGGCTGCCATGTTGAAGCGGCGGCAAAGTAGCATTCAGATACGCTGCTGGGTCAAACGAGGGATCCAAGAAGCCCTGCAAAAAGTCGTCTGCTGCATGGCTGGACTTGGGCTGGATTGTTGCTACCGACTGCTCGGGGGTGTGGATTGGGAGGTTTTTGGGCGCATCAGCACTGCTGTTCTGCTGGCGATGTAACGCTGAATTAGGTTCCCACGACATTTTTCAGACGAGCTTCGATGAACAAAGGCCGATGAGTGAGGTGTCGACGGTTGGAATTGTCTAGAGATGTTGGCTCGCAGAGGGCAAGTCTTGACCGAATGGAAGAATCCATGCACTGTGTTGGGTAAGGTACCTTAGTAGTGGAGAGAGGCTGGGCGGGTAACTGGCCCCACTTTCACCCGCTGCCTACCTTACCTGACCGAGAATTTACTGTGCCTCCAATTTCAAGGTCATGTCTGGCTATAATTTAGAATTGGGATTGACATGTTGGAAAGGGTTCCTCATTCGAGTTAAATCTTCCTGTCGCGCGGGCTCATGATTTGGTCAAAATTTCTCGCGTTTCCTGAGCAACATTGCAGAAGTAGACCTTTGAAGTTGTCTACTATTGGGTATCTTTTGGCCATAAAAGTTCCCGCTGGTACAAGCATCGTACCATCGTTACAAAGACGATGAACCATATAACTATCAAACACGCAGCGAAGACGCATCCGAATATCTGTAGTCCGTTATTCTGCAGGGCCTTGCCAAGCGCGGTCGTGGCTGTAACAAGTGCAGTGTTCGGGAAGACAAATGACCACCAAGTCATTTGGAAAGGCATCTTGCTCTCTGGCCGCACGTACTTCCAAAGAGATCCAACGGAGACAATGAAGAACCACATGCTCAAGCCCCATAGCCACAGCCCAATCAAGACAGACATAACTTTAATAATGGGCACAGCCAGATCGGTCCCCAGGAAATCGCTGGGCAGAATTTTGTCTGCAGAATTACCGAGTTGAACTGCAATGATTAGTCGAGCTTCTCACTGTGTCTGAGGGGGAACGCTACCTAAGCCTCCAACCGTGAAGGCAAATGGTCCGATGGAAATGAACTAATTCGGTCAGCTTCACTCTTTCCAATTGCACCAGGAATAATTACGTACCACACCAGGGCGTTGAAAATCCCGCGGCAGTTTCTGCGTCATTAATCGATAGATGAAGGCAGCTGAGATCATGAAGGCAATCAAGCAGCCCGCACCTTGCGTAGCTACTGCACAAAGCGCAATAGCAGTCCTGTTAAGAGTGACGACTTGCTGGTTCGTTTGGACAGCGGCTTGGATAAGGTTGCTCGCAAAAGGTGCCGTGAGGAGCAGAGGGTAGGCCGGGAAGACCCAAGTAGGAGTCATAGTGTGAATAGGGAAGATCCTACTGATCGTCAGCAAGACCGAGACTACTGTCATAGGCTGAGAGAAAGGCTCTCACAGTGTCGACCAAAGAATCAGATATATGGTTGCACTGGCGAGCACACTCAAGGCTATGTAGAACCAGAACAGAATCTGCATGATTCTAAGGAGCCACGGCCCTACATGTGGCACACCGAATTGGCATATGTTAATCGATATGATGGCGAAGCTATAGCAGTTCAGTTGATGACCAAGCAGATTCGTCCAGGCCGCTTACGAGACAACAGCAGAAGGAATGAAGAGCGATTCCGTCTGGTCTGTAAATGAATGCGTGAGGGCCCCTGGTCTAGATTTGAACCGAATACAGGCAAGGGCACAGTTCGTAATGAAAAACATGATGTTCAGCAGGAAAAAGGCTACAGCTATGCCGTTGAGCCAGGCAACTTGGTAGGGAACTGTCTCAAATAAGCATGTGCATCAGCCGGGGAACTCAGGTTACTGACGAGAGTGTATCACGTTCGCCATCCCTCCGGTAGCCTGCACGAAATCAGCATTTTATTAATCTCGTTTGCATGATCTACTCCCTACCATCGTCTATGAATCATTAGCAACAAATATCATCGCGGATGAGCGGGTGTGTTACCATAGTGAACCAGGTCCAGGTATGACAGGCGATCCGGTCTCGAATTCCTACTTTGCTAAAGCTAGAATGCTTCTCTGCCGTAGTTGTATTGTTTGGGCTAGACTCATTCGAATCTGCCTGCCTTCCGGCCGGGGGTATCGCCGTGCCATGTTCCGTTTCTAGGGCGGGTTCATAGGAGGAACGAGGGATAAATGGGGAACGTCTCAAAGGAGACTTAGGTAATGGCAATGATGCCAAAGGAGGCTCGTTTGGGGTAGCAAAGTACGAGGGGCGGTTGCTGTGCTCATCCGGGGTCTGGTAGCCGCAGTCGGCTACCATTTCATGGGCGGGGGCCATTTTGCGGTGGGAGAATCCCAATCTTCAGGTCCTCGAGCCAGTAGCTTCGACACAACGTAAAGAGGGAAAAGCAGGCCGGGTTCAGCATTGGAGAGGGCGATGTTCATGTAGACGAGGTTGGTGATGAAGACAACGTGGTCGAGGAACAGAGAGCCGAGATCGAAAAGAGGCATGCTCAAAAGCGGGCGGGCGTCCAAGAACGCAGTTCCGCGCAGTGCGGGTTGAACCAAGGTGTGTCGTTGGAGAGGCGTGAGGGGAGAATTAGCACCGGGCGTGGACGAGACGTGTGGGTGGATATAGTCAGATGCCGTCCTGGTTGTGTCGTGGTGCAGGGCCACAAACGCAGATCCTAGCTCCTTCCTTGGGCAAGGGTGAGCAACGAGTCGTCCTGTGGGTTGCGGCCAAGGCAGTTTGAAGTGGTGTCGTTAGTTTTGCTGGGCTTCTCCGTCGTAAATGGTTGGGGTTGTTATTATGGTATTTGTGGTGGCAGTCGCGTGAAAGGTGTTCGCCGATAATGACGCGCTCAACAATTAGGATCACGATTGGATGGAAACTGCTTGAAAATTCGGTAACCGCAATGAGGGTTCACAGTCAACGTTCTCAGCGACTTGTTCTTGGTGTTACGGGCAATGGTCCGGCTTGGTGAGTAAAGCAGATCCTAGTGAGCAGATGTGAAGTGTAAAGTGGTGCCTGCGTCATACAGAAGTTGGCGGTAGCAACAGCGTGCTAGAACTTGCCCAGAGAACCGGCGGTGACCCTGCCGTGGATGACACAGCAAGACCGGGGTCTCAGCACATCATGTGGGGTTGACCAACACCTGAAGCCTGAAAGCCTTATCACCAAGGTAGCGGAGATGCAGAGCTGTAAACCGGTCATCAACCTTTTTTTTTTTTTTCATGCGCCCAGAACTCAACGTAGCAAAAGGGGACAACGCATCAACATCCGGCCTAGAAGTAGTAGCCGGGGGCTATAAACCATCTTGATAAGAATTCGACAGCATCTTTTGGAGTAAGATGCTGGTATCCAATCCTCGTCTGCGTCTAAGGTAGCGCAACGTTAGGCTCTTGTGATCGCAGGCTTGGGTTGGTAGCTTATCGTCGACATCGCTGATAGGATGCGCATTACCGACCGGCGACTACGCTAGGCATGTGGGGGACGACGGTAGCACAGTGGGATGTCAACGGTCCAGATCTACAGCTCTCAAAACCATGGCCAGCAACAGCCGTTCGGGCCGGTATTTCCGGGCCTCCATGTGTCAAGGTTTTCGACCTCACCTGTGCAAACCTCATCTTCCGTTTCGAGAATGGCGACGTCTCCTGTTGGCCTCACTTTCAAGATTGCCTGTTTACATTCACACTGTCCCCGCAGTACAATAATCATGACGCTTGAATAGCAGACTTCCCCGCCCCACTCAGGGAAGGTAGTGTTGTTGTTGCCGTGTGAAATGTGATCGCACCTGCCAGTCTTCCCCGAAGGTACCATTTCTCAGAATTCCGCTGGAGGCTGTACCTCATTCCTTCCCAAGTGGGACGACCTGGAACGACCTTCCTTCCTCAATTATCGAAGGTACCTCATGTATCTAATATTTTAGCGTCTGTCGAATCCAACGACATTCGTTGTTTGACAAAAGGCATTGTCCGAAATTCCCGAACGTAAATGTCCCTTTCTGACGCTGAAGTCCCGTGCCTCTCCACATCATGACGACAGTTACCTTATCGCTTGACCCAGTTGTTCTCTCCGACCCAACGACATATTTCTTCCTCAACATCGCGAGCAACATTTCCTTCCGCTTGCCAACCGGCCAGACGTTGTTCTCAACTGCCGATGAGCTGCTCGCTGGCATTCAAGGAGGAGAATTATTCATCCTCCAGGCTCAGACTTGCCGCTTCCTGGTCTCGGTCACCAAGGAGGAAGACGATTCGAAGGATCAAGCCAATTTCGTAAACCACATTGCAACTCAAATAATAAGCTGTCCGGTAGGCATCATCATTGGTAACATCACGAACGACACTTCCTAATGAATAAAAGATTTGGACCCAGCTAGGAATCAATCTAGTGTACGATGTGGAGAGTCCTTCCAGCCATCGGCATCTATCCTTCAAGATTGAGCATTCAGGGGCTGCATTATACCCTATGATGCCCCTTGACACTACGGCAATTACTATGCAGCATCTCACCTGCTCATTTTACTTTCGTCAGGAACTCTGCAACCCGGAACCCCCTATAACAGTGAATTCTCACAGGAACGTGCCAATGGCTGCCAGTCATGGGCCTCTTTCTGACTCAGAAAGCAACTTGGACTTAGACGATTCGTCGATGGAATAGGACTCACAAGACAAGGTCAAAGATCATTTCGACAGCCAAGATTCAGGCGTCTGTCTTCTACCTTGCGATGCCGTTGCCTCTGCATCCAACAAGCAGGCTTCTAAGGATGGCGAGGTCACTTCTTCGATATACAGACTCGTGGAAGCTGGTATCAACACTTTACTCATCGGTCGCAAAGCCGTTGAAGGAATCGAAACAATATCAACAATGAGAACGCCAACACTTATTCGCCTTGCACCCGAGGTATTTAACACGAGCTATCTTTCAGTACGTTTTGCTTTTCGACTACTTTGCATACTGATGGAAAGACTAATGAACACAAAGTCTTTGATTGCTCGATCTCACCTCCTACCAGCACTGTCCTCCGTGTTTTCAGATCTTGACCACATCGAGTCTCTTCGACTACGGCGCCATAATTCTGTATCCAACGGCAATGTCTCAGACAGCCATCCCAATGTAGCTCAAGATGGCACACCCGATAGCTTCGGGCAGCGGATATGGAGGCTAATGCGTACGCATCTACCTGCTTTCGACGAGACAAAATCGTCACAGCAACAGCGCAGCGAGCCGGCAACACGAATAGGTGAAATCCCAGAGCTCCTGGATCTCGATGCCATGACTCCTTATGAAGATAGAGCAGAAGACGAGCTCTCAATTAGTGTAGAGTCCGGTTTTGTAGCCGATGAGGAGCTTGAAACGAATCAGGCTCGCCACATCCAAGACTCATTATCAGACACTGATATGGATTTTGGCCAGAACACGCCGTCTTCCTGGATGATTGACGAGAGCCTGTGTCTGTCTTCCCCACCTCCGACTTTCAATCTCCATGCGGATCGGAGCGAGCTTGGAGATGAGCGAGAGGAAAACAACGACGAGGGCCGCTATCCAGAAGACGTTTCTTAGGACGATGTCGATTCAGGAGCTTTCGACTCTCTGTTCTCATCGCAGCCCATCTCAGATTTTGGGGAGACCCATGACTCCCGCAACGTGGTAGACCTGGAGGCGCATGGGCTGATTCGGGCAATCGACTTAATGGATACATCACGATTGATTCTTCACTCGACACACCCACTGGCCAGCACCACTTCCGGAGGTTGCAGTGACTGGTCGAATGCCAGCGTTGATTTCGGGGATGAAGAAGACTTTGGGATAGGATATTTTGCCGATGGCTCCTATGGGCAAAGTTTGACATCTCCTCAGCGTTACAGCGATTGGCAGCGTGACGAGGGCGAGGGCCTGTCCTCAGAGGTATCGTTCCAAGAAGCCAGACCTGACCACCTACCGGATGATCATGAGATACACGGAGAACCTGAGCTCGGCCACGGGGAAGACATATGCCAGGGCTACACCTGGCCAAACGAATCCTTTTCCGAAAACAAAACTGCCCATTTTGAGGAAGAATGAATGGAATAAATCAACTGCCGAAAGAGCACCGGTAGTCTACAACCCGAAAATCCGCCAACGTCCATATTTCGGTCATAGGAAAGAGTTTCAAGAGATATATTGCAAGAAATGGATGTCGAACGCAGCCTGTGACATTCGAGCATCACAAACTGTGGTATCTGCCGCTCTGAGGCAGCCATGGGACCGGCTCAATTCTCAAGCCATAATACAATTCATTATCCAGCCTCGCCCCATTGTTGCAGATGAAAAAAGTCCGATACGGCGAACTCTCTTCTAGCGCATGCGTTTTATCTCCCTGAGCGACGTGACCGTGTTGGTAATCCGCCACTTTACCAGGCCCCAGGTCCTGTCTTCGCAAAGAATCCTCCGAGAAAGTGCGCGCCTCCAGCCCGCAGTCCCTCTTATTTCTTTCCTCCCTTGCCTCCCTTCTTCGGCTCCTTCTTCTTCTTCTGTTCGGGCTTCAATGTCGCAAAGTGGATGTACCAGAGAAGCACTCCCTGGAGCATGACGGCAACAAGAACGATCAGGAGGATGGTGAAGAGAATTGGCTGATCGTTCAGAACGGCGACGGCCTCGGGGGTAGCGCCAATGGATCGGAACCAGTCGAATTGGCCCATTGTCGTGATCTTTAATCTTTCGGTATCGATCGATGCTTGGAAGCGAAGTCGGTGCGATGATTCTCAGCCAGGTGGGCTGACGCTTGACCGGTCGTTGATTTTCGGCGGCGAGATAAGGAGATTTAAAGACACCTGCAACGGGCGGTATGGACTGTGTTGGTTGGAATTAAAAGTGTACAGAAAGTCAAAAATGAAGGTCTGAGTCTCAAGTGCGCCAGTCACAAGGGAACAAAAATGTACGTATTGTTGGGGGACCGGATTAGAAGGTTTTGGTTCGATAGCAGGAAACACGAGATGCGAAATAAGGTAGGCCAGAAGGGAAGAATAAGAGGGTTAGTAGGCGCCAAGATGTAGGTAAAAGATCCGCTCGGCTTCTCGAAACGGGAGACGTCACAATTGGGTGCGCTGCAAGGGCGAGGAGGTGGCCCTATGGCCCTGGTGCCTTTCGCCGGGCTAGGCCGCCTTGGGAGTGTGAGACCAGGACGCGACATGGCCGCATCGTGGTGGTTCAATGTGTGAGGAGGGCGCGGCCAGGGGAGGGGCGGCATCGATGCGCGTTTCAGGCCTGCGGCAGAAAGTCGACTGATGTCTGCTGAGGGTGATTGGCCGAGCAGGGACGAGCTGCAGCGGTTACTTCGGCACTAATAAAAAGGGTCCTGGGTTTCTTCACGGGAAAGACGTTCTGCTGCAGGCATGCATTGGATTGGCCATGTGGTTGCTAGTCCTGGCAACAACATCAAAGGAGGCCATTGCGTTCTTTCCGATCTGGAGAGGGTTGAACTGACTCCTTGATGTTCACAAAATGATGTCTACTAGAATGATGTGCTCATCGCCTGGTCGAACATACTCGGGCTTTTGAGCTTGATGGCTGCGAATTGATCGCCAACGCTAAAAGTCGGCATAAGACCATACAATCCAAGATTAAGTAAGGTAAGCCAGCCTCAGGACTTAGCTAAGACTCGGTGAGGCAACAAGCCAGCTGCTCCTCGGTGTGGCACCAACCAAGTGTCGTTGACCTCACAAAGTCATGTGACTCGAGGAACATCTCCGCTCCGTCACACCCGTTTGCGCACGGGCCAAAAGCGGGAGAAGGACCGGGCTCGTTGACCAATGAGGTGGTTGAGATCAAGCCCAGGGAATCAAATGCAAGCCGATCCAATTGAGCTTTCCAAAAAAATTGTCGACCAGCTGGCGCGACTTTGAGCTCAAAACCAAAGAGCCCATCGCGCGACTATTACACCCACTCCCAGGCGACTCATTCTACCCTTTGCTGCCGGTGACGAACTGGTGCAGAGACGTCGCCCCTCCCTGCTGCGATGAACTCGGTACGCCCGGCGCGGAGCGTCTTGTCGAGATGCGTCTCCTCCGCCTCGAGCGCACCGGCCGCCCTTCCCTATCGACTATTCCACAGCTCCGTTAGCCGGTCAGGTCGGAGGCGATCACGATTCAACAATGTCACCGCCGAGAAGATGGGCCTGACGAACCCGGATGCGATCGAGTCGTATGCGAGACAACACTTCCCCGAGTACACGGAACAGCAAAAGGAGTTTCTGAAGGAGAAGTACACTCCCGAGCAATGGGAGGCTCTTCAGGCCGCCGAGGAGGCCATTGACCCGAAAGATTTGGTGATTCAAGGTCGGTTACGGACGGATCCCTATACGCAGCCCTACATCGAGGACTTTTCGACGATCCAACCCATCATCGATGCGAAACCCCAAAAGACCTTAAAGCCCCAGGAGGTGAAGTGGCTCCCGAGGAGAGAGTGGGTCGACGACTACATTGAGAAGATGGCCGACAGGGTCGACGGCCAGCTGAAGGACACCATGGGCAAGGCTTTTGCCAGGGCGCTACGCAAGGTCAAGCAGACGAACCCCGAGAAGCTCGACTTCACCGAGGAGGAGCTGCATGAGCTTGAGAACAACCCCGAATTGCGCCGCAAGTTCTTGATCGAGCAGGACGCTGATGTGCTTGGAACCAAGAAAGTCAAGAAGCCCGAGGTTGAGTCTATCGCAGGCGACGACTGGGTGAAGCAGATTGATCAGCACTTCTTCGATGAGTTGGAAGAATCCCTCAACACCACAGAGAACCCCCTTCGCCCACCCCGCGTGGAGTCGTGGAAGGCCATCGAGGGCGAGCACGGCAACTCAGCGATAGCCCCTGAGCTCGGCAAGGTCGAGGGTGTCAAGGGACTCTACAAACCCCCGGAAGACGCCGAGGACGACGGTCTCGACCCCACAGGTCGCTATATCAAGCTCAAGCAAGCCACCGGCATGAAGATCAGCGAGATTCTCTCCATTCTCACCAAGAGAGTCGTGATTCGTTCCGTTTCTAACCAGACTCGTCTGGGTAAGATCCGCAGTGCTTCCGTCATCGTCGTAGCCGGCAACGGAGACGGCAGATTGGGATTGGGAGAGGCCAAGTCGACGGATGCTCAGATCGCGACCGCGACGGCCACGCTCCTGGCCATCCGCAACATGAAGCCCATCCGCAGATATGAGAACCGCACTATTTACGGCAACGTCGAGACCAAGATCTCGGGAACTGTTGTGCAGCTCTTCTCCCGTCCGCCAGGTACGCTCTAGCCCCGCCAGTTCCTCAACCGTATCCTTTTGACACATATACACTGACACAATTAGGCTTCGGTCTCCGCGTCTCTCACAGGATATTCGAAATGGCCCGCCTCGCTGGTATCCACGATTTGGCCGCCAAGATTCCCCGCTCCAAGAACCCCTACAACACGGTTAACGCCGTCTACAAGGCCCTCCTGAACCAACCCGACCCGGAGGAGATTGCCATCGGTCGCGGAAAGAAGATGGTCGATGTGAGGAAGGTCTACTACGGCGGATCTGTATATTAATATGTATACCACTTCTGTATACCACTGTATATGTTCAAAAAAGCGCAAATCACTAGAGATCTCCCTACAATGTCTCATCTACCCCGCGAATAGTGAAGTTAAACCTCGTTGTCGTATTGTGATTGTCGTCGTGTAGTTTGGGGGTATCTGCTCCGATCGTGGTCTCGTCATGCATTTGTGCACTCTCCGTCTTCCTCTCGCATTACAACCAGCCGAACGCTGCAAATGTCGAATGCCCCCTTGTGATCCTGTATTCGCATCCCTTACTCCTCCTGGCTTCCAGCCTGATCACCCCAGTCAATCTCCTGCTGCAGCACTATGCTGTACACGCTCGCCTTGAGGAGCGTAAATACCAAGCTCGTCTTGCGCTCCAGCTCACGCAGGCCGTCGAGGATCTCGGTGCTCGGCGAGCCGCTCAAGTCTTCCAGTGTTGAAGCAAGCTTTAATTTACAAAGTTCGAGTTAGCTTTGAAGCTTTGTTTGTAGTACCTAAATAGTGTCTTGAGACCAGGGGGGGAGGGGTCCGGGTCCAACTGTAGGAAGCGAAGCAATGCGGGCGAACGAACCTTCTTCATATTATCCGCCAACTTTTCATACTCTTCCAGGACCTCAGCCTCCAACGGCGACAACTCCGGCTGCGAATGCAGCAACGTGGAGTCCCGCCCCTGCTCCATTACGTGCAATTGTCCTTTTCTTGTGTTCGTATTGTAGACCAGGTAAGGTTGGGCGGCAGGCGGCGCTACCTTGGTACAGCTACTCTCTGTCTTGCTTTCGTTCTCGTCGGTTATTACCGGTGGGAAGTTGTTTCGGTGAGTCGCGGTGGGACGCGTTGTGGCTTGAACCCCGCCAGTCCAGGCCAGGTACCCAGGTGCCCAGGTGCCCGGTACCTACCGCGAAAGAAAAAGTAGGAGGGTTGACAGCGCCAGTCCCCAGCCGGTGAAGTGCGTCTTCGGTGAGTACCCAATGAAGGGGACTTGTAGGCGGCTTGTGCGCTTCTGATTACGCACCCATCAATCATTTCCACAACATGCACGTACTTTCTGTCTGCTTACAACGTCCGTCCACACATCCATGTCTCAAGACATTTTGAAGCGGTCAAGGAGATGCTCATTAGAGCATTCTAGATGACGTCTTAGCACCCCCTTTCAGATGTCTTCCCAGAAGGAGGAGAGGGCCGGGCAAGAAGCGATCACAAGATCGAAGGCACTTTGATTTTCGGTACCCCGATCCTTCCGTCATTTTTCCATCAAGCAGGAGGTTTTCCATGGATTGCTAGTGCGAAGTACATGTCAGAGAGAGTCAATCCTGAAGTGCATGTTCTGTTGGAGTCGGTTCTACCGGGCGTGCCGTGTACCGAGCTTGATCATGAGCGTGTTCCAAAAAAGCTGTTCCTTTCGTGTTCTACAAGTAAAGGGGATGGCTTGACGTGGCAAGCCTACTTGTCGATACCCCCCCCAGATGGTTTCAGGACTAAACTAGAGCACGCGAATCTCAACCCCGTCATTTCGCGACAGTCAGCCACGAACCTGCCATGGCCGGCCGACACACATCTTACTTAGGCCTAAGTCAGACTAAGAGGGAACTAGAGCACAGGTGGGGAGAGCTTAGGGGGTAGGAAAGCTGTAAATTCAGATGCTCTAGCTCAGGTCACTTGACAAACCACCTGGACAGGTGTCAGCCATGGTTAATCTCACTCATTATAACTCGGGGTGGTCTTCTCTTCTGGCGTCGTTCGAGATGTTTCTCGTCGAAAAGGCAGATATTCTAGCACCAGGCCGACGACTCGAAACAAGTGGCTTCCATCAACCCGTATTGAATAGGGACAATGGCCGGATCAAAGATATTCGAGCAGTCGCCGCCTCTCACGACCAGCGACTCAGCCGATCACACGAAACGGTCCAACACACCGGCGCTCCTTGTCCGGAGATCATCTCTGATGAGCAAGTTCCCCGAGTCGAGCTCGTCCGCCTACGTCCTCGACTGGGAGAGCGACAAGTGCAAGCAGCGACTCCTCAACCACGCCGAAGACCTCCTGAGGGAAGCCGTGGGCCGGAGGCGGCTCACCATCATCCAGGGCCTGCCGCTGGATCTGGTCCAGGTGTTGAGAGATTCTCTGGGCGTGAATCCCGGGTTTCTCGAAGCGCACGCGGGGAGGCGGCGACACCGACCGTCTAGGGGCGATGAGGGCTCGAGCTTTATCTCGTTTGCGTATCCAGAACTCGTCAAGACTACTAGGGGGAACTACGGGCCGGATCCTGGGTATAAGCCGTCCGCGAGGCAATCTGACCTGGTGGACGTGATGGACGAGGCGCCCTTCCACATGATGTCCAGGGATGGGCAGGCAGTCATGTTCTGTCATGCGTCCTTGTGGATGAGTAGTAAAGCTGATGGTATGACCCCGACGGCCTCATGAATGTGTTCTATACTGAATTGACGCCCTGCTAGTCCTATTTCTGGACCGTCCCATATGGAACGATCCATCATCACAGGTTCAAAAGGCTCGGAGACCACTCTCCGTCACCCGCTCATGGCAAAGCAAAATCGACGAATCGCAGATGGACGGCACGTCGATCTGGAACGTCCTCATCGCCGAGGGCGACGAACTCCCAGGCCTCGAAGACAGTCTCCTGAGGACGTTCAGGCAGTCCAACGTCACCAGGCAAACCCTCCCCGACATCCTCTGCGAGGCGGTCCACGACAAGTGGCTCGACTTCTTCGAGACCCTCCCGTCATGCTCCGATCCGGGGTCCTTGCAGGACGGGGGCCTCTACTGGCAGGCTACGGAGTCCCTCGAGCAGAACCTGGACCTCGCTAACGACCAAGCGCGACAGCCGCTCCTGGGCGGCATGCGGTACCCAGACTGGCGGGCCCTCCTCGAGCGTCTCCAGCGCCGCGTCACCATGTCAAGGCTCGGCTCGACACCGCGGCCGCAGACCTCCTGGCCCCAGACGCAACCGACAACGGCGGCGCTGCAGACGCGAGACGTGCACATCCCTGAGCAGAGCTCCAGCCAGCCGTATCCGAACGCCATGGCCGGGGACGCCGGCAAGGAGGCGAACCAGCGCGCTCTCGACCGCGTCACGTATCTCGGAGGCATCCTCCTCCCGTTCACAGTGGTGTCCGCCATCCTCTCCATGAACGAGGAGTACTCTCCCAACGCGCCGCGATTCTGGGTATTCTGGGTATCCTCCATCGGCGCCGCCATCCTGTGTCTCCTCATCATCTACCTAGATCAGCTGCGCTGCCTAGAGGTGTACTTTGAAGTAGCGGCCGCGGGAACGGTCGAATCGATATTCCCATCCACCAAGACGCACTCCCTCGCCGCCGCCAACACCCACAACGGCATTTCCCCCGTTTCGATGCCTCCTCCTCTGGGGTCGAGATGGCGGCGGCCGTCGCAGTTCGCGACGGAGATGTACATGGACATGGCGGAGCCCGGCGGCGGGGACGTCGAGGTCATGGCCGACTCGGCGGTGAACCCCACCATGGTCGTGCAGCAGGGCAGGGACGGGTCGAACCCGAAGGCGTGGCGGAGGAGGCAGCTCGGCTGGGGCGGCGCGTTGAAGAAGGTCGTTGGGTACTACCGGTGGACGGGCGGCAAGCCGGTCCAGATTAGTCCGTACGGGTCGGAGAGGCTTCAGATGAAGACGATTTGATGTTTGGTCGAGCGTAGCCGTTGTGTTGACAATACTGGCAATTGATCTGGTCCGAAAAGATCTGCCTTATTTGATTATACGATATCCCTTGATCAAACCCCATGTGACCTGCAGACCACTCCATCTACCTACTTTGGAGACATGTCATCGTTGTCAAAATTACCTCTACTCCCCGGTAGCACCAACCTTCTTTTCAACTGAGCGCCACTGAGACAGGACGATCGCCTGCCTAATTTCAAACATCTTCGCGAGTATGGAGTGAGTTTGGTTTCCCATCCTGATCTGCCCATACTTTCTTTGCAACCCTCAACAGGGGCAGATGTTAGGTGCTTGATACGGGGCACGACTCGAAGGTGTTGTACGTTTCTGACTTTCCGAAACCAGACGCCGACAGGCTCAACCGCTCACTGAACCCATCCATATATTCTGCAGATAAAACTACCATAATATTTGTATACAATTTCACAGGCTGCATGCTGAGCCATAGACATGTACTTTTGTATCGGATTCTATTGCTGTGCCAACACAGAAGGTTGCTCGGCGGTTCATAGCTGCGGTAGAAACAAAGGATGTGGAGGACATTTTTGACTGGAACAATAACCTAAAGCCATTGAGAATCAAGAAACTAGACTATGCCGCTATGGACCTTGTTATGATTTCCCTCATCCCTTGACTCCTATGCTTGATTTCTTTGGATGCCTGTCACCTCCATGTTAACGCCTCATCATGAGCCATCTTGACAGAGAGAAAACAGTCTTATAAGTCCACCTCCCTTATCATGTACGTCTTTCACTGCGCATTGGCAGTCATATCCAGGTCGGGAGGCACCTGCCAGCCATGGGCAGCGGCAGAGCGCTTATACGCCTCAACAGCCTCAAAAACACCATAATCGCTTCCTCCAGCAGGCTGACCTTTCTCCTGGCGCGCAAGTCGTGCTGGGAAGGGTTGGAGATTACACATGGCCACGCGAACCTGGAGAAGAACACCTTCCATGCTGCTGACAGGGCTCCAACCGCTGTTGGTCAGGAGCTCCATGCACATGGCACCGCCGGCTGTGATGTGACCACCGCCTCTCTGTGAAAACGGCAAGAAACGAGGGCGAATAACGCGGATGAACGGGGGCGAGAGAGGAAATTGGCGGCCGAACCTGATTTCGAGAACAACGCTGTCGACGCCTGCTCGCTCCATATCTCGCGCGAGGGGCAAGGACTTATCGAAGCTGTGCAGCTGAACAATCCATTGAAACATGTTCGTTATGTTTTCAAAGTCGATGTACCAACCGAGTTCATGAAGAGGTGTCTTGGCCTGCAACTTCTGCAACTTGCTGAGCTCCTTTCCGATGACCTGTCGTCCTTGGTCCGAGGCCCAGCTGGGGGCAGGCAGCTGAGGCAGTGACTCCATATCAAGAGTGGCCGGCGTGAAAGGGGTCTTGTCTGGGTCAATATGTGGTTCGAGGTGAAGCGTGACAGTCTTTGTGTCATCATCGTCAGCCTCTTCGCCCTTTTGAAGGTCAATGATATAGTCGAAGTCATCTGGCTCGTCTTCGCCCGAATCATCGACCAGGACGATCGGCTGAGACGGCAAGGATCCAGTCACTGTGGATTTCTGGCGCCATCTTGGCAGCGCAGCGGCTGGGACATCCACCTCAATTTTGCCAATTCCCAGCACTTTCCACTGGGGATGTTGAGAGATGTACTCTGGCTTGGGGGCCGGTGTGGCTTCCTGTGTAGATGCGTGTTTCCGTTGGATAACGAGATAGCGACATTGGATCCAATTAACCTCATCGACCACATAATACGGCGATATGGACTTGAACTTCGCAGGACGGTTGATGATTTCGCAGAGACTCATTGCGGCGGATAGCTTGAGTTCCGAGCCCGTCCATGTCGAAACAACCAGTTTATTGCAGTAGTGCATGCTTGTTTCAAAGTCGCGTGCGAAGTATACGCCGTGTCCAAAAGCGCGTCCGTTGACGGTATCCTTGAAATCCAGACCTGTCCTGATGATGCTGTGCCAATTTCCGAGCTGACTACCGTGCCAGGCGAAAAGCGTCGGGTGCTGCGTGGTTGCCTCCTTTTCAAGCTCTTGCTTGAAGCGATTCTCTTTTTCAGGAGATCCCTGGGCAAATCGGAACTGCATCCAGTCGTCACTCAATCCGACTAAGCGTTCGCGCTGTCTACTCTCTGTCGCTTTGATCCCACCAATGTCGAGGTCCACCGGTTGATCAATTTGTACGATAAACGAGCGGTTGGAAGCCACGATCCATCGAAGCAAAGCTAGAGCCGACTTGGAGATCATCTTGTAATCGGTTAGAGGTGAGCCTCTGTGACTGAGAAGAAAGTCTCGCAGATGTCTGATAGGGGGGATTGTTTGCACGAGAATCATCAACGCCTCTCTCTGGTAGGCTGCACTCAATTTGTCGAGGTCATAATTGTAGAGATACAGCTCAGCATCTCCCTCCTCATCATCGATCCTCCCCTTAGAGCTATAATCAATCTCATAGGCTGATGCAGAGGGTTCATTCGACCGATGACGAGCAGGACCTGTTTTGTTCAGTAGTTTTTGAATCGACATGATATGGTCGAACTCGAACACTTTGCCGCCAATGTTGCCGTCGTCGTCATGAATGGTGTTGACACTCTTGACGCGGCAATGGTGCATATCGACATTTTGCCCGTTACCGCTTAAAGCAGGTTTGGCCAGAATGATCATGTCTCCAGGTCGCAGCTCCAGCTTCTGCGAGCAGTCCACGTTGAACTTCCCGGCGGAAATTTGAGCCCAGACTAGAATTGGCGTGCTCGTAATCTGAGTCTCTGCATCTTTTGCGGCCTGCGTGGATTGTTGGGATTTGCGCGTGGACCACGATGCCATGGTCATCGGCATGGTTGGCGTTGGTGTCAAGACTCGGTTCAGGATGGGAACTTTGATGGCCAGACCCTGCGGCCATTCTCGAATCCGGCCACTTTCCAAAGCAGCAGCGCAAAAGCTGACCAATAGATCGACGATATAGGGGCGAGCGATGATGTCGTGCTCAATGCTGGGACCCAGACCTAAAGCCATGTATTGATAGAGACAGAGAGGGTAGTCGCAGACGTACGGCTTCAGAGCAGTAAATCCAGGTTCCGTCTTGCGGTGGCACACCAGGCAGTACTGCGTGCTTTTGACAAAGTATCGCAGAGCGAATTGCATAGCAATCAAAGGCAAGCTGAGTTCTTCGCACGGCAACGGGCCTGGCGCCCGTGGGTTGTGGCGTACATAGTCTTTGTTGAGTGACTCACGTGTGGTCGTTGAGACTTGGGCATCGTTGTCGTTCAGGCTGTGAGAAGTGCGGCTCCGGTTCGGATCGAGATTGCTCTGTTTCGAGTTGAAGCCACGCAAGTGCCCATCTTTGGTCAGGTCCTCCAACATGTCCTTTGCGCCGTCCCAAGAGACGCCGTAATTCAACCGAATCTTCAGAAGCTTGGCAAGTTCCTTGTTCATGAAATTATCCATCGAATCCGAAATGGGCATTGAGCAGAAGGCCGCATCTCGAGAGTTTCCACTTGCCAAACCCTCTTCCGCTGAGCGTCCCTTGGCAGTGTTGAACTTTGGGCTGAATGCAATGAGTGCTGAGCTGAGAGTGGGCTTGAAGGAGGCGCATTTTCCAAAGCTGAAGTGCATGGAATTCGAATGGCCGGACGGGAGGTTCGTGAAGGTTTCCACGCAAGGATAACCTGCATCATACTTGTATAGTAATACGATGTAGTCGAAAGCGCTTACTTCCCAGGCCTCTAGCGTGTCCTCGTTGATTCCCAGGTGGGCAACCGGAAGAGAAAGGGAAAAGATGCAACTCGTTTCGTTCTTGGCAGCGTGGCTCAGCAGAGAGATCTTGAAACCAGCCTCCTTGGCCTTCTGAAGATCGTCGATTAGACGGCTAGTGATTTTGGGTGGACTGTTGGGGGTGTCGAGTGATTGCGGAACAGAATCGCCTGCAAAATCAAAACCAAAGGCGGTGTCGTCATAGTCGTAATCATTGTCCTCCTCGTCCTCCTCGTCCTGGTCAACATCCGTCATTTCGACGTCTGTGTCGTTGTCGTCATACGACGAGTCAAGTCCGGTGTTCAACTTCTTGGAGATCATGACAAGTGTGTCGAGTATGCTTTTGCCCTGACTAAAGTTGGGAACATTGTCGAGGACCTCGGAAACCTCGCTCGAGACAGACTCCTCGATTGTGAAGGCGACAAAACCGAGGCCTTGTGGATATTCGTCCACGTCCATGGCAACGAGACGAACGTACACAGGAGAGGATAGAGCGTTATGGGAAAGAACAAAGGTGATTTCACCGTCGTCATCTCCCTTTTTGAGGCCGGAAATATGCTCAACTTGCTCTCGAGAGGCGTGAGCCAAATCGCTGCTGAACTTGCGGCGTGTCATCGTAAGAAGTAGTGATAAAGCAATGAAAACAAGCCAAATTGATATCCGAGAGTCGCAACGTGCCACTCCAAAAAAACATCCAGCGGTGGCCGCTGTTTCTAAGAAGAAGGTTAGCGGATTATTTTTCGTACCACTTGGGACACAAAGAGTAGTGCGGAAATGAGCCCAGTGTGTGGCATTTTGACTGGTGGTATCAAAGAATACGTTCAAGGACACTTACGATGGATCGCTTGGCCTAAACAGATGTGAGTGTGTTTCTTGCAGGAATATTTCTTGGATCCTCCCAATGAATGAAGAGCCGGTGAAGTAGAAAGGAAGAGGTACTTATGAGACGAGGAGTCGCATATTGGCCGCCAGGGAGGTGAAGATGGATGAAGTTGGGATAATTCGCCAGACGATGGACGGAGTCGTCGAGGCAGGGAGGTATGGTAGGTGGTGAGAGGTAGGTAGAAAGGACTCAAGGGTAATGGAATGGGAGTGCGCAGAGGTAGGTACCTAGATGGGAAAATAGCGGGGAGCGGCATAGGCAGACAGGTGCATCTGGTGAGAAAGAAGGCAGTGACTAACCCGGCGTTCCTTCCCAAGGTCGTGGTAATACTCTTAGTTACCCAGGTTGGGTACCTAAGATGAGGTAGGAGAATAAAAAATTGATGGCAATTGGGTCAAGTGTCAGATTTGGTGTCCTGGGGAAGGAGCGGATGTATATGAACTGTGGAAAATCCGAACCCTCGCTGCAATCCGACGCCAGTCTTCCATCGGTCCAGAGTACCTAGATTGGATTGTTGATACTTGTCTAAAGGCAAGGTGCGTGGGAGATAGGTACAATGAAGACACGAAGAGGTGTTAACCAGTCTGTTGGCTATCCGTTGGTCTGGGTATGAACCTGCCTTATCATTCGTAGAGAAGTGAACTAATTACGACCTGGGCCCCATTTCTGGCCATTCTTGGCCGTAAAGGTCGAGTGCGACGGCTCCGGGGCGGGCACCAAGCTCCGTCGTGTTCCCACTTGTTGGTCGGGGCAGGCTGTCGCCTGCTGCCTGCCCCCTGATACCAACAGTCTGCAAAGGCCGTACCAACCGCCATAGCCATAATATTGTGCAAGAAAGCTCATTGGGTGGCGTGTCCAGCAGATTTTATGTCTTCACGGTTTCTTAGTCACAGGTTCTCCAGGGTTGAATGGGAGTTGAAAGCTCTTACCAGCAGCACCTTATAATGACCTGATCATTACGGAATTACATAAGCTTTCTTATCGGACGTCGCGTCCGGACACGGCCCCACGCCGGCCTTCCCATTCCATAATTCGGGGCACTTTCAGCAATGGCGTTTGGTCTTTATCAAGCTACCAAGTCTTGTTTTGCGCCCCCACGAGACTGTCATTAAGCTACCTAGGGAGTACTCTATGTTTGCGGCGATACTGTATCTTCATCTACCGAGAACATAGTGGGGCCGACTTACACTGACCGGACCTAAGAAATAGCGATAGCGTGACTAGCAACCTTCGCACTCTGATGTACGAGCTAGAGCCTTCACGATGTATAAATCACAAAACAGACGAGACTCACGCTACAACTTATGACATTTCAAAGTATTCACCTCGGCTAATGTCGCGTACCGTCACTGTAATTGCCAAGTTTCCTGGTGCCGCGTGTAGTCTGCGTCAGGTCCTTGCAGAGCATAGGGGATGCCGTCTGTTGTCTGCCATATTTTGTGTCGAATATGAAATAGATAGTAGTCACACTTAAAACTGATGCTCATTGAATCATCTCCTGACTCTGACCGAAGAATTTGGTTGGAAAGCTCCTCACAGAATGGAATCCTTCCCGCCTTGCAAGAGGCTTTTTGCATTTCGCATATCATCCGGCATGGCTGCTGATTGCCTCTTGGTACAACTTCGTCCGATCCTGACCATATCCGCAAGACAAGTCTCGATGGAATAATGTTGTTCAACTATTGCGCGACGCGGATTTACATGACAAGCTACGAGCTATCCAATCTAATAATACCACTACTGCGAGGCCATTTCCTCGATATAAGTGACGAAAATTTCCGTACACTCCCCGGAATTGATAAAAGGTGAGTTTCAAGCAATGGAGGGCTTTATGAATGCGTGGAGTCAACTCAAGCCACCCGTGGTGATGGAAAGAAAGGGTTGGGGATGGTGTGACTACTACCTGGGTACCCGGCCTTAGGTACCAAACGTGCCTCAGGTACAACCACAGGTCAAAAGTCTGGTTACAGCAACATGGCTTTCCCCACCGGGTCCTTCCTTACTAACAATATTAATACTCAAATAAAATAAATGAAAAATAGATCAAAAGATTCATAAGGAGCAACAATTCACATCATAGATTAAAAAATATATAGAATAACCTTAGTATCTTATCCTGCTACTCGGGAGTAGAGGATAAATTACGGGGTAAGTAGTGTAGTAATTAGGTGGGAGGCGTATTGCTGTGACCAGACTTTTGACCTGACATTGTATCCGTAGTTGGACCGAATTGGTGGGGAAGGGGTTGCCGGGGCCTGTCTCACCGATAAGATAACGCTGGGTCAGGAACGTTCCTAAGGTAAGCTACCTTAAGGAACCTTCAGGTAAGGTAAGCTAATTACCGTGCTACCTCAACCGGGGAAAAGCAGGTGAGCATTCAAACTCCTTCAGTTTACTTTGTCCCATCACAAGCAAGGCTAAGAAGCTTATACCGCCCACATACGACTGGCAAACGAATCCCAAAAATATCCGGCAACACATCTCACGCCTTTGGTCCCGTGATAGGCGCTAGTATACCTGTCTGTCGGTCATCACCTCGACTGACTTGCTCCTCTCACGTTGCTATAGATAGCAACCGCCACCACTAATTACGGACGAAAGACAGACGGTATCCATACCTCCACTACCTAATCCGTACCAACACGCGACACCACGGGCCCACAGCGCTACATTCGACTGCACCTGCAGTTTCCCCAGACTACCTACACCCGTCTGCGGCCTGAGGCACGACAAGACGACTTGGCAACCCACCGGTTGCTTCACTCCTCAAACCCTCCCACGACGCTCTCTACACTCCTCATTGGACTCGGACCGCCTTCCAGTCCAACCGCCATTCATTCTCATCTCGCTGCCCCAAATGCATCGCGCAGCAGTGAGGGTCTTACGGACAACTTACCGATGTACGGCTCGTAGCTTCGCACGCAACAGCCGACGGGGTCTCTTGGACCATAACCTATCCTCGTCCTACGCTACCCGCCAAGGCCTGCGATCTTCCTCCTCTTATCAACACCACCCCGAGCATGCTGTCCAGCCGCTAAAGTCCTCCATGTACATACGCCGCTTCTCCGTGGCCCTTGTATCCACCCTCGTCGGCTACGGCGCCTGGTACTCCTATAACGGAGCCGGCCTCGATAAGGCGTCGAGCTTGACGAGGAGCTTCACCTCCGGACCCACTGCCGGCGGCGATGCCGCCCCGACCCGTTCTGTTCTCGTCGTAGGCGCAGATCAGTTGCATACTGGTACATTCGTGGGAGAGGGACCTATATCAAAAACGACAAGCGACGACGGCCGTAAGGTTATCGAGATGTTGACACCCGAACAAGCTACCGAGAAGCTGCGTAAAACGGAGCAGTCCTTCCTCGTCAACAGGGGACAGGGCGTCCTGCGTTACGACTTGGTCCAGCTCCCTAGCAATGACCCCATTGAAGACGACCATGCTGAGAAGATTGTCGAGGTGCCAAACCAGGCCGCGGGCGCTGCAGGCAAGAGTAACGACTGGATGTTCTGGGGCGTCTTCGACGGCCATGCGTAAGTTGCAGCTATGGTATCTCTTTGGATAGATGCTAATTACTCAACAGCGGCTGGACAACCTCGGCAAAGCTGCGCCAGACTCTAATTGCCTCTGTCGCTAATGAGCTCAACCAGACCTACCAGTCATCCAGTGACTTGTCTCCGGCGGCCGATGCTATCGATACCGCCATCAAGCTCGGTTTCACTCGCCTGGATGACGAGATTGTCAATCAGAGCGTCGAGAGGGTCCTTAAAGCTGGTTCAAAGACTATGGCTGCAGAGCTCCTGGCACCTGCTCTATCTGGCTCCTGCGCCCTCTTGTCCTTCTACGATAGCAGATCCAAGCTTTTGCGCGTTGCCTGCACCGGTGACTCCCGCGCAGTTCTCGGGCGTCGATCAGCGTCCGGTAAGTGGACTGCTACCGCCCTATCGGTAGACCAAACAGGTGGCAACCCCGACGAGGCCGCCCGGCTGCGCAAGCTCCACCCAGGCGAGGACCGAGTTGTGCACAACGGCCGAGTCCTTGGCGGTCTGGAACCGACCCGCGCGTTCGGCGACGCAAGCTACAAGTGGAGCCGTGAGATCACCAACAGACTCCGTGAATCCTTCTTTGCCCGTTCCGCCTCTCCTCTTCTCAAGACCCCCCCGTACGTCACCGCTGAGCCCATCGTCACAACCACAAAGATTGAACCTGAGAATGGAGACTTTGTCGTCATGGCCACCGACGGCTTGTGGGAGATGCTCACCAACGAGGAGGTTGTTGGTCTTGTCGGCAAGTGGATCGAGAACCAGGCCAGCGGCTCTAGCTCGCAGTTCGATTCCACCTGGTCCAAGCTCTTCGGATCTAAGAAGTCTAGCCTGCCTGTTGAGCAGGCAAGCGACAAGAGCGTTGACGGCCAGAAGACGCCCATCCGTCTGCAGCAATGGGGAATTTCTCCCGACGCCCCTGAGCGATTCGTCGTCAAGGACAAGAACGTGGCTACGCACCTGGTCCGTAACGCCCTTGGTGGCAAAAACGAAGAGCAGGTCTCCGCTCTGCTGACCCTGCCGTCCCCCTTCTCGAGACGCTACAGGTGAGTCAGGTTGCAGATCGAGGTAACACATGATGCAGACAGGCTGACCAGGTGAAACAGGGACGACTTGACGGTGCAAGTCATCTTCTTCGGCAAGGGCGAGAAGACGGGCTCGGTCAACCTCAACGAGGAGGCGACGGCCCCTTCGA